TGGGAGCAAGGGCCCAACCAGATTCTCAAGTGACTTGTCCTGGAAACCATGACCAAGTGGTAAGTAGCCATAGCACCACAAACAACAATGCAGCCCGACATCTGCAGTCGCTCAGTGTATGCTACAAACCCTTCATTCGATCTGAAAGATTGCTCGATGTGGATTCTGTCGCAAGGTTTTTCCCTCCTACCTAGCAAGGACGAAGCCCGCATTGCAGGGTGTGGGCTTCGTCCTTGCTAGGGTCGCATGGGTTTGGAGATCGGGCTTCTCTTCGAATGTTTCGAATCTGCCATCTTCGATTTAGCACAAGCTTACTTTACACTGGAGCCACAACGTGTATTCAGGATGTGGCCACGATGTGGTACTTCCGCATCACTGCCCCTACACCGCTTTTTTGTCAATTTGTGTGTAAGCACCGGCGATAAGAGCTTGAACACGCTAAGGTGTGAGTGAAAGCCCTATGCTTTACAACTTTGTCGTACAAGAAATCTCGTCTTCACGGTGCCGTATCTTTGAGTTCCGACAACACGTGCCTAATGACTACAGACTATGGTTTCAATGTCGCAGTAGAATACACTTCTGATTGCATTTTCATGGTAGCAAGGCCCGGCCGTGGAGATCCACCTTCGTTGTCCCTCCGACCTCAGGACGGGGTGCAAGCGTCGGGTTCTGTTTGCGTCTGATCGGGCCTGGGCTTTACACTCTGATTAGCCCAATCAAAGCAGCAGCGATTCCCAGCAGAGGTCATATAAAACTGCCTGAAGATCTGGAACTTTCTTGCGACCGGTTCTGCTGTTTACCATCGTGAGACAACTTGCAGCTGGCCTCGAAGTGTTTTGAAGTGGTGAGGAAAGAGGCGTCTATCCCTATCCGCTTCTGGATAGTCCCCATGTAGCGCAATATCACGAAAACAACCAGAGGAGCAATCATTTTTTTGACTGGAAACTCAGCAAAGCCGTACAACACCTAAGACCTAGGCCCTAAGACAAATCCGCGACAACTGACATCAAGCAGCCTCTCGACTATACGGCTTCAAACACCGTCGGCAAAACCGACAGCGCCAGTCGTGCCGCTGGTCTATGCAACGAGGAGCAATGCAAACATGATGAGGGAATGGCCTGTTAGTAATGCCTGGAGTGCTAGCAGCTATTTTCCTTAAAACAGCTGCGAAGTCTTCCTTGCCTTGTTTTTTTCGGATCTGCCAGCGCTGGTCTTGGGCAAAATGACGGGGCAAATTACATGCTCCGATGGCAGGAGTCTGCGCAGATTATGGCTCAGATACGGTGAGCACGAACTCTGAGGTTGAATGATTTGGGAACTCGTTGGCTGACGGCATTCCGGCTTCAGGGATTGTGAGGTTGTGGGTTTGGCAGTCTGAAGTCGTCGAGGATTATCGCAGGGTTTGCATGCCGTCAGAGACCGGCAAGAAATCAGCCGAAGCACCCGCATTCGTGAAACGGTGTACACCCATAGGATTGTGAGGTTGTGTGTTTGGCAGTCTGAAGTCGTCGAGGAGTATCGCAGGGTTTGAGTGCCGTCACAGACCGTCAATTAATCGGCGTGTGTAGCACCGAATTCGTGAGACCGTGGACATCGAACACGACACCTCTCCCGCGGTGTTGGCGTCCTGGGATATGCTCTAGGGCGGCCTACAAGCATTGAAACGGGTATTGAAACCTTCACAAAAAATCCCAAAAAACCTTGCAGCAGTCTTCCGAAAACCAAACAAACCCTAAGTCCAGCATCTATGTCGGAGACCGTGCCCTGAGGCCCTAGTCCAACAGCTGCCGGGAGCTCCGTCTCGCCCTCCACGAAGTCCAAGATGCAGGCCAGCGCACGGTGTTCCAGGCCTTTGTGGACCTGGAGATGAGCAGACTCAAACAGGCGCCACAATTTTCTCTCAAAATCTCAAAGGGGGAGCGCGACAAGACAACGAAGGATATCAACACAAGCACTCGAGAGTTACCACAACCCCTACACAATTCAATCTTGAACTGCAGGCCGGTTCACGGCACAATGGTGCAGGAAAAGAAACTGTGCAACCGCCTGCTCTCTTCGTTCGAGCCGGCGTCTGAGCAGTCCCAAAAACTGCCGAAAAGAGCCGGTGCCCTCTCGCTTGCGGGTGAGATCCTGTAACCTTGGCTGCTCTGTCACTGACTGAGGCCCGTCGCTTACACCTTGAAGCGCGACAGTCTCAAGACGATCCGAGCAACACTTGCAAAGCGTAGGGGGAAGCACCCACCATAAGCCTTTCCTGTCCAAGAATCTCGCGTGCTCGTGGTACATGCTGTCGGAAGCCAGAGTCGAAGAAGCGCAATAGCAGGCGGACACCAATGCCTTCTGTAACATTGCAGCCGCCGGCGAACCATATAGCTTTGGAAAGTGACACGTCGCCCGCGCAGCTCCGTGCCACCCCAACGACGGAAAAGCTACAAAATATCGATATCAGAACTTGAGCATCATCCAAAAGAGGAGTCAATACCATGAAGAAACCAAGCGCATTGAAAACCAGTGTCTGTGCCACAGCTTGTGGAGATGCCAAGAGCAGCACCGGCATCATGTGCATGGCAAATATCCCGTATACTTGCATCTTCATCAGCTTGTTACTGCTACGAGGGTCCTCAAACATGTCGAACGCGATGTCAGAAAGACCTCACACAATTGTGCAAGGGTTGGTGTCAACCTTTTTACAGCTGAACATACATCCATTGCCACCGAAGCTTAGGTTTGATAATTTCATCTCAACATGCTCTGCCGGCATGTTCGTGTCACATCGTCATTTCGGTAGCTCGCTGCCTATGCTTCTTGATGTCGACCCTCTGCTAGCTGGTGCGTCAGGATTCAACGCTGAGCCTTTCCGTCATCCCCAGCACACGTACGTCAGCAGGCAAGCAAGCAAGCAGGATATTGGTCTTCTTGCTCAATACACTGGCTGGCATCCCACCCAACACACCCATTTGCTTAACAACCGGTTCGTGCCAAACCGCCCAGGTGCCAAGCCGAGCCCCGCCAAACTCTGCACGGAAAAGAGCACGCTTACCAGCAACGGCCAAATATGGCCAGCGGCTTTTTGGGGCTTGAGAGCATGTCAGCAGTGCAACGAAACTTACCCAATAACAAAGAGTGCGAGAGACGGCTAAGGACTAGTTACTCATGCTAGACTCCTCCGCTGCTTTGTGTGGGTGATCTTCTCCAACAGGACATGGTGACTGGCACTCTAAGGTCCCGACAAGAGCAAGGTGCTCAACAATGCAAAAACGGCGCACAAATGACATCTAGACCACATAAGCTTCCGGGGCATTTTCCCCGGGCCGGGTTGGAAGTTCGTGAAACTTGTTGCCTGTCCGTCCTTGATCGAGGAAAGTATGTGGGTGGTTGTCAAAATTCGGGCCCCTTTTTGGGTACCCTAAATATTAGGTGTCGACCTATAATAAGGACCCAAACAGGGACCCGAATTTTGACAACCACCCATGTGGTTACGGGGCGACTATTCCCAAGTTGTAAGAAGGGCAGCAGAGAAAAACAGTGAGCAACAGCAAAGAACGGATGCTGGTGTCAGTAGCATCACATTGACATGGCTCCTCTAGTGACAGGCGTGTTGAGGCCGCCCCAGTATGTCACACGAGCAGCAACAAGTAACAAACTTTGGAGACTTTGGAACCGCCACGGCTCTCTGGCTCTCTTTGCCGTTGCAATGTGCCTGTGCTGGTTTGTCGTTCGAGCCTGGTGGACACCACTATTTAAATTTACAGCCTCCCGGCTGGGTGGCTGCAACGACATTGAAAGCTTCAGCACTTGAATACATGAGCCTTGCACAGTTTCAACACTCAGCCAAGGACTGGCCAGCCGAGGTACCACAAGCAGGTACGATGTAGGAAGCAGGGTCATTAGGGACTGCGGGGCTGGTTCTTCTTGGCATGTTTTTCCTTTCGGGGAAAGGCGTAGATGCCAGGAAGCTGTCAGGCAATGGTCTCCAGAAAAGCATGGGGATCAAAAGCACTCCGACACATAATCATGAGACCAGCTGCTGTCCCTGGACAGGTAGGCCGCCACCATCCCGAGGGGAATCAGGATGAGGCAGATCGCGACGCTGGGCCAAAACAACTCTGTGTTGGCATCCTGCCTTGATGGGTTGTAAGATCCCCGAACTGTGACGGATATAAAACAGCTAGGAGTCCAACTCTTGAAAGCCAAAGCATGCCAAAGCCCTCCAATCAAGCCCCTCAGACCAGGTTGCAGCCATTGGAAAATAAAGTACATTTTCAGTGTCCCCACAACAGTCTGGTAAGGATAATACAATAATCTCGCTGTGTGCCGTGCCCCGGCAGACACCGGCTCCCAGGCCACTTGCTTGGGTTCCTGCGGTGTCGAGGGGCTCCGACACAGAGGAGAACGCGAGGGGGTCCGACACAGAGGAGAACACGTCTCCGCCATACGTCTACAGAGGCTGACGCTTGTGGCCACTGCTTGAATCCTTTGTCGAACTAATCTGCTGCTCTGAGCCAGTGCCTCGCGTGACTCGCCATCGGCCATAAGGCGACAAGCAGAGCAACTCTCAGGCCGCAGCTTATGTGGGTCTTCTCCATGGACTGAGGTTCACATCTGCTTCACTTTGAAACTGCTCTTAACGACGGTTGGAAGCCAAAGAATGCCCTTCGTCACGATGCCTGAGTCAATCCGAAATCGCAGAGCTTGGCATTTAGCTCGAAATCCATGACGACCTGAGTGACTGAAAAGGCTGCTCTCACAGCACTCTCGAACGAAGAGTTGTGCCGTCCCTGTCTAGGCATCGCAGAGTGCTGAGGCAGTGTCGTTCATGCTTTTCAAGTCCCGGTGCACAAAAGGCGGCGTCTTGCTGTGAAGGAAACTCACCTTACAAAGGCGAGAAGGCGCGACAATCCCCGCAACTAACGGCAGGCCGACACCTTCTTACGTCCACAGATGCTGCAGCGTACTTCCTCCGCGGCGGACCCACCGAAGAACTTCGACCAAGTTGCTCCCTCGGAGACCTTGCAGCACGTCGACGGAATCGAAGACACGTCCAGCAACCACTGGAAACCGGCCAGTAATTTTTTACCAGTAACTGCCTGTTCTGTGTTTTGGGCGGTGCAAGCTCGTTGGGGTAGCTCACTGTGAAAGTCTTTGCTGCCGGAGATACTTTAGTAGATTCCTATGCACCTCCGCCCCACGGCCCTTTCTAACACTTGACTTGGATGTGTTGTACACCATGCAGAAGGTTTCTAGTTTCTAAACGACATGAAGGCTGAGTAGCAGCTGTTAGTCCGTGGCAAAGATCATGGAGGTTTCTTGAGGCTAAGTGATGCTGGGTTTTCAAGTTTATGGAATGGCTCATGGCACACCGGCGCGTGATTTTTGCGCCTTGCCAACACTTCCCCAACAGTGCGTGGCTGTGTAACGCCGGTTTCAGCATGATTCCTAGAGCTGGAACTCCGAATGACTGCTGCTAGGAAACAGTACATAGTGTCTGTTCACAGCCATTGCGCGGGCCTCTTGGTGGGCTTGGGTCTGTAATCGTCCACATCCGAACCCAGGTCGTTTTTAGTGACGTGAGGGATTGAGGGCCGGATTAGTAGTTTGAACTTCTACACCAATGATTCTGGGAAACTCGCCTGCGTGGCGATCTTGAACCGCTTCACAAGCTCCAGCGCGAGCCTTGGGCACCAAGACTATTTCATAAGCTGCTGTTATTAGTCACATATGTCCATGGCGTGCAAGCATTGAACAGATGCTGATTTGTGCGATCTCGCGATCAAGCTACTTGCAGCCGCCGGCAGCAAGAAAAGAGAACGAGAGAGCGCGCATTAGCTAAACGTAAGCCTTCGTCCTATTGCACGGGGCCGGGCCAACGGCATATTTTACACGCAATACTCACTTCTATCCTGGTCTTCTGCTGACGTCGGAGCCAGTCAAGGCAGAGATGCACTGACTGAGTTGCTGCACTTTCGCTGATGCAAAGCCTCGTACAATGACCTTAGGAACCAAAGAGCACATTGAGCTCTGCCGCCGCTACATGTTTCAGCCACAGCCGGCATACGATGGACAATTCCTTGGGCTTCCCTGGGGAATAGACCAGCCTATTTCAAGCAGGGGCGCTTGCGGATCCCACAACTGGAAAACGAGTGTTCCGGAAGCGTTCAGAGCGAGGAAACATCTTCATCTCATCCATGCGTTCATCCATCCTGCATCCGAGCCGCATTCATTCATGCAAGCGCCCACCCACCTACCCACGCAACCCCTCGACCTACGAATCCCTCCATTACACCCTTCCAAACCCTCGACCAAAGTCCTGTCCTCCCCTCATTTACTGGCGCGATTCCGAAGCTTCTCCCATGTGCAAGAGTGATTGACCACAATGCAAGAGACGACCTCACTCCCACGGAAAACCCTTCGGGAATGGAAGATCAACCATGCGATTCGGCAGAGTCAAGGGAGCTCAGAAACGACCAGGCGGAAGCTGGGATGCGAACCCGTTGGGCATGAACTCTGTGACCTTGAGTGAGTGCTGGTAGCTGTTTGTGTATTCGTGTGAACATTCAACCTAATATGATGTACTTACAGGATGTGTTCGACCCCAGCGTGTACCAACATGTTTAACAGGCGCAACCACCTCTCTACCTGATGAACACACACACACACATCCACCCATCAATTTTATCAAATCCCGCGCTCCATGCACATGCTCTTGTGCCTTCACCTGCTGCCGAGAAGCTATCATTAGCGAGGGCGCGACAAGGGCCGCACCTCTGCCATGTGTCAGCTCAGATTCTGATCCGCTCTCCTTTTCGGCCAATCTGCACGCGCCAGGAGCACCACAATGACAACCCCTCCAGCACGAATCCCCAAACTCCAGGAACTGGTGAGAAGGGTCCCGCGCCGATGAAGCTAACGAGGCGTGGATGTCGCAATCTAGCAAGGTTCATGACCTGAAAGCTTGAGATCAGGCTTTTCTGACAAACGATATGCTCGGTTGAAGGCTCAAGGGCTCTGAGAAACTGCCTGGTTGGTGCTTCGACGCTGCTTAGCATCTGCCGATGAAGCAATCGAGCACAGCAAGTGAGAAAAAGCGCACGATGTCTCGGGCCTCTCAAGAAGTCACTTTAAGCTTCTCTTCGACGTCCCCGGAACGTCCCGCTGCTGGTTCCGAGGCCCGAGCCTCCTTCTGGAATTCATTCTTCTGCTCAGGGGTCACCTGGGACATCCAGCCGCGGGAGCGTAAACCCCAGGCGGCCGTGGGCGAAACAAGCTGCAAATGCATCAGACAGCCGAGCAACAAGTCAACATGAGAGGACGGCCATAAACTTTCATTCAAACGTACATGTCTCAGCTGATGTTGGCCCCATGCTGTCTGTAAGCTCGGCATGGAGGACCCTGGAACTTGTTGCACCACGTCAAGTTCCCCCGGTGACACCCCTTTTTCTGTGCAGTCCATCTACGTGTTTTTCAACTCATCCAGCAGTCAAGGCTGTGGGTACACAGGTTGACGACATCCGGTGTCGTGTCACAAGGCACACAATGCCTGGATCGCGATTCTCTTATGTTCTCGACAGATCAGATTTCTGGCGGCAAAGTGGCCTGACCATCGATCAGGTGCAGCTTCTTGATGGCTACCTGTGTCAGGTTGAACAAACCAAGCAAGCAACCATGCTGTTAAGCTTTCAGCATGAGCAACCCTGAGCTGGAGCTCCCTAATCAGGCAATGAGGCAGGCAGCACACACAGCATAAGGCATACGGTATGCGCAGTATCTGCAGGAATTTCCCGGCTTTCGGGACAAAAGGTGAGGCTCTCGCCTCCCCAAAGTTGACATCTGCCCCAGCTCGCAAACACCGATCGTCAGCTTCGTCGCTGCTTATGATGCCGAGTAGAATCGACAACTTGCCCACCGCCAGGCAGGTGCACAAGCAGCATCAGCTGGACGAACCTTGATCCCTTGACCAAAAGTGATACGAAGCAGAAGCACCCGCAAAATCAGCTCTCGGCTCCTGGAGAAAAGCCGAGCACCTAGAGGATCCGCAGCATCAGTCAGATAAAATGTGCACCCTTGAAGAGGCGAGCACGAAGCACGCACTTTAGCATCATCGGTTGGATGATCCCTGCAGAAGAGGTGGGCACAAGCAGCAGACTAGCTCGTGCCATCATTTTCTCCAGGAGCCCAGAGGGATCATTCAGCTGATGCTGCTGATTCTCGTACCTTGTGTGTAACTTTGCTTGGAAGGTGGAGACATCATCCGTGCTTCATGCTCACCTGCGCTTCAATGTCAGATAGACCATCCGACTGATGATAATCGTGCTTTCTTTGCACGCACCTTTACTTCAAGAGCGGAAGCATCCAGCTGATGCTGGTGATGCTCGATTTGTGATCACATTCCTGCAAGCTGATTCTGCTGATAATCTGATCCCTGGGCTCTAGAAGGTGAGCACAAACACACACGAGCAGCAGCAGGGTCAGCTTGGATAATCCCTCCGATCCCTCCAGAGTGTGCCAACACGAGCACGCGATCCGCAACATCAGTTCGGTGATCTCTCTGCTTTTGAAGAAGAGGCGGGCACAAAGCACGAGGATCAGCCGGATGATCTATCTGTCTGGAAGAGCTAAACACAAAGCACCAGCAGTTACATCGGCTGCGTGACTCAGCTCTAGCAGCGAACACCACGCACTCCATCAAAGGCGTCAGTTGGACGATCTTTCGACTCGTGAAGAAACGTGAGTGTGTGAGCATCACCTCCATCTTACTGTATATGTTCTATCTGCTGAAAAAGAAAAGGTGAGTGAAGAGCACGAGCATCAGGCTTCTGCACCCGGTGCTCTCTGCTCACCGCTGACCTAGTGCGGAGAAACTCATCTAGCTTATGCTTGCTTTGTGCACCGTCCTTGTTTCAAGAGCAGAGGGATCATCCAAACGGCGCTGCTGCTGCTAGTGACATAGGCACCATTTTCAAGAGCCCAGGGTTCATCCAGCTGATGATGATGCTCGGGCTTTGCGCTTGCCTACGCTCCTGCTTTGTGCTCACCAGGGTAGACGGCTTTTCCAACTGATGCTGATTCTTTGTGCTCACCTTTTTCCAAAGAGACCAAAAATCATCCATACTGCAGCCGCCGTGCCCTTCACTGACCTATACTTCAAGAGCGGAGAACCCATGCTTTGGGTCGCCTCTGCTTCAACAGCAAGGAGCAAGGGGTTCATCTCCCCTACTATGTTCCGGCTTCGTACGTACTCACCACCTTCTCTTAAGTTCTTGAGGGTGAGGGATCATGCTGATGCTCTTGCGAGTGCTGATTTTTCAAAAGGACCATCCAGCCGATGCTGCTGACACGCATGAATAGAGCCTAGGGCCCATCCAGCTGATGCCGCTGACGCTCTGCGTTCATGCTTGATTTTCCATCAAAGGCAGTCGAATGCACAGCATGTTGATGCTCGTGCCCTGTTCTTCAAGGGCAGAGGCTGGTTTCTTTTTGGCCGAGGGATTTACACAGCCGATGCTGCTGATGCTCACCCATCGAGGCAGAATGATGACTTGGCTAGAGAGCAGGGGAGTGCACAGACTGAGCATCTGCGGTGTGAGCTGAATGATCCATGCTATTGACAACGAGCACCAGCAACATTACCTACATGATTCCTCCGCAGGCGGTGCGCAAACAGAGCAATCGGAGAAAGGGTGAGCCCAAAGCACCAACATCAGCGGCATCAGTTGGATGGTTCGTCGCGGAGAGAAGGGCGCAAAGCACGAGCATCAGTAGCAAGAGCAGGGTGATCCCTCGCTGCAACAATGCAAAGCAGGAGCATGATCTGCATGGTGATTGATCCTCGGCTTGCGTAGAAAAGGCAAGCTAAAAGCCCGCGCATCGGCTGGATGATCCCTGGCCGCTTGAAAAGCTGGACACAGAGCCTGACGGACTCTAGAAGAAAATGCAACCAAAAAGCATCAACATCATTTGGATGATTCCCCGGTTCTTGCAGCAAAAGCGAACATAAAACACCAGCATCAGCAGCAACAGCTGGATGACCCCTCCGGCCCAACCAACATCGCCAGCTGGATTATTTCTCGTCCACAAGAGAGCGGTGAATTGACTCTGGCAGAAAGAGGTAAAAGCACGACACGACTCCAGAGAGTATCAGCTACGGATAATCTCTCCCTCCTTGAAGACAAGGCGAGGGCAAAGCATCAGCCGCAACAGCCAGAAGATCCTTGACCCTTGGAGAAGTAGTGATCACGAATCCCTAGCATCAGCAGCATCAGCTGGATGATCGATCTCTCAACTCTTGAAACCGTGGTGGCGCACAGCCGCTGCATCAGCAGCATGGTTGCTTGGCTGTTGAAGATACGGTGAGGTCGACTGCGCTAAAGCAAGACATCCGCGGTATTAGATCGACGGATGATTCCCCGGCTCATGAAGAAAGGGTGAGCGCAAATCAAGTGCATCAGCTTGGCACGTCAGCTGAAGCTGAGACCTTGCAAGATTCCTCCAGCCTCCTCGCCACGGTAGGTGCCCCGGTAGACGGCCCCGAAGCCGCCGGAGCCTAGCACCTGCAAGAGTCCACGGTGCCCCTGCGCCCTTCTCAGGGCCCCTTCTCTCTCACTTCCCCGAAGCCAACGGCAAAGCCTTTCAAAAGATGTACACTGGATGAAAGCAGAGGCAATCCCTCACGACAGCTAGTGTAGCCTTCCTTGAGCGTGCGCAAATTTTCAGGCTGGCCATGAGATTTATTCGCAGCACGCCTTCCCGACATGGAGGTCCTCTGCATTCAAAATAACATTGCGAGGTTCTTCTTGAACCTCAGGCCGTGGATTCAGCAGATTGCCCGACGTCTTACAAGAAGAAGAAAGCGGTCACAGCTAACCGGCAGATCAGGAGGGTAGCAGATCGCGAATGACAGGCAGTTCTATGAGGCTGTGTGGCAACGAGCCTCTTTCTTGCTTGCAAGTGCCGGTGTTGGCGCGCGCTGCGCCTCTTGCACTGTCTGCCTGCAAGGCAGCAAATGCTCTGGTGAATCTCCCCTTGCAAGACAGCGAAGGGGCCTTGGGCAGGAAGCTCCTGTCTAATTTGCGGTGATTTGGGTACTGTAGTAGCCAATCTTCTATCCACGTAACATCGAACAAACTTTGGCCTTCAGCGAATCATTTTGGGCAGGTTCCCGAAAACGTTGCAGTAACATGTTCTGTGCTGAAGGTTGCTGAAAGATCGATCTCGCATGCAAGCAGCTGCCGCACTTGCTTGGACTACTGTGCAAGACTCGTCGTCCCGACTTGCCTGGGCATGGCAGCTTCCACGTCGATCCCCTTGGCTTCATGGCTTCACGAGTGGTCACTAGTGTGTGCTGCATTTTGTCAACCAAGCCGTGACTGCCCTCCAGTCAAGCACCAGCCTCCGCCCTCAGCTTAGTCTCACCGAAAAGCCCAAACAACTAATTATCGCCACGCCTTCGGGGCAGGCGCTGAAGAGAGCGCAGGCCCTGGCACCTGTGCACCAAAAGCCATAGCTTCAGGCCATCAGACAGCACTACATCAAACAGAGCATGCCCAAACAATCAACACCAACTCCAATGTACCGGAAGCTGTTTCTGCAATGAGCTCTCGAATCGTGAAGCCAGCAGCCTTCATCGCCGGTGCTTCCCCCTTCTGCGGCCTCCACCACCATGGGAGTTTGAGAATCGGGTCCACTCGCTCCCGCCCTGCTCGACTCCCGTTCTCTCTCTTGGGCTCGGGCGCAGGCCGCAAGGAGTCGGAACTGCGAAGCAGCAGCTTCTCGCACCACCTTGTTTGCACGAGCCAAAGCAATGCTGGAAAAGCTCGGGTCGGCAGTGCAACTTCCTGACGATGACTCTGCATCAGGACTCTTGGGTGACATGGTCAGCATGCCATGGTCAGCCCCCCAAAGGAGTGCATGCCCGACTCGTTTGGATTGTGCAGCTTTCAATTTGCTTGTCGCGCGTTTTGGAAACGCCCCGAGCAGACGGTCATAGACGGTCTTTCTTTCTGTCCTTCCCTCCCCAGTGCATCAGCGCACCCCATGTTCAAGTGGAGCGAGCTTCAAGACCGGTGGCACAGTGGAGCAGTCTTGCTCTCTCGCTCTCTCGCTCACTCCACCCGTTGTTCAGGGCTTTGTAGAGGGGAGTGAAGGTGACTCAACATCTGCCTGAACGTTCAGTGACCTTCTTCCGCAGAGCATAGTGGACGAGTTAGGCCCCCGGCCATCAGGGCCCCCAGTTTTCTGGGGCTTTGGGAGAATGCAAGTTTTCCTATGTTTGGGGATATTGGGTTATTTGTGTTTAGGGTTTAGGGGGAGTTCAGTGACTCTCTCTCTCGCTCTCTTTGCTTTGCTAGGGCCTTGGAGCCGGAGCAGTCCTCTCTCTCTCTCTCGTGTGGGGTCGGAGAGCCGAAGCTTAGGAGCTCACTGCCGCTCTGCGTTGGGATCTTTTGACTCGACCTTGCGAAGCATGGCCAGGACACTGGACTCAATATATCGTTGATGACAGGCAGTGCTGGCACCATCTTGATTCGTGCCTCAGAGTGAAGACCTAACCTCGTCCAAGACTACTGATCCAGAGCCCGTGGAGCAAACATGCTTTCATGGCCGAGTGGTACAATACTGCGACAGAAACGAAGGCACTGCCGAGTTGCGAGGTATCTAACCTTTACCATCTCGTCATTGGCCTGGACAGGATGGAGGAAGAGCTGTCGATCCCTAACCGTTGCGAGAAAGTCCTTCTTTGTGTTGGTTTCCCCATCACTTCTCGACCTTATCCAGTCTACCTAGGGTACATGCGGGTCTACGTTTTGCATCTGGTCTGGATGTCAATTGCATCCGGCTTGTGCTTCGAAGGCTTGTGATTTGGAGTGGCTTTTGGGCTTAGGTCAGAGGGGAGTGTAGGGCTTTGGGATTTCAATGGGTTAGGGTTTGGGACGGGCTTGGGACGGTGTTGGGTTTGGGTGTTCAGCAGTTCAAGGGTTTAGGAACGGTTTGGGAGTCATTTGAAGCGACGTAACCAACTCTCACCTTGCAAAACTTCTGTACTAGCACTGCAGATGTGGGGTGGGGCCAGGCGGTTTCGAGGCGAGGCAGGTGTGTTGTTGGAGTGATGCAATGCCCTTTCGGCTGGGAAGCGCAGGGTTAAGGGGAGTTTGGGGCTTAGGAATCTAGAAACCCAGATGTAAATATGTTCACTTGAATGTTTTGTCTTGCCGGACACGCGCACCTGATACATTGACTTCAGGGAGATCGGGCTTCAGTTCTGTCTGTTCGAGACTGGTGTCGAAAAAACATTCCACAAGTGTTACTTAGGCAAAAGCGGGACCCTTGTCCCAAACGGAGACCCTACAACATCGAAACCTGCACGGCACCTGCACAATTTCGCCTGGGAACCAGCGGCCTCCACTCTTGCTGTAAACCTCCGCAGCAGTTGCACTGACTTGGTTCACTCTCCTCCACGAGACTACAATGCTTCCGGGTGCTACCAGTCACCAGCCAGCACTCGTTTCCGGTGCTTTGCAACTGGCCAATGGGCTTTGCCAAGACTTTGGCTTTGCCCTCCACGCCTCCACGGGTCGGCCCTTTGCATACTCGTCGAGGGTGGTCCTGGCGGATGCCTACAGCCAGATTTCCTTTTTTTTACAGTTACTTCCCTGCCTGGGATAGCCTTCTGACGGAAGAGCCTTAAGCTGCTTCAGAAGGGCTTCCACGTGCTGCATGGACCTTGGCACGGGGTTCCAGCGTCCGTTGAGTTCTGGGCCGGGCAAGAATCGATCACATGCAAAACTTTAGGATTTCTCATGCGCGAAGATCGAAATGTCGTCGCCGGGCCCTATTCGTGCAGGTGGTGCCAAGCTCAACCGACAGCAAAGCATGTTCAAACCTCGGGTGGCGCGAGTGGGAGTCCTCGATGGCATGAGTCACTTGGAGCTACTGATGTCGCACTACGACCGAGACGGAAAAACACTAAACGCGCGGCTGCAGCAGTGAGCGTGGGCATTACAGCCAAAAATTAGCAAAATCGAACTGGCTTCGATTGAAAGTTAGATAGATTCAGACCGCTGCGAAATTAGATATATGTATATCTGTATGTATGCAAGCTTCGTTTACAATTGTTGCAGTGACTGAAGTTCTGCAAATTGCAGCTTTTTCATCGAGCACTGCTCGCGCTTCATGATCTGCTTTAGCTATTTCCATTAATGCCCTCCTGAGAGTGTGTCGGGCAGATGGTCGAGTCTTCTTTCTCGAGGGGCCACACCAGCCAGACCGAATTGTGCAACCATGTGGATGTTACGGCCGCTCGTCCTCGGGTCGCAAATTCCTACAGGGCCAGCGTTGCTGATGCTAGTGCTGCGAACATTAAGTTTCGCAATCTCTGAGAAAAAATGCCATTCCTGTCCGCTGCTTGGATGGACGACCTGGATCTGCATATGCAGTTGGAGGACATTGTACTCGCACCCGACAAGTTAGTCTAGTCTGCACTGCTCCTCCGGAGCTTGTCTTCGTCGGCGGGTCTGACTAGATCTGCTTGCAGCTGTCCCGATGTCAAGAGCTCCATCCGCTTGATGCTTTAGGAATACTGGGGGGATGTTGATGTGGGGAACACTTATGTTTTTGTTTGATGGACGACCCTGTTCCTCGCCCTGCCTTTCCGGACTTGGCGAGGGACACCTCTGCCTCTTGGTACCCGTCAGCGCCTTCCAAGCCTTCTTGAACAGCTAGCTGCCGTGCGCGATCGACCCCCCATTTTCCCCGCTTCACTTCCCAGTCGAATGCACGCCATAAGGCTGCAGTTCGGCAGTCAGTTTTTCGGACTGTTGATCTGTCCGTCTTTATGTGCGAACATGTGTATTTACGTACCTGTAAAAGTTTTTTTACTATCTGTATGTATGTACTTATGTATGTATATATGTTAGTATGTGTGTGTGTGTATAATTTATATCCATGCCAAGCAACACAGTACCATACCGTATCGGTTCCACACAGCCACGTTTGCAGCATCCCTAGGACTCCGGGCCTGCTTGGCAGGGCAGGCAGCATTTCGTACATCACCTCGCACGCTGAACAACTCACACTGCAGGGCTGTGCCGACTTTCTGCCTCAGCCGAAGTATATATCATTGTATCATGTTGGTGCTCCCACGAGACCACTCCCCCGATGACGACGGCTGAAACCAGTGCTAGTAGTGCAGGAGCTGTCAGAAGGCGCAGCACTAGCCATGGCAGCAGCTGTAACAGCAGCAACCGACAAAGTACTAGCATGACAGCAAGCAGAACGACGGTCGATGAGTCGTTTCCCTCATCTTGACTCCGACAAAGACCATGCAGCACACTCAATCACGTGAGCCTCGGCCAGCCGGGGCTCGGCTTCTTGGGCCGCCCGCAAAGCGGCAGCAGCGTCCTTCTCTTGACTCTTGTCCTATTCTTGTTTGGCTTGGAGAGAGGCCGAAGCTTACCATCTCTTGCTCTCGCTGGGCCTAAGTCTGCGCTGCTGTGGCCGCGTGCCGTTGCGAGACCAGCCGCTAGGCAGGTGCGCAATCCCCGAATCGCTGCACATCCATGCGGCCGCCTCTCTTGTGGTGCATTCGTTTGCGCCGTGAGGTGAGTTCCCGTTCTTTGCTGGTGCTCGAGTTGATGGTAAGGGGCGACGCTCCGTTCCCTTTCCTTCTCTTTGTCTCTCCTCGCCTCCTGTGCAGCACGCACTTCGAGTCTAGGCTGCGATGCCGCAAGGCGAAATGCAGCGTGTTTCAAAGGCTCTGCGCTCAGGACCTAGTCACAGTCGTCCTTGCGGTCGTCAAATGCCTCTCAGTTTGCAGGTCCCACTCCCGTCCTCACCCTGCTGCCTTCGAGCCAGAGCCTGTCGGCAACAACGATGTTTCGAGTTGATGCTCAATATAGACACGCTCAAAAGCTCATGATATTCGTTGTGTGCGTTATTTTCAGAGCACAGCTGTTTGAATGGCTTCTTCTTTCATGTTGTTTCACCATGTGTACGTCACTTAATAGCTTGGTGGCTACGTTCAGGCTTTGGGTATTAGCTAGCACCTTATACGATGCCACTATGGGTAGCAACCCCTAAACCAAGCAAAGCAGGCAGGCAGTGGATGCTAAGCGTTTTGCTGCTGCTGTAAGACATCGATGCTGCATGCGGTGTGTGTTCAAACGCCCTCGGATCAAGCCATGCCGAAACTGCACAAGGCACAGCGGATTCATCACATCCCTAAAAAGAAGTGTTGATCCGAGGTGATTACAAAAGGGAAGGCTTCATTCGCACCTTCCTGCGCTCTCTTTGAGCTTTGCGAATTGCGGAGCGGCGTGCTTCTTCGATCTCGTCGGCAGCGGTCTGGACCACATTGATGCGGCCTCGTTTCCGGAAGCCAGGGTAGAGCTCGTCTTTCATGCTCTTCGTCAGTGAGTCCCCAAACTGGCGCCATGTAGGCACCCAGTGCAGGTCCAAGGTCGACTCCTGCACGAGCTAGGCTGGAGCCCTTCACGTGATCATAAAGACTCCGGGCATCTGTCACGAGATGCCCCTTTGAGCTCATGGACTGGCGCCAGGAGGAAGTCACTTCCAGGCGGCCCGTGCTTATGACGTCGTACAACTTGAGGTTGTAGACCAGGCGGTCCGTGCAAGCGGCCATGCTGGCTCCTTCAGCTGCTAGGGAGGATCGAACCACTCGGGCAATCTTGTTCGAGTGGAACTCCAACAGGTTTGCTCCGCCTTCTCCAGTCAACACACCGGCCTCCGCAATGAAGTGTGCCTCGCCGCGTTGGGCAGCCAAATCCGCTGCCATTCCAAGGGAAGCATCAAAGTAGCTCACAAGAATCAGGTCCTGCTTCAGCGCCCGAAAAGGAAGCACTGCTTGTCCTTGGCTCGCCGCTTGTTGGATCTCCTTCAGGATGTCACCGGCCCAATGGAGGTCCTTCACGCATGCCTGGCTCACACGTTGCGCCAAGGCGCTCACACTGAAGAGGAACTCCGGCATCACTAGGTGCACTGGCCAACGAAGCTGAGCAATCAGCCTTCGAAATTCTCGCAGCTCTGCCGCTCCCAGGGTTGCTTCCTTGTTGGCCTTGGCGTCCAGGGAAGGGGGCCGGATCTCCAGGATGTAGTCCTTCATGTCGTTGTAGAAGACACCGTCTCGAATGTAGATCTTCATGCCGAGGTAACTCCGAGGCTCAAGTCCTATCACCTGCCATTCCTTGATAGAAAACACGGCATTGATCTCCTTCTTGGCCTCCTCGAGTTCTCGCCCCTTCTTGCCGGCCAAGAAGCCATCATCGACGTGAAGACACAAAATGGCCACCACACGGCCAGCACGCTTCTTGATGAAGGTGGCGGGCGCCCACGGAATTTCCTCAAAGCCACACTTTCTCAAAAGCTCGCGGGCCTGAATGTACCAAAGCCGTGGAGCCTCACTCAAGCCATAGGCCGACTTGAGAATTTTCCATAGCACTGCTGGGTCCACACACTTCAGGTCACGCGGCGGCCTCACGTAGAGGTCTCGGTTCACCGCCTTGCCGCTCAGAAAGGCAGTGGAAACGTCGAACAGGAGGAAGCCCCAGCCAAACTTCATGCCCAAGGTGATGGCCAATCGTACTGCCGACATCTGGGTTGTCGGAGCGTCCGTCCGCACATTGCCCATGTCTGGGTCCAAGTGTCCCGGCAACACAATGCGAGACTTGGCCAGTAATCCAGCCTGTCCTGGCTGAGCCTTGTTTGTTCTCACAAGGCGGGCCGGAATAGCAAAGATGCGCCCCTTCGGAATCTTCTTTGCTTCAGCCGGGCTTAACTCACGAACCACGTTGTTCTTCACCCAGGCTTGCCACTCCTTCTCGTCGGAACAGTCAAAGGCGGCTCTTTCCTCAGGAGAGAAATGGCGAGGATCGAGCTCTTTTCCATTGGCCTTAGCCTTCAAGATAAAAGCTTCACACTGAGCCCGGCAATCCTCCAAGTCTCGCTTAGCCGCCTCCAAGGTCGCAGGGTCCGAGCTCACCACAAAGATGCGGTTGTCCTTCTTGATGAAGAGCTGGGCTTCTTTCGCCTTCTTTCCTTTCCCCTTCCTTGCCGAGAGAAAGAGGGAGACGCCACGCCACAAGTGAGGACACTGTCGGGCAGGTCTGCGGCGAACTTCTTCAGCACTTTCCTGGGCAACCATAGCCTGCTTGGGGTTCTCACCAAACATCACTGTCATGCGAGCCTTCTTCGCTTGAGGCCCAGGGTGTTGAAGACGTTTGCGGGGAGCTCGGTGCAGTCTCGCTGAGGACAAAGGCAGGTCAAACAAGTGGCCCAGGCGGTCAACCTCAGCACGGGATAGCCATTCATTTGCTGGCCCAGGCCGGGTTCCATTCAACTCCTTTTCAGCAAGGGCCACCAAAACAAAGTTGGCGAAGTCATCGGTTCGAACCCTCTTTGCCTCAGGCTCCGGGCCATCTTCTCGGAGTCGCTTCTTAATCTGGCTCGGCACGTCATCAAGGAAATCATACGCAGGATCGCGTGGAACTTCGGGAGCATCATCCCAGGGTGCAGGCTCGCCATCCATGATGTCCATGATCCCTGGCTCCGGGACGCCCGGTCCTAGCTCAAGAGGAGGTGGTTCTACCATCTGCTGGGCTGAGTCAGGCAACCCTTTTGGCCATCCTGTTCCAGGGGATCACCAAGAGCTCCTGGGTCATGTTCTTCACCCCCTCGCCGGCGTCCAGGTAGAAGTTGGTGCCTTCGTTTCCGCTCTAGCGGAAGCTTAAGGACCCGCTTGACTGACTTCAGCCCAGCCATCATGCGTCGGGCGTCCGTCAACTTGCGCCCGGCTCCGGTCCTCCTCCGCACTATTCCGGGAGCTTCCACCGAGAAGGGTGCCTCCATCTCTTCCGGTGGCGGGGCTTCATCGGTCATGTCGATATAGCCCTTGGCCATCTCCAACTCCAAACCTTGATCTCGAAGGTCCCGAAGATCAGCATCCCCTACTGTCGCTCCCTTCATGTTGGCTCCCGACAACAGGAGGCATCGGCCTCGCCACGAAACGAAGTAGCGATCGGAACCCTCAGGCACAAGGACAACAGCCGGTCCTCGCCAGCAGCCCAAGTCTTTCTTATATCGCTTCCCCTTCATGTTAGCCGGGGCCCAGAAGTAGATCAACTCGCCGGGGGTAAAGTTCTGGCGCTCGCCAGCGGGAGCCCTTCGCAAAGCTCGCTTGATCTTTTCCAGAACATCTCCTCGAAGAAGGGCCACCTTGGCGGAAGCTCGAAGTTCGGCAGCTCGAGCAACCTCACCCTCAATGCTAAGGGCAAAGCCCATGCTTTTGCGGCTCCACACCTCATCATCCAGAAGCTCTGGGTATGCAGCCTGTCGGCCATAGACCAGGTAGTGAGCAGTGAGCACTGTGGCTGCCCCGGCTGATAATGCTGTTCTTAGCTTGGCAGGCGCAGCTAAGGCCCAGCTTCATTTGGGCACGGCCCACGAGCTGCTTTTCTTCCACGCCAGCTTGCACAGCAACACCAAGTAGGGCACCGTGGCGCTCTGCAAAACCATTGGACCACGGAGCATGGGAACCCACAAACTCGGAGTGTATTGAGTGGGCCTCCAAAAGCTATATGAACTCGGTCTCCCACTCGCCACCCTGATCTAGCCGCACACGTTGTGGAGGGCCAAACATGCCAATCCACATGGAGACAAACTTTGCCGCCACATGGGCTGGTTCCCTATTCCGGAGCAACTTCGCCAAACGGACGAAAGAGCCACATAGATGCCACCCCGGAAATCCTTCAGGTACTTGAGGTCTAGGTGAACCACGGTATTGAAGACTACGGCGCGCACCTCCGGTCTCGACGGGAGTGGTCTTCGAGGTGCTTTGGAAAGCTGACAGCTAGGGCAAGCAAGCTCCGACGCCACCTTGATCACATCATCCTTTGCCCCACCATGCTGCAGCATACGCACCAAAGTCTCATTGGTTGGGTGCCCAAGACGACGGTGAAGCATGTGGACTCGCTCTAGAAGAGGACTATGTTCGGCTACTTCCAATAAGTCTAAAGGCCCCTCCTCGCTGTGGTTCTTGGCGTCCGGATTGTGGTGCTTATGGTCTTCCTCCTCAACATCGGCAGCAGAAGGGGGAAGTGGCTCATCATCAGGCACCCCTTGGCTGCCAAAGTCTATGCTCTCCGTCTCCTCGTTGTGGTCCTTGGCGTTCGGATTGTGGTGCTTATGGTCGCATCTCTTCATCGCCGGCCCCTTCTTCAAAGAAGATCTCGTTCACAAAATCCCGGTCACTTTCCAAGAAGCTCTCCTCTGGGACCACCGGGGTCACATAGAAGCTCTCGCCTCGGATTTTGCGGCCGGCGTTGTTCAAGTAATTCTCGGCCACCTCCACCACCTTCTTCGCAAAGGCCTTGGGGTAGCCGCCGCAACAGCCCGGAGACACAAACTCCTCCGAGACCCGGGGCATGACGATGATTTCCAGGGCAGGCTCGGCAAGCTTCCTTGACAATCTCCTGAGTTCCCACAAGCCGGGTCGAGCTCCGCAAAGGAAGTCCAAGTTGCCTCCCCCACTCACCGTCTGGCCTTCGAAGTCCAAAAGCACAAAGTTCAGAACAGCCGGCGGCCATCCCACTCCAAGAGTCCACCACCATTGGCTCGCGCCACACCTCCGATTGGTGGGAGGCCTCGCCAAGGACTGCCACCCCCTTTCTTCGAAGATCCAGCACGGCACGTTGAATCCATGCCAAAATTGTCCTTTGTGTGTTGCGCTCGCGGCCCCTCTGGGCACAGCTCCTCGAGTCACCGGTCTCATTCAAGAGGAGCGGCTGCCAGCAACGGCCCGGATAGGAGATCATCACGAAATCGGGGTCGAAAGTCTCCAAGTACCGGCTGGCACGTTCCTGGTCGGCAGGGTCCAGAAGGTCAAAACCAGGCTCGGTGATCGGCTCCGGCGAACGGCCGGCAGCTCCGGTGGCTTGGGAGTCTCCTTGAAGAAGTTCTTGTTCTTGGCCAGCCCCAGTGTCGAACGCCCCAAGCCGGCATCACGTATATCCTGGGCGATTCGCTTCACTCGCTGTCGCATGCACTTGTGGAAAAAGCAGGGCTTGCCGTCCAGGTCTGGCACCATTTCATCATCACTTGGCTCGCCTGGCTCCGTGTCGCTGTCCTCCTCCTCGTTGATCTCCAGCCCAAACTCATGGCTGGTGATGGTCTCTCCCCCTGAGCCGTCGTCGGGACGGAGCTCCGTCCTGGAAGAAGCCATGGATCTCTCGGAAGGCGTCGTCTCGGCCTCGGGGAGATCAGCAATCACTTTGACCCCAAGGTCGCTTTCCAACAAGCCAAGCCAGTACTCGACCTTCCGCTTCCGAGCCGCCTCGCCGAAGTCACTGAAAAAGTGCGGGTCCTTCGGAAGGGAAGCCTCGCTCGAAGTCGTCAGGATCTCGTGCACATCATCACCGGCAGGTGGGTCAGAGCCTTCCACAACAAAGGCCAGACTCTGAGGACTCCGCTCCAGGACCTGGCTTCGTTCCCTCATGCCCGGCTGATTCCAAGGGTCGCCCTCCGGGAAGTCGAGGATGTAGAGCGCAGGGTGCCGGGTACTCGAAAGAATCATATCATCATGACGTTGCCCAAACACTTCCAGGCTCTTTGCCGCAAAGTCGAAGCACACACCCCAACGGGAAAGTTCCGAAGGTCCCACCAGCCCGGGATCCGAATGAGGTCGGCCTTGCCGTAGATCCCGACGGGGTACACAAAGGCGGTCTGCGAGATCTCTGGGCCACCGGCGCCGAACTGAAAGGTCTCGTGCTCCGAAATCTCCCTCCAAGCCCTTGCGCTGCAAAGCCGCTTGAAACTCACGGTGCCAGCGCCAGCCTGCAACTGCAGTGCGGCACCCACTGTCAAGAATCACCTGGCCCTCCGCTTGGGAACCAAAGCTCCCCTGCTCAGCGTGGTGCGCCGCAGCCAGTACACCATGGCGCTGGGAGTAGTAGAGGACGTTCTTCAAGTCACAGTTCTTGCACCGGGCGAAGTGGCCGTGCTGGTTGGCCACCCAGATAAGCTGGCTGTAGTCGTGGCGGCACCTGGCTTGCTTCTCTGAGGGCACTGGCGCAGCAGTAGAAGGCACCGTTCTTCCCCCGACGTGGGCCTGTTGCCACAAAGACAGCCTGAACTCCTCCAGCTCTCGCTTCCGTACGCCTTCGGCTTTATCACGGCCCTGACTGTCCTTCTTGCTGGGAGGCTGCAAAGTTGAAGGCCGCGCCGTGGGCAAAGCCGGTGCCAAAGGTGCCGCCGGAGCCTGCCAAGGAGTCGCTGAAGCCATGGAGGACACACCAGGATCACAGCCCGAGCCCCGGCGAATCGGAAGTTGATCCCGGGCTTCCTGTTGCTCCTCCTCATGTTCCAGGAGGTATCGCAAGTGCTTCTTGTCCTCGCGGGTCATGTTGTCCAGGGCGGCCATGGCTTCCAGCGGGCCAACCTTCACAGTATGTTCCCTCGACTTACTACTTGTTTTGCCCAGCGCCGCCTTGGGAACTCGAACATCACGCATGGGACGGCTCTGCTGTGGCTCCTCTTGGCTCTGGCTCACAAACTCCCATTCCCGTTTCGGGGTCAGCTTGGTGCAAAAGCCTCACACACCTCCTCCGTCGTCACCTCCTCTCCAGTCGGGGGGTCATCCTCCTCATCGTCCCCGGCTGGGTTCTCCTCCTCCGGTGGTTCCTCCATGTCGTCCTCCGCCGGGTTGGCTGGGTACTCTTCCAGCTCCAGGTCCTCCTCGTCCAGATCGCCGGGTTCCTCCGCCAAGTGCACACCATGTCGCTTGGAGAAGCCCTTCCCGGCCGGAGGTCGACGAGGAGAAGCCGCCGACGAAGTGGTAGTAGACGACGCTCTGCTCGAAGATGCCCTTGAGCTCCAATTGCCCCGGCCCGACAAAGAAGACGATGTAGGCACCTTGCGCTCGTCTTCGTGGGTCTGGGCGCAACGGTGGCGCAAAGCACTCTCGATGCCTTGCGTGGTGTATGCCCCACCAGCCGAGTAGTACACGTCCAGGCGCTCGCGCTTGCTAAGGGAGGCTCGGTTCAGCAGCCGTTGTGCCCAGGCTCTGTCCGATATGTGGGTGTCAGGGTCCACTCGGATATATTGAGCCCGTAGGCGGCGCATGTTCGCCAGGTAGGTTGCGATTGGCTGTCCTGGCACCCTTCGGTAGGTATTCAGCTCGCGCTCTGCCCGTTCAAAGAGTTCAGCACAGGACTCCCCGAACGACTCGTCGAGGAGCTTCCACAGCAACACGTTGCCCCCAGCCGCCGTGAGGTCAGACAACGGCACCTGGTCCAGAACATCTCTCGCCTCGCCCCGAGTCGACAAGTAAACAAGCATCGTCAGCTCTGGGGCATCCAAGCGGTAGATCGCTCGACGCCATTTCAAGTATCGCCGGCGATCGCCACTGAACTCCTCGATCCTGACTGAGCCAATGCTGCTCTTCGGTCGCTCGTTCTCCCGGGCCTTCTTTCTCAAAAGCGACCGAATCTCCGAAGTCCCCGCCGAGGAAGATGCAGCCGCCGACGGTGCCCGTCCTAGCCCGGCAGGTGAACCACCATCATCACGATTTCCACTTGGCCTTCGTCCTCCTCCGGCCGGCGGTGCTGAAGTGCCTGCCGCCCCACCAGGAAGACCCCCTGCAGGTAAAGGACCATCGTCACCAGGACGTTGTGCAGGGCGGCCCGGCTGTTCAGCGGGATCACCTTGAGGTCTCTCAGGTCGGCCGGGCTGTCCAGCAGGATCACCTTGAGGTCCTTGCCCTGCTCCGTTCATGTCTTGGGCCGGCTGCCCCGCATTCGAACCCCCGGCCGCCGTAGAAGCAGAAGACGTAGAGGCTGAAGACGATGAACCTCCCGAGGGAGGCCCGGCACCTGGCGCTTGTGTCACACTCGGCATCGGAAAACCAGCCTGCATTGGCCAAGCGCCTGCGTTGCCCCAAGCCCAGGCAGGAGGTACTCCCATCCACCATGGTACAGGTTGTCCTGAACAGGTAAAGGAAGAGCTCCCGCACCAGGTCCTTGAGCAAGTCCCGGGGCTTGAGGTACTCCCGCGGAAAGGCCGCCGCTCATCGCACCCACAGGCATTGGGTTCATGCAGTTTCCGCCGTTCCAGGGCCAGGCTGGCCCAAAACTCATAGGCGGTCCCATCGGATGGACCCAGGATGTGCCCCCTGAAGTGCATGGATCAACAGCTGCGCCTCCGACCATTGACCATGCCGAGCTGCCGTCCACCTGCGGCGGTGAACTCATATTCGTAGGCTCCTCGCTGGGGCCTTGTTGCCATGGATCCCTCTCTTCCCAAGGGTCCTCGGGCACTGGAACATCCTTTGCCGCTCCAGAAGGCGCAGGCGCCGCAGTCGTCGCCATCACGGGGACACACGGAAAAGCAAGCAGAGCACCTAAGCCCACCCCCTTAGGATCAGCTATTGCTCCGCTACCAATATGGGTAGCAACCCCTAAACCAAGCAAAGCAGGCAGGCAGTGGATGCTAAGCGTTTTGCTGCTGCTGTAAGACATCGATGCTGCATGCGGTGTGTGTTCAAACGCCCTCGGATCAAGCCATGCCGAAACTGCACAAGGCACAGCGGATTCATCACAGCCACTACTTTCTGTCGAACCGCAACTCCTTCTACGAGAGGCATAACCAAATCAGACAAACACACGGACGCACAGCACTGGCAGTGTCAGACCAAACGAGTGTTGACAAAGACTTTCCGCAAGACTCATACCGTCGTTGTAGCGATTAGCGCGGGTCCGTAAGCGCTGGTCAACTGTTCGCAGTTATCAGATGTAGTTTACAACACTTCATGTCATGTCAGGTCATGTCAGGTTTCAAGTTTCGTTCGCAGTTCCCATGCAAATCCTGCCCAGTACTGCTTCTCTCGTTCCTTTGCCAATCTTCCGCTCCCCCTCCAAGTCTCTACATGCAAGGCTTCACGTGAGACGAAGACAAAGGCGAAATGACTGCAGTTATCGGCACTACCTTTGGGACAAGAGGTGCCGCAGCAAATTTCAAGACAAATCGGTGCGGGCAGTCAGGCAGGCGCCAGTCTTCCGTTTTTGTAAGACTCATACTTATACCGCGCAGTGTTTTTGCACAACCTGCTTCGATGCACGGCGTTACCTAGAGTCAGCAAACGAACAGTGTCCATCTTGCAACGTCAGCATGCAGTGTGCTTGATGCCTCAAAGATAAAACCGGAGGCGCTTCCCAGACCTGAAGGGACCTGGCACGTTGTTGGAATTGGGGACTGCCAGTGTGGGGCCATGGATGAGTCTAATTGGTCCCGTAGTTGAAGCGCAGAAGACGTGCAAACGGCTTCGTGAGGCACTGAAAGCACTGCTTCAGCAAAGGCCTTCTGCAGCGTCTCGAGGGCAGCCTTGGCATTGTCCTGCCTCGGGGTGCCGGCTTTTGACAAAAGGCCAAAAAAATGTTCAAGTCTTGTGGCATCGCTTCTTCACTTCTTGTCAGATAGACGGGTTGGGCGTGCAATCGCTCTCTGAACATTTGTCTTTAGCTGTAGCTTCTTTGCCTACCGAAACCTTCTATTGAGACTGAAATCCAAGGAACAGCATGCGCGCAAACTTGACGGATTGGGAGCGAGCAAGTTTTCCCGCGTCCAGTAAGCTCAGGGCAAGAGATGTCCTGCATGCGCACACAGGGAGTGAGTGCTTCAGCAGGAGGTCCTTCCCCAACCAGCCTAGCATGCGCGAGGCCTGCAACTCTATGCAAGTCTTTTTTTTTTCTCGATATGATTAGCGCTGTCGGCATCAGCCAGGCAGTCACGCACTCTCCGTGGCACAACAAGCTTCATCCTAAACAACTGTAATACCCGATGCTACAAGTCCCGAGCCGTGACAAGCCTGCGTGTTCAAATTGGCTCTGTGCCTCCATGAAATCCATCTGCGAAGGAATGCCAACCAAGGGCGGCACAACACGACAACATAACGATCGATTTCTGATGTATGCGAAGTCTGCAACACGGTAGCCACCTCCGCGCTGGATAGGTGGGTTCAGCTTTGCTGAAACCCGTACACGAGTTCAAGCATAGCCGGCAGCTGACAAGCGGTCGAGGTAAAAAAGGAGGCTGCAGCTGTTGATCTTCGATACAACGGCACAGCATCGAGGGACCGGTGACAACAACCTCTGCTACACATAACCATCTGCAAGCTCAAAGTTTCAGGAAAAAGGTGGCACACACAGTTCTGCCATTCCTACTGGGCTCCACTTGACCAGCTTTTGAGCAGATGAGATTAGGTGCTTATTGAGATCGCCGGGTACATTGCTTGGATGCTTCCTCCTTAGAATCCGCATCGGTGGGGCCCTCGAGAACCAAGCTGTTCTCTAGATAGCTGTTCTGCGGAAGATTGCAGGCCCTTTGCCTTTTCTGCCGAGGATCTTGTCACGATGGAGGCTTTTATCTCAACTTGAAGACTCCAGAAGCTACGGGCAAAGGAGCTGCAAAGTGCCAGGAAACCCAGAAGCTTTATCTGAGACCTGGTCACCACTGTTATCACCAAAACCATGCCCAGCAGCAGCGGCCCTTGGCCTCAGCCACCGGCTTCGATGGCTTCGCCGTTGTGCCCTTGCCAGCAAGAGGTGGTTTGCGCGTCTCAGAGGGTTCAGCGATTGCCAAGGACTCCTGGTATTTCTTGGCCTGGTAGGCACTAATGACCTTGCAGCCTTCGGAGAGAATGAAGCAGCCCACGGGACCCACGATTGCCAAAGCCCAGCCGAAGGCGCCAATGTCTAGGCCGCGAAGTCCGAGAATCTTATCGGAGAGGTAAGGGATTAAGACAGCTCCATACAAGCAGATTTGTGCCAAAACAATCGCCTTTTGCATCTCCTTGTTGCCCAAGACATCGTGCCACATTGGGTTTGTGAACGATCTCGAGATGTAGGCACGGATGTTCTCGGACCACACCAAGGAAATGAATGCTACCGTCTGGGCCAAGCTCAACTTGGTCTCATAATCGTCAAGCAAGTAAATGTTGGCTTGCAAGATCTCGCCGTCGCAGAAGTGCATGAGCGAGATCAAATACACCGCAACAATGACGGTTGTCAGGACCATGCCGTTCATAATCATGGCGAGCCACATCCAGTTCAGAACAATGGGCTCGTCCTTCGGACGCGGACGCATCTTGAGGATGTTCGCTTCACCTGGCTCGACACCCAGCGCAATGGAAGGTGGAAGATCGGTGACCAGAATGAGGAACAGGATCTGCAGCGGCGTCCGCATGACGGGGATGCCCACCACAATGCAGATGAAGATCTGCATCACCTCGGCAATGTGCACAGACATGATGAAGGCGACGAACTTCTGAATACCAGCATAGATGGCACGTCCCTTTTCCACGGCTGCCACGATGGAACAGAAGTTGTCATCTGTCAGGATCATATCGGAGGCACCTTTGGCAACCTCTGTTCCCTGGATCCCCATGGCCACCCCAATGTCTGCTTGGTTGAGGGCTGGAGCATCATTCACTCCGTCACCTGTCATCGCCGCCACCTGACCCTGTCGCTGGATGCTCTTCACAATCTCCAACTTATCCTCGGGCTTGGCGCGTGCAAAGACTCGGACCGAACCTGTCAGCTTGTCCATCTCCTTTGAATCCAGGTACTCGCCATCTGGACGGAGGCATGCACAGTCCACAGCAGAAACATCAGGATCATCGCAGGGCTGGAGGATATTGACATTCTTGGCAATGGCAATGGCAGTCAGCAGGTAGTCACCAGTGATCATCACTACACGGATCCCAGCGCCACGAGCAGCAAGGACGGAATCAGGCACGCCGTCTCGCTCGGGGTCGATGGAGGCAACGAGCCCAATGAGGCGCAGCTGCTTGCGGCACGCCTCGAACTTCTGGTCTGTGGAGATATCCTCATTGTTCTCATCATACGGGAGGGTGCTCATGGGTCGGGCAGCGATTGCCAGGACACGAAGAGCACGTGCAGAATAGCCGTCCACAATATTCAGGATACCCTTCTTGTCCTCGTCCGTGAGCTTTGCGACGCTGCCATCCTCCTTCAGCTGTTCGGAGCAGAGGTCAATGATGTAGTTGGGCGCACCCTTGCACACGGCCAAATAGTTGGTGCCGGCCGGCAGCGGCATCCCACCCGGGCAAAGCTCTGCACCCTTCACGCGGGACACCGTCAGCATCATCTTCCGCGAAGACGAGAAGGGTACTTCTAGCACGCGAGGATATTCCTCGGCAATCTTCTCCGATAAGCCGACTTTGCGTGCGGCGACGACGATCGGCGCCTCGGACGAGTTGCCCTTGGGTGTCCACTTCATCACTCCCTCCTCATCCTTCTCTTTCGAAAGAGTTGTGTTGCAGCACAGGATGGCTGCAAGCAAATTGCTCTTCACGCCCATGTCCTTCCCGCTGTTGGCTGTGCTGCCACTGCGCTGGACTTGCCCCACCTCCGGGTCGAATCCTTTGCCCGTCACATCGTACGTCACACCGGCAGTGTACATGCCAACCATGGTCATCTTGCCTTCTGTGAGCGTTCCCGTCTTGTCACTGCAGATCACGGAAGCCGAGCCCAGAGTCTCCACGGCAGCAAGCTTCCGAACCAGCACCTCCTGATTTACCATGTCCGAACATCCGATCGATAGGGAGATCGTGACGCAAAGTGGGATGCCCTCTGGAATGGCAGCGACTGCCAAGGTGACTGACACCAGGATCATGTAGAGCCAGGCCGCACTCTCAGGATTCGAAGGGTCTTTGCGGTCTGAGACCCAGCCAATGATGAAAATGCCGACGCAAATCGCGATGGCAAGGATGCCGATGCGTGCGCCCAGCTTGTTCAGATTCTGCTGCAGGGGCGTTTGGCTTCCAGAGGTGTCCGGGAAACAGAAACATGTGGTCTTCTGACCTCCATCCTCGCCAGCGATGAGCTTGGCGATGCGGCCGATGCGGGTGTTCATGCCGGTGTCCGTCACGAGGCCACGGCCAAGGCCGCTGGTGATGCTGCAGCCAGAGAATGCCATAGTCTCGGGCGTGAGCTTCTCCGGCTGACCATCCTTCTTCTCCTTCACCTTCGAGGTCTTGGCAACGTCGTCAGGCTCACCTGTAAGCGCCATCTCGCTGACCTTGAAGTCCTTCGCCTCGAAAAGCCGCAGGTCTGCAGGCACCACGTCGCCGGTTCCCAAGACAACGATGTCGCCACACACAACACTTGGAACTGGCACCTGGACCTCTTTTCCATCTCGAAGGACGTAGATGTTGGCCTGGGTCATCTTAGAAAGCGCTTCGAGGGCATCGCCAGCTTTGTGCTCTGTCCATGCCGCAATGCCGGCATTGATCAGGACAATGATTCCGATAGCAATGCCTGTGGTGTATGAGAGCGGGTCCGCGGCGTTGGGGCCCGTGGCATTCACAAGGATAGAGGCCACAGCTGCCACCATGAGGAGGATGATGATGAAGCTCGTGAGCTGCATGAGGAAGAGCATCAACAACGTGGGCTTGGGCGGCTTCTCCAACTCGTTCAAGCCATCTTTTTCAAGGATTTCTGCAGCCTTTTTGCCTGTGAGGCCCTTCTTGAGGTTGGTTTTGTACTTCTTCGCCAAAGCTTCAATGTCCAGCTCTGCATCCTCCTTTTGCTTTGCATCCTTGTCGGACGCCTTCGGCTTGGATTGCGGCTTCTTGAGGTTCTTCTGAGACATCGCTGCAGCGCTGGTCAGGTCAAATCTCTTGCTAGCACAAATGCTCGAGCCAAGAGGGGTGCGTGCGTGCAGGCACTTCCTTACTACCTCAACTCCCTCGTGCCGTATGCTGGCAGCAGTCGATGTAAAGACTAATGAGACATAATCGGGTACCGGTGCGCTAGTTATGCCAGTTGCAGCCCTTGTGCAGGCTGTCCGTAGCCCAGCCAGCATCGAACTTCAGCCACGACTGGTGGCTTTGGTTGATCCAGTGCCTCCCGGGATACTGATTCCAGAACGAGATCTTCAGTAGAACACAGTTTAATTTCCTAGTCCAGTAGAGATCACTTGAACATGTCCGGAAAGAAATTTGTCGAGGCTGGCGATGACATGTCGGGGTACCACAGATGTCACGGTCGAGAATGCAAAAGGCAGGAGTTCAGCACACTGGGTGGGTGGAAGGGGGGGAATGCCGATATCTGGCATTGACCGAAGCTTCTACAGCTCTGCCATATCTCGTTCTGGTTGCAGCACGTAGTCCGCAATGGGATTATGTCTCTTCAGGGCCACATCACTAGAAAAGTGGACAAGGTGCTTCTTGGCAGAACCCTTTCTTGCCCAGTTCGTGATCGCAAGCGTACCATCGTCGAGGATGCAACCATACATGAGCTGAACGCCACTCGCAATCCTCGGCTCAGCACACTCACACCAGTAATCGCAAACTTCACAATAGTAGCCCAAGTGTTGGTTATGCCAAGCAACCATCCTTACGCTTACACTGGTGCTGCGGCTGACCGGGTCTTGCCTTCTCGGAACGTTTCAGCCTCTCGGCGGCTGAGACCAGCCAGGCCTGCCTGATGCAGCTCCTAAACATCCAGTATCATCTTTACAGGTACGAATGTGCAAGGCATATGTATGTATGCATGCAGGTAAGACCGTGTCTGTGCATAATATATGTGTATAAATAAAGAACCGAATAGACTAGAATAGACTAGACTGTAGTCAGACTTCTGCGATCTTTGTGTCTAGAGTTTTAGCAAAAACCTGTCGGGTCTGTCATGACAAGTGTCGCTTTGTTGACCTCGTGTCAGAATCACGATCTTCGTCACAGTTGGGGCTTTGGGGGCACGTCCGGAAGAGCATCCGTGTTGCTCGTTGTATCCTGGCATTCGCCACATGGTTGCAATGGGTCAACTGTCTCAGGGATCGGGCGAGTTTGGGAGGATCCGATCCTTGTGGTTGTATAGCAGTCCTGTTGGCGGCTTTACAGCCCTCGGCATCTTAATTAAGACCCGGGCGTGGGCAAGCCGAGAATACCGGGATCATGTCCAGTCATGATGTATACATGCATATACACCCTGTTCATCTGCTTTCTATAAATGGGCATCGACACTGCTGTTGAGAGCAGTTCCACTAAAACATCAGTCTTGTAAACAGTATACACGAGCCAAAGGTAATCACCCTACTTTTTTGCCCGTTGTTACCCTCTTTGGAACCCCTCTGTTTCTAAACCCCTGACCTCAAATTGACAACAGCCGTTTTGAGCAAAGACTCGGCTGTACGCAGTCGTTCTTAATGTTTTGCAGCCCACACCCGGCTGGGTGCCGAACGCTTTCGCTACTTGGCCTTGACGCAATGCTACCTGCACAGTACCATGATGAGTGTCAAGAACTAGCATGGCAAGTGGACATAAGTAGTTACAGCTTCTGCAACAGCCGCCTGGGCCAATCGAGTGGGCCAAAGGCAATTCTCTGAGTCCAAGTGTTCCAGCTCCTGGAACTGCAATGAGGATTGGCTTGCGAGAAAGGAGCTGTGCTGATTCCGTTCTGGTGGCTTTCAAGCTTCCGGGTCTCGCTCCTAATGCGACAGCTGATCGAACTTCAGTGACTGAGAGACGTCTATGAGACGGTAGACCCCAATCTTCATATGCCATCTTTGCCAGTCATAGCATACCTTCAAACGCTTTACAGGTTCAAAAGCAATTGCCTCTCGGTTTCTCGCAGGTCCAAGTCAAAGGCTCTCAGAACTCCTGCATCCTCCCTCGCTGCAAAGTTACTACTAGACTGAGTCTGAAGCGATTTACCGGCCCCAGGCTACGAGCAAAAGCTTCGTTGCTCAAGCCTTGGTTTCTTCTCTGGTGACGCTAGGGCTGTGGCTCTTGTCTGGGAGGCACAAGCTTGAGAAAGAAGTTTTGCCGGTGGGGATTGTGCTCTGTTAGCTGAAGCTAAGACAAGGTCTTCTGGATTACTTGCGAAATCTGTATGATGCCGTTCCTGATGTGCCAGCATTTAAGTTGTGACTAAGGTAGGTCAACACAAGCAGCAAACCAACCTGCAAGTAGGTAAATACCCTGCCTCAAGCCAACACCACCGAACCCTCAAGCGGCAAAAACCCAGCACTCACAACTCATGAGTTCCTGAGAAAAATCCGAAGCCACCATTGTGCTGCATTGAGCTGTCCTGTCCTGATACCAGATAACTGCCTCAGGAAAGTGTCCACGCTTCCATCGAGCCGTTGCTGCAACCTCCAAGACTTCCTGGTGCACTTTCAAGAATTCGTGGAGTGAGAGCTCTGCTCCGACGCAGTTCCACCGAGGCAGAATCAGGCATGGGCAGCTACAAAGGTCTTTTAGTCACAATCCGGATCCTTGGAGGTTCTGTTCTCTTTGGCAGCAACCTCGATGAAGTCAAGTGCCTGTGCATCCTCCAGGTAGCAACAAGAGGAGGTGAACATCAGCAACTCTCCACATTGTTCCCGACGATAAAAGAATATGACTTGCTCATGGATGCTGGGTGGCCTTCCCGGCCCTTTCCATCATCAGTGCCTCAGGAATTCCAGATGCCAGGGACACATCTGACCCTCCTGGGTACCGCTATGAAGTGCAAATCTTGTGACAAGCATGAGGAAGGCAGTGGACTTCGACAGCGTGTCCAATTGGTGTGGGTGCAGCTACGCCGCTTCGGACGCAAGGCCACGCCTTCTGTTCCAAAGCCAGGGCGTTGCTTGGACAAAGCCGCAGCGCGCGGTCCAAGTCAGCCTGGCAAGATCTGGCAAGTCTACCCGCACCTGCTACGCAGCATTTTCTGCATGCAGATTCGCGACACGCTTCTACGGTTCTACTAGTGCCACTTTACTCGCCTCAGCATCATCCGATGTGTGAGTCGTTGCCTGCAGAGCCCAGACGCACTTCGTTCGATCTATAATAAGTTGCACGGAGAAGAGGAGCACCAGCTTTTTGGCCGCCAGCTGCGCGTGCCACTCAGCGTTGCCTGGCTCCAACCTCAGCCCACACAAGCGCAGCACCTCTTGAATTGCAACAGTATCTCACGAGTCCACATAGAAACGCTCCCACGACAGGCACGGCACCAGCATGCACCGGCTACCAACATGTTGCTGTCCATGCTCACCCTTTGTAAAGCTTCGGGGTGGGGAGCTTCAGATCTCAATGTTCCTAATGCTTGGCCTCCGTTTTCCCTATTTGCTGTGATACACTCCACCCCGAATCTAAACGGCCAAACCTATGACTACAGATTTTCACTTCTGCTGAAGCATGGACATCGCATATCCAAAGCGGGACCCCTGCAGTGCCAATCGCCGCAGAGCACGGAGCTGCAAAGGGACGTCCTGAGCTGCAGCGGCCAGGCCCCGCCAGGCGGTCGCGCCTCAGTTCCAAGAGAGCCCAGGATTCACCCGACGCCACTGTTACCGGTGCTCCTGCGATTGTGGCTTGCAGAAATACTACCAGCGCGCCCATGAAGACAAGAAGAAACCGGCGAAGAATAACAAGAACAAGACAAACTTGCAAGCAGCAAAACAGCTGCTGGCTCAGCACACTTATCTGCTTCTCGCAACAAGGATCACAGGTCGGCTTGTAAAGTCGTAAAGGGGGCCGCATGGGTTTTGGAACTGGTTGTCAGAGCCTTCAACCGGGTTGGTATGGCTTTTGGGGCTGGTTGTGCTTCCAAGGTGCTTTGAAAGTTTTGGCATGATTGTCTAAAGTCTAAAGTGTTCTGAAGGGTTTTCGCTCTTCTTGGAGCTTTTGCTACTGGGCTTAAGGCTACGTAGTCTAACGGGCTCTTAACGGGTTGCATTGCTGAAAACCATATCTGGAGTGTGTTGTTTTGACTCCGCCCAAATCACAACAATGGCCGACTTTGCAACCCCGTTCCAAAATTCTCTAGCTCATGCCCACCAAAGCATGGAGAATCTCAGTCCCGAATCATCCCCGCGTGCCGGCTCTTGACAAGGTAGTTTGCAGGCCACTGATTTGGGTCGCCGCCTCCACCACCACCGGCCACAACAACAAGTACAAATAATGCACCGTCTCCAATGCTTCCCGCTCCTGCTATGAGTCTTCTCCTCCTCCTCCTGCCTCCGCTAGAGTTGCAGATGCTGCTCCATCACCAGCTTCCACTACTGTACGGTACCAAGACGGCTCAACGACAACTACTTCGACAACAAGCACGCGCGACGGGAAACTATAATGCAACACTGGTAGCTAACAAACATAGCAGCGTGATGTAGCGCTCAATCCCTTCAATCCCTTCTGATGCTCAGGATACAGAAAGAAAGGGTTCAAGTGGCAACACCTTGCTCACCCATTCACCGAGCCTGTGCAGACCCTTACCTCTGGCTTGTGGTATCACAAGCATCGCTTGAAATACTCGTTAAATTTGACGGGATCAAGCTGCTCCGATATACCCCACCTGAGACGACAGATTCTGCTGCCCGAGGTCCCGGCTGTCTGGATTTAGAGTTGCCGCTGCCTGAGTCTGAAGATGTGCGCTGTGTGGTTTGCGGAGGTTTCTGGTAGCCGCGAGAGCCAGGCCTGGCGGGTGGGTGCTACCGTAACTCCAGAACCATGCAAGCTCGAGTTCGGGAGACAATGGGCTCGGGAACAATAGTTGACTGCCGCGGAAGACGATCCTTAGACTCTGGACTCAGAACCTGGGAGCCGTACTTCCCAAGCGATAAGAGCTTCGCTGGTCTGGCCCAGCTTCTGATGAAGGTCCTGGGCCCAGCACTCTTAAAGCTTAGACTTTAGAAAGTGCCTAAGCGTGGCTGGAGGCTGCTTGGCGAGCCTTCGGCATGCTAACACCCATGTCATAAGACTAAGTTTGTGCGATTTTTGCCCCCGTGATTCGCCTTCGCCGTGTTAGAATCAACAAACGGAAGTCATAACAAAATCATGCCCCACCACGTAGGCGTCCTCAAATTTGAGCAGTCTGCAAAAGTCGATTCGCTACCACCATGTAACCGCGCATTACACAGGATGAGCATGGGCTTGTCCTATCTTATCATATCCACGGTTGGCACAGCGACCGAATGTTGATCGATCTGGGACTCGTTCCGCCTGCAGAAACCCACGCAAAATCCATGCAACCCTCGAGTCAGATTTCGCTTAGAGTAGCATTTCGCATTTGGCTTTCCGTGCGAACACCTTGTGATATGTGTACACCAGGATTACGTCTGATCGCCTGGCAGTGTTAACACCCTGGCAAACTCCGTACAACTAACACGTCAAATCTAGGCTCGCCGTGTCGAAACCGTATGACACCCGCAAACACCTAATATCAGTGTGGTGGACTTGGCCACATCTTTGGGCCGAGGCAGATGCACTAAGGAAGGCAGTTGGTTGACTTGCTTCTACACCAGTTCGGCAGGGGCTGGTCAGCTGGAACTCCGACAAAGCTCGCCCGTTGTCTCTGGGGAGCCCACGGCCAGAAGCAGGTGCAGAGAGGAAGCCTCCAATGCAGGTGCCAGCTTGGCTCCTGACATAGTCGTGCTCTGACATGTTGGGGGCAGGTTTACGTGTCATGGCTGGTATTCTTTCAAGAGCAACCCTCCGATGCACGGCTTTTTGAGCATCAGTCGAGTTGGACTTTTCATCATGCTCTACAGGGACACCATGACTGGCTCGGCAGAGAAGCCAAACGCCTCGTAGTCCTTGAAATAGAACTCTTTCACCATCTGCATTGTGGCCGCGGTTGGTGTTACGTTGCAATGGTTACTCTTGTGTATGTGCTTCCTTAGCGTCATTTGGCCAAGCCCATAACTTTCCACTAACACGGGAAATCGAGAATCGATGTCGTCGTACTTCAAAACATGACGACATATCCGCGGTGCGGTTGGGTCGCCGTCCTTGAAGACGTAGTAAGCCTGGGGAACGAAATGGCAGTCGTTCTTCAAGTCAAAGACTTGCAGCGCTTTCCGGGTGAAATTCTCCAACATCTCCGGGTCGCAAACCTCGGGCAACTTGTGCATCGTTCTCAACTGACTCAACATCCTGAGCATTGGATCCCGAACCACGCAGAAGGAGTCGCAGTCTGCCATGTACGATGCAGCCACAGTTGCGTCAAAAGCCGGCGGGAAATGCCACGGGCTGCACCCAGCTACATCCCTGTGCACAAGTTCACGGATGCTTTCTGGCGTGCTGGCAGGAGGGCTGGCTGGGACTCTGCATGATGGCCACTTACGCTGCCCCGTTTGCCAAGGCCAACCAGAAGCGTTTGAGCACCGAATCTGGTCGTCACATACACCCCAAAGCCGATGTTGGATCTTGCCGCGGCGCATCGCCACAGCACAGCTGGGATGCTCTGATGTTGAATGAATCTTGTTCGCCTCGATCAGTGCACCCTCAATGGTGCCGCCCATGGTTTTGGGGATGTGGATGAAGCTTAAGCATGCCTTTAACGACTCGTCGTCCTCCCGTTGCCGCGTTTGGATGAGTGATGCGCTGTCGCTCTGCGAAGCACATGCCCGATAAGATTCGTGGGTTGATGCCCCGGAGACCAGCCATGCGAGAAGAACCAGCTTCCCTGTTAAGTCTGCCATCAGATGAGTTCGTTCTTTGACGACTACGACTATTGAATTCTGAGCTGCGCTTTTGCGAGCTTGGCATGCAAGTCTGCAAGTAGATTGCGTAGCGGAGGTACTGCCAGATTAGATACCTTCCCTTGCCTGCCCGTAATGTTCAGTTTCGTTCGCTGTCTGCTACATTCCTGGCATAAGATCCACCAACATTGCAACTGTTGCACTGTGTGGAGCTCGCAGTGGACCCATGCTCCGTGCCTCTGCTGATGGCCCCAATTGCCTCGGCGGTGCGACCTTCCTGGAAGCGATTGTGCGTTTATAAAGGTACGTGCAATTTCGGATAAATACGTAACTACATATACCACACATGGACCACGGCATACGATTCCACAACCGTTGAACCGGATTTGGTTCCTGTGTTGGTGTCGTACAGCGCACGGAAACCACAGTCGTATATTGCTTTCATGCACCTTGCGCTGAAGCACCAGTCATGAGAACTTCTCTACAATTTAGCAGGCATCCATGTTGCAACTATTAGATTTTCCGTACTTCCAGTCGCATTAATGCTTCGTACTTCTTCTACTTATCGCGACATGCAAAAACAGCAACACCTGAAACCCAAAAAGGATTCTGTTTGTCCTTCTGTGTTGAGGCCTACCGATGGCCGCTATTCCGAGACAAGACCGACGCACTTTAAACAAAAGCCCCGTTGCTCCTGGACATAGCTTGTTCTTGTTAGAAAGAAATAGAAATCCTCCTTCCATCAAAGACAGGCATCAGAAGGCTTCTTGATCCTTGCGCTGTAGCCAGAACCAAGAGAGTTCCTACAATCTGTCAATATCGAAGAAGGCATGTCCTTCCTGTCCCTGAAACGAGAATGAGAATATGTCTGTATCTTCGTATGGTTCCGGAGAACCTTCACAATAAAGTATTCCGAGCTTCTAAAGTCTGACGACACGCATGGAATAGCTGCTCTTCTCTCTGTACTTTCAGAAATGAAAGAACCGCTGTTGTACCAAGAAACGGCGCAAGAACAACCGCTGCGATGTTTCAACACGAAGTATAGACACCCCTTCCGTCTCTCCACAAGAACTGCCTCTGTTTATGTTCTGGGGCCAGTAAACACTATGACAGGTTGAGCACGTTCGCCGTTCATCGTTTTCGTAAAACGCAAACTACCCCTGCGGAAAAGGTGATTTCACTCACATCGAGAGCGGACTCGCCTCTGCACTACTCTCTGCATTGGAAAACGGTAAACCAACTCCATTGCGTCTTGAGCGTAGGTATCTTAAGCAGACCCATGACTATCACTCAAGACTCACGTATGAATACCCGTTCATCTCCAATATCTTAGAGTCTTAGAACAGTACAAGAAAGCACAGAAGAGGCTCCCCGGTCTCTCAATATTGAAAAGAAAGCAGGAGAGCCTTCAACAAGGAGGCACATTTATCCGGACATACCCGGGCCAGGCAGAAGAGCAGCCCTGCAGAACAAAGGCTGGAAGTTGCGATTTCGAACCCATGTCAATGTGAAGAAATCGAGAGAGCTCCTCCACCGGGTGGTCACAGCACGATAGCTTTAGCTTTTGTTGAAACTAATATACGGCAGCTCCCGCTACCTCTGTTCAAGCAATTGGCACGGCCCTGGCGGGGTTCTATGCTTCTGGCAGAACCTTTCTGATATTGCAAAGTTAAGGATATGAGATTCTCCGGAAAAAGCAACGAACGATAGCATCAGTACATACCCGGGGCCACACTGGTTGCGCAGATTTCGGTGTTCTGAGTACTGAGTACTGTTGAGCATGCCGAGGTTTTCGCATCCCCGGTCACAAAAAATGAAATGGCTGCCAGTCTTCAACAACACCAATATCAGGTTGCCAGACGCTGCAAGGCTCAAGCACACACCAGATACAAAAATCAGCTAATGTTTAGCACCAAGCCTTGCGAATGTTAAGTATTTCGAGCCTGTCCGTATGTTCGAAGACGGCCACAGGCCCTAATGTAACTTTCAAAACCCACCGCTTCAAAAAGCGGAGCGGATCTTGCGCGTAAGGCGGGCCCGCGGTGAGCCAAATATGGCCATACACATAGACTTACACAAATAAACATTCAAGTATTTTTGTCACCCGTGCTCGACCAAGTATACATAAACAAACATGTAAATACCTGCGTACATGTGTACATGTGTAGATATATGTATATATCTACACATGCAAATACGTGTAGATGTACATGCTGCCACAGATGTATGTACGCACTTATGTATGCATGCAGGTATGTGTCGTGCACATAAGCTCGTGCTAGCATTGATATCTGCTACGAGTGCATCTGGCTTACTGACCCGACTACGGTGAATTCTACTCACGGGAGTGCTGCCAAAAATTGGTTCGTCATAGTACCAACATACATGCGATGTCCACATTAAATAGTGTTGCAAATCTGGTGGATGTTGGGACCCGTGCTATGGATGCAAATTATCTATGGACTTTTTTGTTTTTGTGCGTTTGCTTGGGGCGGAGGGAGGGAGTGGGGTGGATTTTTCCTACGGAAACACTACTTCCCTCACGTTTTTGACAGATTTGGTGCCATTGCTCGTAGATTATCCTCCGGAAAACGTACGTACCTGGGTTTTTCTAGGGAAAATTAAGGAAGTAACAGTTTTCCTTACATTTTGGACGGGTTTCGTGCCATTCCCCACGTTTTCCTAACGAAAACCTACGTTTCCTGGGTTGTTCTTGTCCTGAGAAAAACCGACGTAACCTTGGTTGTGGTAGTAGTAGTAGTAGTAGTAGTAGTAGTAGTAGTTGTTGTTGTTCTTTTTCTTATTCTTCTTGTGGTTGTTGTTAGCCCTATTTTTCAGTTTTATGGTTGTGTATTATTAATCATTATTGTACTATTTACTTGTTTTGGTATTGTTAGTATGATTTTTGCTATTATTACTGTTGCTGTTGTTGTTGCTGCTAGTGTTATTGTTGTGGTTGTTGCTGCTGTTCTTGCTATTCTTAAGCCGTCGTTGTTGTTGTTGTTATAGCCGCTACGGCTCACAGAAGGCATCTTGGCTGTGCCAGCTGGGTGTCGGGCGCAACTCTAAAGGTTTGCAACAGGCTCCTTTGCGAAGCGTAAGGGCCGTCCTTCTGAGCCAGTTGAGTGTGCCTCGGGGTTTCGTGCCTCTGTGGACTGCCGGGTCCCAATTCCCGGGCCTCCCGCTACAGCGAGTTCTGGACAAGCTGGAGGTAAGCGGTAGGGTTTCCACCTTTCCGCGCAGTGGAGGGAGCAGTATTTGTTTTTACGCCAGGTGTTGCGAAACAAGCGGATGGCGCGCCGACTGTGCTTCAGTGTTTTTCTCCCACTTTTGCTTTTACAAAAGGACCTGCGCAGCAAGCCAGTCAAGGAGCAGCTCCTGTCGTAAGTTGGCCGATTTCTGAACTTGGGTACCTTGAAGGAAGCTTTCGAGACGAGGCCTCGTTCTTTGCCTTTCTTCGACTTTTCAACTTCTGGGCAAGACACCCAGAAACAGCTTAAGGTCCTTTCTGTGCAGTTTTGCGGGGACATTGGATTTGCGCTTCTACGAGCACTCTCTTACAAGAAGGACCCGGGTCGCCTGTGCTTTTCATGCAGTCTGCTGCGGAAACTACACCTTCTTCCAAAGGCAAGGTAGAGTTCCACTGGCTGCGACAAAGCCAGTGCGATCGAATTCCTCCTTCACTTTTGAACGCCTTTTGCGCAGCGCCGCTGTTGAGCTGCCATCCCCTGGCAACAAGCCAGAGACGGGAGAGGATGGGTGCCACTTTGAAGCTTGCAACTCGTCAACATCCTCCCAATGCTGGACCCGATGCACCCCAGGGACTTCTCTTGTTATGGGGTGCCCTCCTGGGACGGCTATCCTCCCTTGAGGGGGAAGCCTTTCCACAGGCCGCCGGGCCAGACTTGTCTTCAGGACAAGGCGCAGATTGGGACACCGTGGACTCAATTCAGAAGACTGTCTTCAATCCCAATACGGCTCCACGTCGCATCTGGGTGCAGTCGCCAATCTGGCTGTGCTATGGGTGTCGGGCTACGGCTACGGCCCTCCCAGTTTTGTTCGTAACTGTCCTGTTTCCGACGGGGTCAGGCAGTGCTGGGAGTGACGGCTCACGTGCCTTGACGACGAACCATCCTTACGGCCATCGCTGGTAGTCCGGAGTTACCTAGTGTGGGAGGCCACTAGACGGGAACTCTGGGAGACGGCTCTTCGGATCATGGCCCGCCGGCTGCCAGTTCGTGAATTTTGGACGCAATGACTCACACTGAGGGTGGCGGAGGATACAACACATACAGATCTTGTGAGTCTAGCTGTCTAGCTGTCACCACATAAGGATTTGAGTGCGCAGCTGCAGCACGAGCACCGCTCGTGCCAAAACCAGGGCACCGCCTTTGGGAACTGATAGCAACGTCAAGTGACCTGCCTCATTGAAGCAAGTGCTGAAGAGCTGCCGCTGCACTGTACAGTATGCAGTGACACTCGATTTATTTAGGCCCTTCTCTTTTAACCTTTCCTAACAAAGGTTCTTCGTTTTCTTTGCCTGACGATCCTATAGGGGTTGAACGGCCTTCTCAGTTCGTTTAGCTTTCTGTGCTTCTGTTTAAGGTTGTTGGCTAGCCCGAGGCCTCGGAACATAAGGAGTTTGGCTCATTGCTCCCGACACGGATGAAGGAGGTACCTGTGATGATCGCAGGGCAGTCCCCTCGCGCCGCCACAACCTCAGTAACGAACTGTAAGGCCGCTTTACCTCTATTGGAATGTCGGCAGGTCAGCTGCTAAGGGGCGGCGCTGGCCTACGGCACGTCTCGAAGTTTCTGATGCGCACGCTGTGAACAGAGCCCGCTCGCTCAGCGTCCAATAGAGATTGTTGTTATTTTGTCATTTTTCTTATTCTTTTGGTTCTTGTTGTTAATTATTGTCGTTGTCGTCGTTGTTGGTGTTGATGCTGCTTTTGTTGAAGTGTCACTGTTTTTGTCGTTGTTGTTGTTGTTGTTGTTGCTGCTTTTGCTACTACCCGAATTGTAGTAGAACTTAAAGAAAGCAGCAGGGTCTGCAGTTCAGACACCGGGGGGTAAGGGGGAGGGAGAAAGCAGCACAGTTTGCAGTTTAGAAGAGGCGTTTTTTTCTTTTGAGGGGAGGGGGGCAGTCCCCCCTTTTGCAAACCTTCCAAACATGACTTTGTTTTCTTCGCTTTTACCCCCTAAGGCGATTTCGTGCGGCTTCTCCATCTTGTGTGTTGGAGAAGACGCTTTTACTCATTTATTCGTTTTACAAAGGAGACTCTCTTTCACTTTACTTTGTTTTCTTGCTTTTTTACCCCCCAGCTGATATGTCTGGCTTTCGCCTTCTTGTCTGCGGTGAAGACGTTTCATTCATGATTAGTTTATTTTCGTCGCTTTGAGCCCCCTGAAGGGTTTTCGTGTGGATTTCTCCTTCTTGTGTGTTGGAGAAGGCGTGTTCATTCATCTCTTCACGGCTTGACCCCCCCGTTTGCAACGAGGGGGCCGCCTTCGAAGCGGACTTCTTTGCTAGTGTTGGAGAAGATATTGTTATTCTTTTAATAATACCAGTAGCAATAGTAATATTAATAGAAATAGTACGAAAGCAAAGCGTTCAAGCACAGCAGCGGAGAAGCAGAGAAGCACAAAAGCTGAAAAGGAACAGGAAAGCAAAGGCGGAGGAAAGCAGTCAACGAGAAAAGACAACCAGCAATCAAAGCAGGGAAGAGCAGCAAGCGGCAGATCACGGTTAGTCACCGTTTCCAACGTCATAACATCACCAATTTTCATGTAATCAGAACCGCTCAAAGTTCCAAGCTTTCCTAGACCTCCAAGAAGACGCTCACCCCACCCCGAACACATGCTTGATAAGTGAGCCACAGAATGCAAGGAAGACGAATGCTCCTCGCAGTTCGCCCACTGCGACATGCAGTCTGTTCTTCAGCTACGACAAAGCATGTGCCTCACGCTGAAGACCATGTATTAGCAAAGACTGCTCCCGAGAGCACCATGCGAAACCTCAATATTTCAGCGAAGTGCCAAGCCGAATTTTGTTTTTTTGCACCACTTTCTTTTTTTATCGGTGGTGGGATTCCCGTATAGGATAAGGCGCCTTTTGCAGGATTGCAGTGACTCCCAGTCTGCGGTGTCATGCGATTGCACTTCTACTGATTTTCCCACGGGAGGCATGGTGGCATAGCGCCGATGTAGAGTGACGGCTCTGACCAGCAGAAAGCATCTTGATAAAGTTTAAGGTTCAAGAATACCCTCAGGTACTGTTGGGTCTACCCCGGGTCGGATATTAGACCCCAAGCCCTGGGTCTAATATCCAAAGTCATTTTAGACCTTCACGCTTTGGCCTATGATCAAGTCTCTGTTGGGGCCGTTGTGGCTCGTCATTGCGTCAGTACGTTTTAGTTCGCGCTTTTGCGTGCCACTGTAGTCCCCTGCCGGCTTGGCTTCTCCCCGGTCCCAGTTATCGTCTCTGGTTCTGCTTCTGTCCGTTTCGGTTCCGCTGTGGTCTCCGCTCAGCTCTGGAAAGTCTCGGGTTCGTTGTTCTTTTCGGTTCCAAACCGGTTTCGGATCGGATACACCCCGGTTCCTTGTGGCGGTTGGGCTGTGGTTGTGTGGCGCTGGTTTCGGTTCGGATCTTGCTGCGGCCCAATTGAGTTGCACTGAGTGCGGGGGCCCGCTTCCGAGTTCATCCGTCGCCGCCGCCCCTGCATAATGTCGCCTCCCAAATGTCCCACTTCGCCTTTAGGAACCCGGGAGGAACCTGGAAAGCCTAATTACCTAATTTTCGTTTTGCACAGGGATTCTTTATTCTTATCGATGCGACTCGGGCTGAGTTCGGTTTGGGTTGAGGTGGAACTGTTTTGCTTCCCAGGTCTCGTCTTGGGTTGTCGGCTTGGGGTCGGTGTCTCTCCCCTGTAAAGATTCGGTTTCACCTAGGTTTCCCTCAGCTCGCATTTTTTTTACGAAGCCCTGGCAACCCTCTATGGAGGTAGAAGCACGAATCCAAGAGTGCTCCAGGCTGAGTTCCGAAGTTCCGGGTTTGCGGCTTCTGGGTTCAGGCGTTTAAAATTTCTGGGTTTCTGCTTTTCTGGGTTTGGGGATGTTTCTGGATTCAAGTGTTTAGCGGTTCTGGGTTTCTGTTTCTGGGCGTTTCTTTGTTTAGGTGTTTAGGGTTTCTGTTTTTCGGTATTCTTCCCGAATCGCATTTTTGGGTTTATGTGTTCAAGTTTACTGGGTTTCTGCATTCTTGGGCGCTCGTTTAACGTTTCTGGGTTTCGGCCGTATGCTGTCCAGGGGCACAAACCAGGGCACACGGGTACCACGAGCCCTCGCTTACCCATCCATAAGAAAACTGGCCACAGCAGCACAGCACCGGCTTCCGGTTGTATCCGTCTCGAGGTTCCTATCTTACTCAGACGTCTATATTGGTTTGGGATCTATAGGGTGTGGTTTGGGGGGTTTGGGGTTCCTGGGGTCACGCCCTTTGCAGATTGTTGGGTTTGGTGACGTTTGTGGGCTTAGGTGTGTAAGGTTCCTGGTGTTTGCGTTTCTGGACGAATTTGTATTTGCGCTGTTTAAGTTTCTTGGTTTCTGCGTGTTTGGGTTTGTGGATCTAAGTGTTTAGCGTTTCTGGGTCTGTTTCTGTGTTTAGGTGTTTACGCTCTCGCAACTCGGGCAATCCAGACGAGGTTCTTGGTCGGCAACTGAACATCTAGAGAACTCTCCCGGCAGCTGCATAAAACAGCGAACAAACCAAGGTAAGGCCACAGACTACCAGCCATCGGGGGAGTAACAAAACGGCCCCACGCATTGGAGCGGAGCACCCCTCGCACCCCAGCGTAAAACAGCAAAACACAAGGTAAGGCCATGGACTACGGGATACGAGGAATCTCCAAGTACAGAACAGACAGGATATACAGTACGACACTCCCCATGCATCTAGACAATGAGGACGAAGGCGTGAAACAACAGCACAAAATTAGGCGATTTCCATAACGTTGTTTAGGTGTTTAGGGTTTCTGTTTTTCGGTGTTCTTCCCGAAACGCATTTTTGGGTTTATGTGTTCAAGTTTACTGGGTTTCTGCGTTCTTGGGCGCTCGTTTAACGTTTCTGGATTTCGGCCGTATGCTGTCCAGGGGCACAAACCAGGGCACACGGGTACCACGAGCCCTCGCTTACCCATCCATAAGAAAACTGGCCACAGCAGCACAGCACCGGCTTCCGGTTGTATCCGTCTCGAGGTTCCTATCTTACTCAGACGTCTATGTTGGTTTGGGATTTATAGGGTCTGGAGGGTTTGGGGAGGTTCGGCATGCGGTTCTGGAGTTTAGGGTTTCTGGGTTTGTGCGTTTCTGGACGTTTCTGGGGGGTTCCTGGTCTTTGGACGCTTTTGGGTTCAGGTGTTTGGGTTTCTTGGTTTCTGCGTGGGGGGTGTTTCTGGATTTAAGTGTTCCGGGTTTCTGGGTTCCTGCTTTTCTGGGCGTTTCTGGATTTAGGTGTTTAGTGTTTCTGGGTCACGGGGTTCCTCCCGAAACGCAGTTTCTGGGTTCATGTGCTTAGGTTTATAGGGTTTCTGCGTCTTTGAGCGTTTTTTTACGTTTCTAGGTTTAGGTTTATAGGCGCTTCAGGTTTTTGGGTTTCTGCGTTTCTCGGTTTGGTGCTGCTTCTGGGCTAGGGCTTTTGCGTTTTTGCACGATGTTGGGCGTAAGTGCTTTTAGCTTCTGGGTTCTGCGTTTCTCTGGGTTTCGGTGTTTAGGATGTCTGGGTTTCTGGGATTCTGCGTTTCGGGTTTAAATGTGTTTAGGTTTCGGTGCTCACACTCACTCGGGCGATCCAATGTTTAGATTTCGGCGCTCACACTCGGACAATCCAGGCGAGGCATGTCGACAAGGCGAAGGCATGCACGCCGCAGTGCAAACCATGAGAGTGACTAGTGTTCCTGAGTTTCTGCATTTTGGGATGTTTCTGGGTTGTTAAAGGCTTCTCGGTTTTTGCGTTTGTGAATGCAGTTTCGGTCAAGCGATTTTCACGAGCAGGCACCGCGAGACGCAAATCTCACATCCATTTCGGTGCTCGTGGACCTGTAATTCAATTTCGCGACCCGCCAAACCGAGAATAGTGCGAAGCGGCGGCCAAAAGCTTAACACCAAGTTTGGTCCAGCGACTGGAACGAGCAGGCACCGTGAAACACAAATCTCACATCCATTTCGGTGCTCGTGGACCTGTAATTCAATTTCGCGACCCGCCAAACCGAGAATAGTGCAAAGCGGTGGCCAGAAGTTTAAAACCAGTTTCCGTCCGACGATTCTCATGTGGGTCTGGCATCCGCGGGGCTGGGAGGGTCTAATATCCTGAACCCCGGATTTCAGACCCTGCACTCTCGGGCCCCCCGGGGCCAGGATTCCAGACCCTCCAGTACATGACCCTATGTTCAAGAACAAGGTGTGCTAGGCAGGTGTGGCATTGCCCAACTTCCAGTACAGGAAAGGAAGCAGCGAGATTCAGATGTTTGTTTCTAGTTTCCAGATCGAGTTCTTGTTTCTTCTTTTCCCATCCCCGCCCGAAAGAGGCAAGCTTCTGGCCCAGCGTGCGCAGTCTGCTAGACGGCGTTTTGCGGCTTTAAACCTGCGAGACCCTGCATGTGCCTTCAGAAGCAGCTGGCCGTAACCGCGGACAAGACCATAGCTGCCCGGAAAGGACTGCAACGCTTCCTGAGTCAGCCAAACCAGTAAGGGAGAATCTATTCAGTTCAAGCCACCCAGTGTACTCCAGTGACCCCTAGTGGCGCATTTGATGCAAGGCTGAACTGAAGTCTAGCGAATCCTTTGCATCGCGTGTCAACGTTTGCAGAACGTGGCTGTGAGCAAATGGCGCTTGTGTTGCTGCCCTGCTTCAAACTAAGTTATGATATGACTCTGTAGAGAAACCACGACAACAAGACTGGAACCATCCAGAAACTCCAAGGCGAAGTCTCAAGAACTCTGATGAATCCCGTGTGAGCTTCGAAAGGTCTAAGACTCGACGAGCAGTAAATTTCGGCTGCGATTGACATGGTAGCGGCTAGCACTGCATCACGACCTCCTAATTCCGATTAGACACTCCGCCTGCTGCTGCTGCTGTGCCTTCTTCTGTTCCCGATCCTCCTACTCATCGAGCTCCGGCTCTCACGCGCAGCAACAGCGCCACCCCGCCACCACTGCGACAACTTCTACATACTTTTAGTGCTCTGATTCTGAGGTGCCTAGCTGAGGCCCTGACACGGTAGACCTCCATGGCTTCCTTCGACCGTTGATTCCGAAGGTACATCTGGGCCTGGAGTGGTCAATGAACAGGCCATCAGAAGCTCATCGGAAAGACTCAGAAGCATGCAAATGCTGGCTGTTTCACTCAGTCACTGAATTGGTTCCTTGGAACTGGTATAGGAGCACGGGACATAGTACGCTGGCATCTACTGGCACTAAGCACAGCAAAAAGAGAACAACACTCATAGCTTATGGCAGCATTCTTGTCGCGGCAAACGCTTTATTGAGGTCACATCTGCAGCTGCTGAAATCTCAGGGACAGCTGAGATTTGCTCGAGAGACTTTGCGGTATCCTCGTCTGCAAGGCCCTCCGGATGGTAGAATGCCTTTCTCGGTGGCGTCCAATCTGCACTCTCTCGTCTTCTGCACTACCACGCCAGCCTCTTCGAACAGCTTCAAGGCATCCTCCCTGCGGTCCAAGACGAAACTGGCCTGCCAAATCCACATACAACATCTCCCATCTGAAACGCTGTTTGCAGCAGCCTGTGCACCAACCCCCGGCAGACTTTGGGACGCCATCCGACGAGCAGACTCGACACCGCTGGTGGAGTGCAGCTGCCTTTGGCTCAATGATTGAGCTGAGCTGTGTCACTGCCACGGGTGTCGCGTGAAGACCACGGAGGTGAGAGCGACGTCGGCAACCAGTGGCGACAGGTGCTACATGGGCAAATGCATCAACAGATCTTTCATGAGCTCGGGCCTACTGTCAAGCAGGCAAAGAGTGGACGGGGCATCACACCTGATGCGCTTGAAATTCTGTTTCACGAATTCAAAGGCCTGCTCAGTCACATCCTCCATGAAGAACTCTTTTGCTGCAACCCACCAGGACACCGCATTTTGCACATTTAATGTTCGGCGCACATATACGCAGCATTCCTGACACAATCGAGTTAACTGACACCTGTGCGCCAGGCGCAGAACATCAAGGACGTTGCTATCTGCTAGGTCAACTTCGTCGGTGTAGAGATATTGGAGCATTGCAGAGAAGGCCTCCTTTGTGGTATCTTGAATAGGTATTGGCCCACTCTGCTTGCCCTCGATAAAGTCGGAGTTCAACATCGTGTAGAAGTACTCAGACCTCCCGAGATTCAAGCGCGTATGAACGTGCTGTGGCCGATCTATCATGCTTACCCATGCTGGACATTCAGCCAGGCGTGCGGGCGACCCTCGCGAAATTTAAAGATTGGTCTGTCAATGCAAGAGAGAACAAGCACGACAACCAGCGACAAACATCTTACCATATCTTACAGCGCCAGGCCTTGCCATGATGAGAACCCTGCAAGCAGCTACCACCTCACCATCCACCGAAAAACTGATGTCGGAAAGCGCCGGATCGGACAGCATGCGTAGCCTCACGGACTCTGTTCAGGGGTTTTACAATCGACATGGCAGAGTGCCGGCTGAACTGCTCGAAAGAAACATGTCCCGTCTGAAGGAGGAAGGTGGTTGCAGGAGCACTCCGACTGCACCCACATTGTTCGGCGGCCGCAGCCCAGCATGTACCAAACGAATCCTCGCTGGGGAGTTTCAGGCTTTCTGGAATTCACTCCTGAGGAGAGGGGAGTAGAGCTGAAAGCATTTAAAGATTTCCTTGGCTGTCGGCAGCAGTCCTGAAATTGGAGTAGTCCAGAACGACGATCTTACCATCACCATCTACTGCAACATCAGTTGGGGTGTGAAATCTGGCGGTCTCCAGCGCCCCATCGGCAAAACCCATGTCTCCACCGACGATAGTGCTAACCTCCAGGGGTAACTTGTGAAGTGGTCGATTCTCCAGTGCAGACCTACTGGTAGCATTGGTAAGCTATCGCTCTATTCCCATGCTCGGCTGGTAATTCACTGTGAGCTTGCTTGTGCGACTTTGATCTCACCTTTCCGTCTGGCTGGACTTTGCGAATGCGGTGGTTTTCGGTATCGGCCACGATCACATTACCGTCGCCGTCGACAGCGAGGCCCTCGGGGCAATGAAACCTCGCCTGACAGTAGCACCGGACGCTACAGTACATTTCGCAATTTCGCAAGCTCTCCCGATCATTAGACAAAAACCGCACTGTTCTCTCGGCAGTGCAGACCTCCGCAGCAGGACCGTCAATGTAGCCTTCCATGCCAGCTCCAGCAAGAGTTGACACTTGCCCTTCTGGAGTGACCTTCCGAATGCTGTGGTTGTTGGTGTCTGCCACGACGATATTGCCCTGTAGGTCAATGGCCACGGACTCTGGGTCCGCAAAGGCTGCGCTCTCCCCCGGACCGTCCTGAAAGCCGGCAGTTCCACAACCTGCCAAAGTGGTAACCACACCTTGTGAGATTTTCCTGATGCGATGGTTGCTGGTGTCTGCTACGAAGATGTCCCCGTTGGCGTCGATGGCCACGTCTTTGGGATCGTTGAAGCAGGCATCTTTGCATTGACCATCGTTGGAACCGGGCTCACCATTTCCACTCAGTGTGAGTACGACAAACCTGTCAATGGCCCGGTTGACGAACACCTTGCGCACGCAGTGGTTCGCAGCGTCGGCAACAATGAGATTTCCCTCCTGCGTTTCAAGCCCCGAGACAACATGGCAGTTTTCACCTGCATGCTACTGCATGAGATCGGGCTAGTGTTTCCTGGTCCAGCGCCACACCCTCTGGGTCGTTGAAGGTCTCAGATCCGGCCTGGAGCTCAAGATATCTTATGAAGGCTCAAGGATGCTTAGCTCTAGGCTTGAGGTTTCCGGAGGCTCGGGGGCCCTGGGGGGCCCTGGCCCTCGCCTTGCCCTCGCCATCCGACAAGCCTTGATTGCCGCTGCCGACCACTGTGCACACTGTGCCATCGGCGGTGACCTGTGAAAATGGCCCAAGAAGTGTGCATCCCGACATGCAAGCTGTTGGACATGCCTTCCGAATCCGCAGGTTGCCAGTGTCCGCCACGATGACGTTGCCCTAGCGGTATGGCTGGGAGTCTGTACTCTGGCAGCTACAACAAGAAAGCACAAGCAGGCACGCGTGCACTCTTGTCTACGAGTAGCGGCAAAGTTGTTTGAAGCAGTGCCTCCCTGTCGATGGCAATACCCTCGGGATTCGCAAAGCAGGCAGTCTTACCAGGTCCATCCGCGTAGCCATAGCAACCCGTTCCGGCAAGTGTGGTGACGGCATCCTGCGCCTCAGAGTTCTTGTCCAATCTCTCTGAGCCTCTTGTACTCCTTTCTGCAGATTTTGAGCGGGTAGTCATCTCTTCTTTGCTCTAATCCGGCGCTTGCGCCAGTATGTATGGTGCAACCAGCCATTGCAAAGATCTCCGTCAGACGCTATGGAGAATTGCAAAGGCCCAAACTGAAGCATGACTCTGAGATAGCGTGCTGACCTTGCCGCGATGTTTTTGTCAAGCATTCCATTAAGGCCATACTGTTTCGGCTTTCCAAGTTGCCCTAGACCGGCAACTTGAGCTTCGGTGGCTGCGGTCCGAGGCTGTGCGAGCTCCTCACTTCGTGGACCCTCACAGCATCTGCGCTGCATTGGGCTTCCCCTCCCGAGCCAAATCTTGAGAGCAACGGGAGGAATAAGGAAGCACGTGGAATCACTTAGCATCTTCCGCCTCTGCCAAGTCCCGAAGCAGCTGCCGCTGAGGTGGCGACGCACCAGCCCGAGCCTTCTTGAGGCAGGCCGGCAGGCTTGGAGTGTTCCAGCATTCTCGGCATAGAACTGCTCAATTTTCTGGTCTTGTGTGAGCTACTAGTAGTAATCGAGCGAGCCTTGGTGCCAGAGGCTGAAATCACACACCGAATCTTGAGTGAAGCACTGCAACACGCGACAATTCCAAATGGCGGGCTCGTGTGTCACCCCTTGCCAGTGGTGTAAGTTGATGTCCTAAGAGAGGTGCGCACATGATGCGAATCTGAGTTCAGAAGCATATTCGTGTTCGGATGCGCCCCCTCTTTCGCAAAGCCCATGTTCCCAAGCAGTCAGAGAAGGTGGGGGGCTTCCCTGACCCCAGTTGCTTCGCTTGATCTTTCGCACAGCCCATGTTCCCAAGCAGTCAGAGAAGGTGGGGGGCTTCCCTGACCCCAGTTGCTTCGCTTGAGGCCATGCAGGCACAATTTAATTTCTCCTTCTGCCGACTGCGACCGCCCTCTCCCTTGGAACTCGGATAATCTTGAGTAGCTGCACTCTCGCCCTGCGAACTACCCTCAACCCAAGCATGACCCCTAGACTCCTTCTTGCAACACTGCTTACAGAAGCTCCACGCCCTGTCGCGATGTTCCCCTGCTCCCGCTGTTGTATGCTGTTGTTCCCTTCACCGTGCGATGGACTTCGAAGCGTCTGGCTGCTGGGCGATTCTCCGACGGCCCTGGTAGCTACACTTCAGGTCGGTGTCTTGGTGCACAGAGAAAGTTGTGGTTTGCCTTCAGCCGGACTAAGTGTCCCGCTCCAGCTAGGGCCTCCGACAGCCAGTAATGCTTGTCAGCCTCAGTCGACCGAGGTTTGTCACAAGGCATCACCCAGGAGCCGCGATCACTCCGAGATCCAGAACCCTGTAGGCTGTCGTGCATCGAATGAGGCTGCTGCTGCAGATCTGCTGGACTCTGCAACTTCTCTCAGAAGAGAGATGCCTCAGAGGCGAGGGTCCTCTTGGGTTTCGGGAAGTTGGGCGAGAGGACTGGGCCATCCTACAGAAAACACTTTCACTGACATTTACCCACCGAAATCTTGGCTGGCCGCAGCGTGACCGATCGGATTGCATCAGCAATCGGACAGTCTCCTAGCCAAGGTCGGGTATCATGTCGGAGAGCACACCGGCATCCGCAGCATGAACAGGACCGAAGCAAACCCGAATTCCTACGCACGGAAATGTGGACTGGACCCGTAGCGCGCACGCCACGGCGTGCGCGACGGTGCGGGTTTGCACACAAGGTATCGCAGGTACACAGACTCTTGCCCTCAGGTCACTATCGCAGAGAGTATCAGAGAGTTTTGGCAACTTGTCCACCTGCATATGCTGGTATGCCGTGGAGCCTATATCTCGCACGGGCTCCTGAGCCTTCGTGGACTTGCCCTCCTGCATGAGTTTATGACCAACATCTGCATCAAGGGGGTGCTCTGGCTTAGCATAATCGATTCAGGATGCACACACGCACGCACACACACACACACACACACACACACACACACACACACACTCTTGCAAACTCCATGGTGGGAGTAGCTAGAGCGATTTACTTCCTAATGTGTAAAGAGGATTCGGGCTTAGCCTCTTGCCACATTCATGGCCAATCCAGCTGTGCTTCCAGCACCCAGGAACTGGCCTGCAGGTACGTTTGCCTGTCCATCTGACACAGAGCTTCGTTGGCGCGAGCTGTGTCAGAGGACCCCGCGCCCCCTGCGGATTTGGTCCCTTTGCTATCAGGGCTGTGCACACACAGCTACTTCCCAATATTGGGAAGTAGCATGCAATTCGTCGTCTGGGGTCACCATGACGTTTCGCAGGTCAACGCCTCAGCCACGTCATGGTGCCCTTGAAAGAACGCGCCGTCTGGGGTAAGGGTCGTGCCCCATTGAGACTTGGGTCCTGGCCTCTTGCAATGCGTCGTCTGGGGTAAGGGTCCTGCCCCATTGAGGCTTGGGTCCTGGCCTCATGCAACCAAGGAATCATTCAAGAAGTCAATCAAGTTGAAAAGAATCAAGAAGTCATTCAATTTGTCAGCAGCATGCAAGGATCTGTCGAATCAAGAAGCGGCATTCAAGGTCTTGATCACTTGCATCAAGGAAGGAATCAAGTTGCTACGCCCGGCCCTTTGACAGAATGCCGGTCGAGAACACACTTGCAAACTCCATGGTGGGAGTAGCTAGAGCGATTTACTTCCTAATGTGTAAAGAGGATTCGGGCTTAGCCTCTTGCCACATTCATGGCCAATCCAGCTGTGCTTCCAGCACCCAGGAACTGGCCTGCAGGTACGTTTGCTTGTCCATCTGACACAGAGCTTCGTTGGCGCGAGCTGTGTCAGAGGACCCCGCGCCCCCTGCGGATTTGGTCCCTTTGCTATCAGGGCTGTACACACACACACACACGCACACCCACCCACACCCACACGCACACACACACGCACACACACACACACACACACACACACACACACACACACACACACACACACACACACACACACACACACACACACACACACACACACACACACACACACACACACACACACACACACACACACACACACACACACACACACACACACACACACACACACACACACACACACACACACACACACACACACACACACACACACACACACACACACACACACACACACACACACACACACACACACACACACACACACACACACACACACACACACACACACACACACACACACACACACACACACACACACACCCACGCACGCACGCACGCACGCACGCACGCACGCACCCACACACCCACACACACACACACCCACCCACACCCACACCCACACCCACACCCACACACACACACACACGTCTCCTCAATCACACATGTCTGTGTGCGCACTGGTTCGCATTACAGGGGAGCCTGATGACGTGTTAACACGGCAAGTTTATGCTGTGTGCGCTGCGAAACGGCAAGACATAGATTGCCGAGAGGAGCTTCCAGGATTCTCAGATGCTCACCTTGTTGGAGACCAGGGCGCGTAGCAGCAAGATCATTGTCTCGGCATCGCTCGGACGCAAGGCCAAGGCCGCCTGTGGACGAAGTTTCTTTCGCCGGCTCCTTTCTGGTATGTCATGTCTTACAGACCACTTTTCTGGGTTCAAGTGTCGTTCAGGGCCGTTTGAAAGCTGAATCAGGTGTTAGCAACTTGGCAAGAAGGACCCGCAACCATGTCTATTGAGTCTATTGTCTTCGCCTAGGCCTAGGAATAGCCACAACGCCGGTGATACCTCCCAAACACTTCCTTTTTCTGTCCAGTGGGTAAAGCCGAGACCAGCTGACATCTAGTTTGAGCAAGCGCGATCTTCTCATACGTCACCTCGCACAGTGGGCACCGTGGACCAAGCGGAGTTTAGTAGCTTCGCTTTGAGCAAGCGCGATCTTCTAATATGTCACCTCGCACGGACCAAGAGGAGTTTGGCTTCGCTTCGCTTGAGGCTTCTTTAAGGTTGGAGAGCTTGGAATGTGCATGCATGACCACGGAGGCACCGCCACAGCTGAATGAATGGCGAGCCGGGAAAGAACTAATCGGCTTTCAGACCCGAGCCTTAAAGCCCTGCCAGTTCTCCGTGACCATAGGTAGGATGCAAATAGTTTTGCGAAGCCAGCGGGATGACTTCTGATCAGGATAAGGCTAGGATTTTATAGCTCTTCCAGTGACCTCACCTCCTCAAAACACTTTGCGTATAGCTGAAAGTGCCTTCGCTTTCAGCCGGCTCGAACCACTGTACGGAACGGTGGCACAACTCCATTAGGGACTAAAACACCAAAGGAGGTGGATTGGCTGGCAGGAGGCATTTAAGCCTACCTGCGACAGCCTGATGAGAAAACAAAACTTTGCAGGTCTGAAGCCTGAAGCAGGGCCTGCGTATCTGTCAAGCCCCAGGAAGTGCAACCGCTAAACTGTGATCTCTGAAGCAGGACACCTTCACCTGACAGGGCTCCGCAATAAGCTAGAGTACAATCAGTTACGACCTTGCTCAGACTTCAGGTCCGGCGCTGAAGAGAGGCTGTTTGCGACCCTAAGCGTGGCTGGACAGCAACAATTCTGCCAAACACAGTTGCTCTTGGAGTACTCTGTCAAGGCACTGAGTGTTCCGAAAAGCATGATGGGGCTTTGTGGGTGGCAGCTGTTCTTCGGGTGGCCTCGCAGCTGACATTCTTGGCAAGTGCTATGATACCGGAGAGAACTTCGGAAGCTTGCGGCCCTCGGCCACTGTGGGCCAGCGTGGCGACGCCTACTGTCTGAGTCGGAGCATAGCTGCCGGCACCCCAAGGCGAGGAACATATACTTGGTGCATCCGCTGTGTCACCACCGAGCCAATAATTGCTAATACTGAGAATAACTAAACGGCAGAACTAAGAAAAGTTTCAATCCTGCGGTAAACAGCCTAATCCCCAAAAGGAGCAGCGCCTCATAGCAGTCATCTGGAGAACTGAAAAAACGGACTTGGATGTGTCACATCCCAGTAAACCGGAAAGTGAGCAAGCTTGTCTTGGCAACCTGTGCTTCAAAAATGCTTCCAATCACAAGGCCTCTCCGACTCAGTGACTTGATTTCGACCGCTTGTGATTCACGGGTAGCTTAGCCTTGAACTGGATATACGTGTGTTCCACCGGTGCGGGGACTCCTCCGCACACAGTGCGGATCCAGTCCATGCTGAGATCTGCGATGTCTTCGTCGTCCACTGGGGAGAGACTGCAAGCAGCATCGCTTGTAGTTCGATTGCAAGATCGAAGGTCTGTGCCTGGGCAGCGACACCCGAAGCAGGTGAGTCCGAAGCAGCGTGGCGCACGAGTTGCGCTGCGGAGGACGGTGTCGCAAGGACGGCAACGAAGCATGGCACTGTGATGACTGGTGGCGGGATGGCCTTCGCGTGCTGACATGGCAGGATGTTGCTTCCGGCGATGATATTGTTTGTGAACGCAGGATCGAGGGTGGTCTGCCTCGAAAACGACCCTGTGCCCGTCCAGTAGCAGGGTGAATGGTCAGCAGAATCACGATTCTTTTGCGAGTCCTTCGTCAAGGGCGCTTTCGCCACCAAGAGCTTAGCCTCGCGTTGACAGAAGACGACCAAGGACTGTTCGAACTCCTCCTTTTGCAGAGCTTTTCTGAGCTTCTTACGTAGGCGCTGCCCCACGCGACGACGAAGTGACTTACAAAAACCGTTCACCACGGCCTCAGTTGCTGCATCCAGGTTCTGCTGGACCTTCTTGTGCAAAAGTCGCACTTCGTTGTTTCCTCTGCTGGTCGAGATGGTGATCGTCATCTCTGTACGTGGGCGTGGTTTTTGTTCCTTATTTTTCAATTTTTTTTCTTATTTTTTTTCCGTTTCCCTTGTTTGGCTAGGGGTAGGGGTAGGTAGGGGTAGGTGGCGAGGGGGTAGGGGTAGGGGTAGGGGTGGGGAGGGCTGGGGGGAAGGAAGGGGTCGGGTCCAGGGATGGGGGGGTAGGGGTGGAGAGTGGGCTGTCGTGGGGCCTGGGTTTTTGCGCTTTGTAAATTTATAGAAGATGTTTCCATGTATAGGCATATGTATATATATATATATATATATATATCATATCATATCATATCTGTCTCCAAGTTGCGACTGCATCTCTCCAATATACCTTGGCTGTGGGTTGGCTTCAAGAAAACAAAAAATAGGCAAGTCATGCTTGCCAGATTTACTAATTACAAGTTACTAGTTTACCTGCACATGCAAGACGACATGCATGCACTGCTTTTCATACCGGCACTGCTAGTCCTAACGCTTCGAGCTTGGCCTTTTCAAGACCTTGCTTGCCGGCTTCTTGCTGCAGGAATGCGGCTTGTTGGTTGGCTGTAACCAATCTTCCGTAATCCCACTGCTGTTGATGCAATGGATCCTTTGGCTTTGGTGTTCCGAAGCCAACCGTACATAGATCGCGTTGTTGCCGGCAATGATCACAGAAGCTTCAGAAGCCCTCTTCAAAGTAGCCATGATGTGAGGCATCTGGGCATCATTTAAAGCCGGCTTGAACATAGCCAAGAACTGCTTCCAAGTGATCATAGGCAAGCCAACATACTCCGGTTCCTTCTCAGGGGACCATTCATTGTTAAGAAGAACCCGGCACTGATTCCTGACAAACTTAGCTGCGCGATAGCGTGCATCCACCAGACCATTCTCGCCCACGTCCAGAAACGATTTGATATCTTCGACATTGATGGAGGGAAGGAGATCGTCCAAGATGACAGGGATGTGAATCTCCCCGGGTCGTTCTCTGAATCTATCGATCTGTTTGGAGCGTCGCCATCCCGGGAAGTAGCCGTCCATATTGCGGGCCTGTATCAGGTAGCGAGCCACGGCCATGACCATGATGATCGCTGCAGGAGTCTTTCCAATGCCTGGCTTTCCAAGAATGATCAAGCCAAAACTCAACAAGGTCCACAGAATCATTGGTACCACCGTCCGCTGGAACTCGCTGTTCAAATCACGGAGGAGAAGGGGAAAGAAGTACTCCGGTTCGGACTGGCTGTTACCGGTGGCCCTGTTGCCACACGCTTTGCCGACAATATGAAGCGGCCAACCACAGATGGGGCTATCCTTGTCGCGAATGTTTAGCAATGACCACAAGAACTGCTCATTCTTGGCATTGGCGAGTGGCGCGTGGTTGTTGATGTGCTCAATGCCAGCCCTGAGCTCTTCAGGACTAGGGTCCCATTTCATCTCAATGCTCTTGAAGAGATTCTTCAATGCCTGTGTCCGTTTGTTTGAACTGGCGCAGTGCCGATTCAAGACAGTCGTCTGCTGCCAAAGGTCATGCCATTCGGACCCCCATTGACTAACATCTATCACGGGAAGCGAACTGCTGCTGGACGAGTCATCCGAAGAAGTAGACGCGCACTCCGCCTGATCGGACTCAGCAGTGGCTTGCAGGGGAGTCTCTCCATTCTCCGTCAGGGGCTGCTCATGGTCCATGTTCTCCAAGGTCTTGGAAGAAGAGGGCTGCTCTACGTCTTTGATCGCTCGGGCCGCTGGGGTCTTGGAAGAAGACGGCTGCTCCACGTCCTTGATCGCCAATGGCTTTGAGGAGGAACTCTTAGCCCCCTTCTTCGGTGCTGCGAACCAACGAAGTAGTAGTTCTTGAGCCTTCTCAGACCAACCGCCAGAGATGCCGGCAGTCAAAGAGAGCTTGTTCTGCAAGTAGCACATATGGCTCTGCAGCTGTCGCGGCGTGAGACCGATCTTACTCTCGTGTGCACAAATGGCACCAGTTGAGACCTGGTCCAGGAGGCTCTGTGGAGTGGGGAGAGGCACTGTCGTCGATGTCGTCTGCGTCGTCCCAGATGTCGTTGTCGTTGCCACGGTGAGGTTGGCCAGCTCCAAGCGGCATGTGCCGTTGCCTATCTCTATGAAACCAGCTACGGCAGCAGATCTTTTCATATCTGCGAACTCTACTGCTACAGGACTGTACTCGAGCAGAATGACTGCCCAGCGTATAAGATCAGACCTTGCGCGATGGCATGGAATTAGTTCTTGAGCCGTAGGCGTAAAAAAACAAAAAGTTCCATTGCAGCCGAGGTGCTACAGTAATGCATGACAAGACAGATAAACAGTTATTTTAAGTATAAGTCGTATAAAGAATCGTACCAAAGATAAACAAGCGAAGCGAAGGTGTTGATGTCGTTGCTGTCGGCGTACCTGACGCAATAGAGAGAGGGGAGGGGGGGGGGGTAGCAGGTCTCAACATGTCAGCCCCAAACCCTCAGCCCCCCCCCCCACCCCCTCTTTCATCTTAGTTTGTAAACACCAGCCCTGGTTGTAAACACAAGCCATGCTTATAAACACAGACACTGTTTATAAACACAGGCCCTGCTTATAAACAACAACATTATTGATAAGCGACATAAATGTCTACAAGTACGAACAATACAGTAAATAACCCAGAACTGTTTATACAAGCATAGGATAGCAAGATGATGTGAAACAAATCGCTGCGAAACCGCGAAACGTGATGTGTCCCAAACGCAAGCCCCATGGTAGCCCTTTCTGTAGGGGTAGGAGTAGGGGTATGTGGTGTCGTAGAAGTAGTAGTAGTAGTAGTGGTGGTGGTGGTGGTGGTGGTGGTAGTAGTCGTAGTAGCAGCAGCAGCAGCGTTAGTAGAAGCAGCAGCAGAAGTAGAAGTAGTAGTAGTAGTAGTAGGTGTAGTAGTAGTAGTAGCAGCAGCAGTAAGTAGTAGTAGCTAGTAGTAGGTGGTAGTAGGTAGAAGTAGGTAGTAGTAGGTAGTAGTAAGTAGTCGTAAGTAGTGCAGGTAGTAGTAGGTAGTAGTAATAGTAGCAGTAGTAGTACTAGGAGTAATAGTAGTAGTAGTAGTAGTAGTAGTAGTAGTAGTAGTAGTAGTAGTAGTAGTAGTAGTAGTAGTAGTAGTGGTAGTGGTAGTGGTAGTGGTAGTGGTAGTGGTAGTGGTAGTAGTAGTAGTAGTAGTAGTAGTAGTTGTAGTAGTAGTAGGTGTAGTAGTAGTAGTAGTAGTAGTAGTAGTAGTAGTAGTAGTAGTAGTAGTAGTGGTAGTAGTGGTAGTGGTAGTGGTAGTGGTAGTAGTAGTAGTAGTAGTAATAGTAAAAGTCGTCGTGGTAGTAATAATAGTAGTAGTAGTAGTAGCAGTGGTAGTAGGTACTAGGTAGTAGGTAGCAGGTAGTAGGTAGTAGGCGGTAGGTGGTAGGTGGTAGGTGGTAGGTAGTAGGTACTAGGTAGCAGGTAATAGGTAGTAGGTAGTAGGTGGTAGGTAGTAGTAGCTTTTTTGTAGTAGTAGTAGTAGTAGTAGTAGTAGTAGTAGTAGTAGTAGTAGTAGTAGTAGTAGTAGTAGTAGTAGTAGTAGTACGTGTAGTAGTAGTAGTAGTAGTAGGAGTCGTAGGAGTCGTAGGAGTCGTAGGAGTAGTAGGAGTAGTAGGAGTAGCAGCAGCAGTAGCAGTAGGTAGTCGTAGGTAGTAGTAGGTAGTAGTAGGTAGTAGTAGGTAGTAGTAGGTAGCAGGCAGTAGGCAGTAGGCAGTAGGTGGTAGGTGGTAGGTGGTAGGTGGTAGGTAGTAGGTAGTAGGTAGTAGGTACTAATAACAGGAGGCTGCAACGATTCCATCCTTCCTTCCTTTCTTGCTTACTTCTTTGCTTGCTTGCTTGCTTGCTTGCGCGTTTGCTTGCTTGCTTGCTTGCTTGCCTGCTTGCACGCTTGCATGCTTGCTTGCTCGCTGGCTTGCTTGCTTGCTTGCTTGCTTGCTTGCTTTGCTTGCTTGCTGGCTTGCTTGCTTGCCACGAGGAAAACGGAAAAAAATAAGAACAAAGACTGAAAAAAATAAGCGAAAAATACCGCCACCTCTGTACGTGTGTTTGTGGACCTTTGAACAAACGCGAGGTCGATTGAGGCGCGAATGGCTTGTGCCAAATGGCTAAAAGGACTGGGGGGCCTAGCCGCTACACCCTCCTTTCAACATGTTTCGATCAGGTCACGCTATCATCCGGGCCTCAGGTGTTTTTGGGCTCACAGGGTTCAGGAGGATTGGGCAGCGACACCAATTACTGTGCCAATGGCTTTCGCCGAACTCCGAAGCCAACAGGCAAGCAGTCTTCCGAACACAGCTTCAGTCGCTCCGTCTCTCTGTCAGGTCTATCTAGTCTGGGTACGTTTGGATTTGCTCCTGTCTGGAACAATATGGCCTCGGCGTGCTTGATGACCAGAGGCCACTTGTGGGTGTCTGAATATCCTGCACGGCGCTGAAGGCAGCTCTGACGCAGACAGATTTGTTGCAAATCGTGTTTCGTCCTTGTGCAGCAAGCACGCTCAGCGACGGGCCGAGGTAAATATCTGCATTCAGGCTTAACGCCTCGCAGCAAAGTGCGTGATCCCTTGCAGTACCACAGCTTGTCGGTAACTTGCCACAGCTTCGTGTCACGTTGACACGTGATCGACCGCTCTGTTCGCTGTCCGTGCTGTGCACGGCCAGGCTATACTTAGGGTCTAGGGCCTAGGTCTGTTTCTGGTTAGCATAAGCTTTGACTTAGGCGATGCTTCGATCCTTGCGTCTACCGTCTATGAGCCCACACTTCAGACGGTCACAGCCCCTGCATCTGCCCTGAGATTTCTTCCGCCTCTTGCACGGCGCGATAGGCATCACGCTTCGCTCCAGTGGCTAAGCGTGCTCGCGCCAGAGCAACCCAAGCCTCGTCTCAAACAGCCGACAGACTGAAAGATCGCTCCAGAAGCGACTGGACACAGAGTGACGCAGCCCGGCAGAGTTGTGCTGAAGTCAGAAGCTCCAGCGCCTGCGGGTCCTTTGGAAAATTCCGTGCAAACTCTTGGAGCTCGGGCATGGCCTCTTCAGGACAAGTGGCGGCGTTACTAGTATGCAGTATGATTATCATTAGCAGTAACATTGCAGTAACAGCAGCAGCGACAGTTATAGCACAAGAGTTGTAGATCAGTAGCAGCAGTTCGTCGTAGTCGCAGTCGTCGTAGTGGTTGTGGTGGTAGTGTTAGTGGTAGTAGTCGTGGTCGTAGTCGTAGTCGTAGTGGTAGTAGTAGTAGTAGTAGTAGTAGTAGTAGTAGGAGTAGTAGGAGTAGTAGTACGAGTCGCAGTAGTCGTAGTAGCAGCACGAGCAAGAGGAGTAGCAGAAGTAGCAGTAGTCGTGGCAGTAGCAGTGGCAGTAGGAGTAGTACTAGTAGCAGCAGTAGTCGTCTTCGTCGTAGTTGTAGTCGTCGTCGTAGTAGCAGTAGCAGTAAAAGCAGGAGTAGGAGTAGCCGTCGTCGTAGTCGTAGTCGCAGCAGCAGTAGCAGAAGTTGCTGTAGCAGTACTAGTGGTATTGGTATTGGTATTGGCATTGGTACATTAGTCGTAGGTGCAGTGGTAGTGGTAGTGGTAGTAGTAGTAGTAGTAGTAGTAGTAGTAGTAGTAGTAGTAGTAGTAGTAATGGTAGTAGTGGTAGTAGTGGTAGTAGTAGTAAGTTGTGGTAGCAGTGGTAGCAGTAGCAGCAGGAGTAGCAGTAGCAGGGGTATCAGCAGTAGCAGTCGCAGTAGCTGTAGCAGTAGTAGCAGTAGCAGCAGTAGTAGCAGCAGCAGCAGGAGCAGGAGCAGGAGCAGCAGCACAGTAGCAGTAGTGGTCGTGGTAGCACTAGCAGTACGAGTTGTAGTCGTGGTCGTAGTAGTAGTAGTAGTAGTAGTAGTAGTAGTAGTAGTAGTAGTAGTAGTAGTAGTAGCAGTAGTAGTAGTAGTAGTAGTCGTAGTCGTGGTAGGAGTAGTAGTAGTCGTCGTCGTCGTGGTAGTAGTAGTAGTAGTAGTAGTAGTAGTAGTAGTAGTAGTAGTAGTAGCACGACGACGAGCAGTAGCAGTAGTAGTCTGCGTCGTCAAAGTGGTGGTGATGGCGGTGGTGGTGAGAGGTGCAGCAGCAGCAGCAGCGGCATGAAGACCGAACCGCCCAAAGGATTGAGAGAACGAGCATATTCATAACGACGCATATCACAGCATTCGAGCGTCCTGCTCCCAGGCATGTGTCCCCTGGCGCTCGGCATGCTGGCAAAGACCTGGGCCAAGCTTGCATCTGCAAACGTGACAGGATGACTTCACCTACGCCGAGGCTAATTGAGCCACGATGACATGGCCGTTAAAATCTCCCCGTGAATTCAGCCCAGACTGGAAAACACACTCGGCACTTTTCTCTCTCTTCACCATAAGGAAAAATCAGTTGCTCAGGCTGGGGATAAGGTGGTGGCGGCATTCTTGCATGCCAAATAATATACAATTTGAGCAGCTCTGCACGCAATGATGTGTAGCTACTCAAAGAATCCCATCCGTCTGCCGCAGTCGTAGCACCGAGGTCCAAGGTGAGACCAGATGTCAGCGTCAACTTTGCGCATGCCATCTCCCATTACATTCGATCTACAACTCCATCGTAAACATGCTCTCACTTTGCGTGTCACTGTCGGACGAGATGTCCGAGCCCGATTCCGAGCCGGAGCTAGTGTCTCTCCCTGAGAGATGTGAGGTCGACTCACGGCAGAAAGACCCAGGTTGCAAGAAGTGCCACCGTGGCGCATGCGAGGTCGGAACTTCTCAGCTTCATGGCCTGGAGCAGCGCAAGGTCTCAAGGTGTCAAGCGCTCTCTGGGAGGCCAGGTGACCAGGTGGTCCAGCCTCGAGTGTACGCTCTTCTGAGAGTGTCCTCAGACACAAGCAAACAAATTTCTTCCGCACCGGCGTCAATCCGAAGAACGCCAACTCATCAATCGAAATATGCACTTTCGGCAAGCCCAATCAAGCCCAGTGTCCAGAAATTGTGGTAGGGGCCAGTGTAGTCCTCATCATTCGTCACGATCTTCGGCACAACCTGCAGAGGCTGCGTGCTTGCAACATGGCCTGGAGAGAAGCTCCCGTTGGCCTACCTGGAAGGGTGCGCGATCTGCAATGACGATGTAGTGGAACGGCTTCCTTCCATCAGGCTCTTCAACGCTGACGCATGCGGCAACAAGTCGAATCCTAAGGAAACTGTCGTTGGAAAGGCAACCTGTATAATCTTGTGTGCAGTCTGCGGGTAACGGGTAGAAACTTCAGAGCCTGTCGCGCTTGTTTGCGGTCAATGGCGAGGTGATGGTTTGACCATAATACAGCTCCTTAGTAACATCCAGCTGAACGGACGTTTGCTTCAGGCTACATGCCTCGCAAGATGGAGCACCATGAATCCGAGCAGCATTTTTCAAGGGCGCCGATGACATCATGCCTGCCAGTCGCCATTGAGCAAGCAGGCACAAGCCGACCCGACCCTCACGCTGAAAGTGCAGTACATCCCTCAGCTGTTCCAGCATTTCCACCAAATGCACCTGATGCGTCCTTCTTTAAGGTGGCCTGCCTGCTGCGCTCCTGAAACCAAAACATTTTGCGGCCTGCATGTCTTGTCACGTTCTGCACCTCGATAGCCTCTTCAAGCCAGAGGTTGCAAAAGACGGCGACCTGCAGGGAGAGGATCCCACAATATCCCACATGCAGCAAAAAGGTTGAAGGGGAAACCACCACGACCTTTGGAGGCAAGCCTGGGTGCAGCTCATTGCTGTCTGGTGCAGAATCTGCTGCCATAAGTAGTAGTATCGACGATAGGGCATCCCGAAATCCTTGGCACGGTGCTGCTTTCTTCTTTGTTTGCATTCAGCAATCTGTTGAGCTGCTCATGTCTCGATTGGCTCAAACGCACATGGCCGCTCTTACCAGCAACATGGCTTTGAAACCATTGTCGGCGCCAACACATGTGACAGCCACTTGCACAAATTTGCTGTCGGGCGTCGGTCAAGAACCGGCTGCTGCAATCTGGATGCATCCCCAGCAACAGCTGCGCAGGCGGAAGAGGAACTGTTCCATCCTCGCGTAGATCATCGCCCATGCAAGGCAAATGAACTTCAAAACCTCACGCCCGTGTCTGTTCAAAGAGCCGATACCCGGGCAGCTCTAGTGCCAACATGTGCCAACGGACAAACGACAAACTACACAGTGGTGGCAGCCAACGGCGGCAGTCGACGCCTCTCTCTCCTCAGCCTCGACGATGAACCCTTGCTACTGCTACTGCTACTTTTCTATTCAGCATCTGAGAACATTCGAAAACATGCTGCAAGATTTAGACGCTCCTGCACCAGGTACGAAATGAAGATGTGCGGGTCTCGCACAAGAGGATCTGTCTTCTCACTGAAGAAGTCCTGGACATCTGTGACCTTTGGCAACGCTCCTCCCTCCCTCCGGGGAAGTTGCAAAGTATCGATGGAACTATTGTGTTTTTGTATCTCACCGATGTGACCGCAAACGCTGGATCCTCACATTCAGTTCGCCCGATTTTGGCATGTGAATTCGGTGGGAGAACGCCGGCTCTCGGTCCTGTTAAGTGGTGAAGCAGTGTTCGCACAGATCCGTGCACCTGCATCGTGTAGGACTCCGATTGGGCCGAGACTGTCAGCAAAGGGTGCTGCTGGCTTCGGGGCGGTGAACTCATTCTTTTGCGTGAAATTTCGTCCCGCAGAAGCGTCCAACACGTGTGGTTTCGACTGGGTTTCTCTGTGGGCCTCGCCATCCACAGTCATCCACATGACCCACCTGTCGGTGATTCCCGCGATGACTCAACCCTGCCGGTTTTGGAATGTCGCACGTGTGCGAGGCAAGCCGAACGTATGTTAGCACCTGCAACGGCTTGAGTCAAGGGGCAAGAATGTGGATAAGGCGTATGTCACTCCGCCGATTCAACACCTCTGTGCGCAAGAATGCCATCAGCAGGTCGCGCTCTGCGAAATTACCAGCAAAGGGCACGTTGATGCGCAGCATGCCTGTAGGGAAATTCACACGTCCCTCGGACCGCCACGCGAATCAAGATGCATTGAACTACTGATCGAGTCGAGTGATTCGGTGGTGCCTCGTGAGTCAGGCCGCAGTGCCTTGAGCACGCCCTCAGACTTCAGGCGTTGCAGCACTGCCATGTAGGCCTTGTTCTGCTCCTCTTCACTGCCTCGTGCAATGGGAAGAAGGAAAATGACAGCAAGGACGCTCAACAAGACTGACAGTCACTTGAGCCTGGAGTTGCTTGATGGCCAAGTTACAAAAGCCGTGATCTGAGCAGCTGCCCTTCTTCTCGGCACCCACAGGCTGAGGGATGTGTCCCATTGCACCAGATGCATTGGCCGTCGTTGCAGCCATGGCACCTTGCTTTCGGCTCTGATTTAACTGGAAAGCCCAAGATCGAACCCGAGCATTGAATCGTGATTTACATCATGCCGGGTTTGTCTATAGTGTGGACCTAGCTTCGGCCCTCGAGCAAACGGCAACGGAAAGCAAGGCTCCGCAAGGGAAACTTGGAATGCCTTTCAAATTTCCATTCGTGCTCTTCACGCAGTCACCGAGTCAACGCCCAGAACCACTCTGCGCCTGAGGCCGAGGCGCTCGACTGAGCGCAATGCAGTAGTGTGGTCCTCTACAGCGGCTGTGAAGCTAGTCTGTGCATGCTCGGAGCGGGAAGTCGTGCATTGTGACGAGCAGGAAGCGTCAGAAACTCCAAGTCAGGTCCTGACTTGGCCTGTTCGCCACGTACGCCTCGAGATGGGCTCAGGATAGGCTTGGCTTTGGGCTTGGGCAGTCTGAGTCGCTTCGAGCCATCTCCAGACTGCCCGGCTCACAAACGAAAGCCCTGGAAATGCAACAGCAGACTTGTACGGCGCATCAACCAGCGTCCAGCCCATGCATGCGGGCGAGCAGGTGCCTGGTCTGCGCCTGAGAAGCTGCATGACCGCAGAAATCACCCGGACGAAGCAGAACAAAGTGAAGAAGACTTTGCTTCGCAAGCTTCAGCCAGTTGTGGCTCAAGGAATACCTGCAGCTCCACTCGGAGCTCCCAGCCAAGCACCGGACGGGCAGTGCTCACATCATCGACTTCAACAACTTGATGGAGCCTGCCGCGCATGACCTGGCAGTTCACAACTGCTGCATTCCGCTTTCTTGTTGTCTACCTGCTGCAGCGATCAGCAACGTTTGGGACTGGCAACTGCTCCATACAGAACACTGCATACCCATGCATCAATGCACAAGTCACATGTACATATTCCATGCTCATGCTCGTCGGAGAGACTGCTTGTGCCCTTCCTGTGACCTGTAGTGGTCTTTCCTTTGCCTACGGCTCGATTGAACGATGTCCGTGCTCAGAAGACTTTTTGTTCATGATCGCACAGGCAAACGTAGCATGAAGCTAACCATATCACGGCTGTTGATGAAACGGAAACGGGTGTTCCGCCCTGTTGTTCTACGCTGGGGCGTTGCTTTCCACCTCCAGATAACAATAATACCGAGGCTCCTGTCACGGATGCCCGGCCTTGTGGCCGCTCAACATCGTACAACGGCCAACAAGTTCTTGAAGTGGCACGAGATTCGGATATGGATGGACGGGCAGACTCTTCGCAGTGCTCCTATGCACCGCGTGACCTCTTGCACCCTGTCCTTTTGCAGTCACATGTTGACCTCTCAAAGCCAGGGCACAGGCAGCAAGCGTCCTGCTCTTTAAAAGTTGACCGGTCATGAAGAGTTTTGGGTACAGTTTCCACAACTGTGCCAAACCAAACTGGGCCACGTGCAGGGCAACCTGTGGTTTCTCATTTCAACCCTGACCGTGCTGCCAGTAAGAATAGATCAGCCTGCTCGTGCCACATGGAAGGCCGCGTGAACGGGAAACGGGCATCGAATTCTGAAACACATTACGTTGGCATTAGTGTACGGTCGCCGGTGAAATCAGATGCAGCACAGCTTTCGAAAGCCTCTCAACGACGCTGGCATTGTCTTTTCTTCGGCGAATGTATACCGAGCACCCACTGAGGCCATGGAAAAGCCCACAGGACTGGCAGATCACACAGTTGAGATTTCAAGGCTCCTCCTTACTGTCCTTGCTGCACTGGCGGCTGTCACTCCAAGAGCCTCCCGAGCACAGCAAGGCGTCTCAATAGTTACAGAAGGCGGAAAGGCTGCAACATAAACTTTGGCAGTGGGCATTCCTTTCTTGCAGCAGGTGGCCTGTTCCAGATTGAAGCTCTTCCGAGCCTTCCGCATCCTCGCACATCTGCTTGTTAAGCAGTTAAGCAGTTACGTATCGCGATCTCGTGCAAACGTTTCCGAGACAGATGCATCGTCCCTACAAGCGTCTTTGATAGTCTCTGTTGTTTGTGCACATGTGTCTGCACCACCAATTTCGTAACATCTATTGCCGAGTGCAGTAAACTGAGGAAGTCGCATCCGTACTGTCTGCATGTTTGTCCAGCTTCACCTCATGACTCAGACAGCTCATTCGGGCATGGATGGACTGTGCACGCAAATTGACTCGTGCAAATACAGCCGGCACAGATGCAAGCCGCGGTGCCCATACCGAGACGCGACCACCTTCCGAAAGCCAACACAGCCTGAAACAATGATTGCATGCACCGCCGGCATCACGACCGACCTTGCGCCCCCTAGTTGCCGGAATGCGCGGGCTTCGGTTTGAAAGCCTCTCCGACGTACTGGTAGCAGGATCGAGGAATGCATTTCCTCGGACAGCGTGCCGGTGCCAAGAAACTCGCAGTTGCAGGACGAGCCAAACCCACACCTTCTCATGATGCTTGGCGTGTCTGTACTTTCTCCCAAGACGCCGCATTGCCACACGGACAAGCCAATTACCGGCTTCAGGTTCAGGAGGATGTCAGGCTTCTTCCTCCGCACGCAGCAAAACAAAGCACAACAGCATCGGTCTGCTGCCACACTGCTGCCGCGGTCTCTGTGAACATATGTGAACACAATGGCGAGGCTTGGAAGGAAGTGACTCTCTGTGCTTTAGCCAAGACACGGCTTTGAGAGGCATGCCTGAAGATTGTTCGCCTTCTTGCCGGAGGAGACACCTCTGCGACCACTGAGATGCTTGGGCCAGGGTGGCGGGCAAACAGGGCTTGAGGTGCCGGCTACTTCGGGGAATAAAGACTTTGTGCCGACGGGCGGCTGATGCGGTGGCCGAGCGAATCTGCCCACTCGGCATTGATGAAGTCGGTGGCGGAAAATTCCTTATTTGGACTGGCGCTGGCCCGGGCAGCCGCTTCCATCATCTCTCTCATTATTATGTTACTGTTGGATTACCACGGCTTGAAGCTGCAACTGAAAGCCGATCTTGCCAAAAACTGTTGGCAACCGCGACCATGCCGGCCATCCTACGCAGATCAGTCCGGTAATCCAGAGCCCAAATCAAAGAAACGAAGCCGGTCCAAGGTGCGTTGGTCCTCGGCTGAAAAAGCATCAAAGAAATGTCGGCTATACCTGCAAAGCGACCGACCTAGCCTAGTGTGTTCACAAACTCAAACCAAAGGTCTTGGGTCCAGGGCAGCCTGTCTCTACAGGCTGCGAGCTGCACCAAGCATGCCAACTGACAAAGTCTTAGCAGCGATTTTCATGTATCGATGTACTCTGGAGCTTAGATAGTTTGGCAAGCTGGCAACTTCTCCGATACGGCACACAGAGGCACAAAGGACGCTGCGAAGGTGCCGGTGACACGTGCGTGAAGCTGAATCGTTAGCCCCTCTCGTCGCGTCGCGATGCGTCGCGTGTCACGGGGGCTCGCATGTCATGCGTGTAGGCCTGACACGTCGGGCAAGCTTCGCAGCTTTTCGCATCTTCGTGCCCCTCGCGTTTGTCCGCAGGTGTGCGCCCACAGGCCCAATCGCAGTTTTGAGATACGTACTGTATTGATACTGTCACTTAGCTCAAACCAGCAATGCAACTGCTAACAAGACTCGGTGCAGGTGCAGGCCACAGTGTTGGCAAAGTCTGCCAGGCAAGCCAGTCCCTCAGATTGCGAGGTCTACTGCCGAAATCCAGGCACTATTTGGAATATCCATAGCTCAGCCGGGCTTTCGAACCAAGGAGCGTGGAACTCATCCATGGAGGTGAGGCGACCTTCGTGCCTCGGTGCGAGTTCGATTCGCTTTTCCTGACCTTGCTCCCAGTGAACTCCACTTCCCATAGAACTTGGCCCAGGACTGCGTGCCTTGCGCCTATGTTGGGAGGGCTGCTTGGGCTGCTGATGCGACATGATCACCTCACGGCAGCATGGATCCATGCATCTGCCGTGGCATGGATGGCAAACGTGCTCTTCATTGCTCCTCCGTCGTGGTGGAAGCCTTCTGGACCTTGTCATGCTGTTCGACGCGAGAGTTCTTCGACACGTTACGCTTAACAGCTCAACAGAAGCGACGCATCGAAGGGCCCGGCCAACCGGCTTTTCAGAACCTTCTCAACCAATGCAGCAACGCTGCTCGAGCCAAGCGCTGCATGATGCATCTAGTTGCAAGTGTGCAGTAGCATAGACCCCGCGTCAGTGAAGCACCAAAATGAAAGCATGGCATTGGATGCAAAGCCGAGGGACTGCACGGTGGCGTCGTTTCCACTAGCATGGCTGCAGCTTCTGCGCCTCACTACCTTCCTGCTCGCGAGCCCAGATGCGGCCGTTTTGACTGCTCGTGCCAGTGCAAACAACTACATTTCAGGAAGCACAGACGTGACAGTGCAACAAGCGATAACGAGTGAGTGCCGGATGAACACTTTATGCAAGCATCGATCTGTTGTAGCCAGCACGCCAATGCATTGCTGCACGATTTTTGCACCGCGGCACCCCTCCCGCGGCACATTGGCCGAAGAGTTGCAGACTGCAGCTCGCCCCGTCCCCCAGTGTTGCAGATCTTATAGACTCGGTGGTGCTATTGAACTCGACATGTGGAGAATCGTCAGACTCAACGTTTAGTACCATACCTAGACCGGATTGTAGTCTGGATAGAGAAGTCTAATATATACCGGGACTTATTGACATAGTGTAAACACAAATTCGCATCGAATCCATCTGCATACACACCAACTGTTAGACACAATCCAATGTACAATGTATCTGCTGTATACAGGTACTTACATTGCATCCACACCCATGTCCGCAGTGTTGTGAGGTCCCGTCAGAGAACGTTCCTTCCCGCTCGCTGAACTCCTCAGCAGCACATCATCCCGACGCGGAGCCGTTACACGGACTGCGCAGTCACACTCGGGCCGCTCATCACACCCGCAACCCCGCCATGCATGAACAAATCCAATATACCAAACAACAAAACATATGTGACGACCGCGAACCCACCATGCGGAGGTCATCCCGAAGCCCAGTGTCCTCGACTGCAAGCTCTACGCCGACGTCGAGCTGATCTTGCCAAGCAGCATGTCCGCCTTCCTGATCTCTGGGCCAAGGCATGCGGCGAAACTCCGCTAATCTCAGGCCGAGCAGCTCTCTGCCCTTGTCCAGCCTCGGGCATACGGAAGATGTGCTTCATCCGGCGCTCAATCGACAGCATCCTCAGCCTTTGGCTGCTTCTGCAAATCCTCGTGCCTGCGGGTCGCCTCCCGAGCAGCCGGGCAGCAAATCGCAAAACATGCTTTGGCCACCTTTGGCTGCAAGACTGCTCCAATGTGTTCTGCAAGCCGCCTGCTTGTAGCGTGCCTCTGCTTCCTGGTGCGCTGCCGTAATGACAGCCTCTCTGTGCTCTAGGGCCTGGCCAACTTGTCGTGTCTAGGAGTCCAGGAGCAGATTCTTCGTGAGCAGAGTGCGCGTGCGCCTGCAAACGCTCCGCATCCAGCCGTGCCTGGGCCTGCTGAGCATCGGAGAAAGAACCGCGCGAGTCCACACGAGTCCTAGGTCCTACGTGCTGGTGTGCCGGCACGCCTTGCCGCACCGTGCATTCAACATCAGCACTCCTTTCTTATCGAAGAGCAGCAGCAGATGGGAACATGTGCGGCCCAAGCTCCAAACAACTTGAAACTGCTACGATGTGGCTCTAAACTGTACAGAAATTTCAACAGGCATGGGAGGTTACTACTCCTATTCAATCAGCTGAGAGGTCATCCTGATGCAAACCTTCAACTTTCCGATGCTTGAATGCGCATGTCAACAAACAGGCAGGATATCCTCAGCACGCAGTGCGTCTCGAGTGCAGGGATCGCAAAGACAGTTAGCCTGCCACTGACGGATTGACACAGTGTGATATATGAAGACATGAAAGCCTGTGTCAGCTCCTGGGCTTCTGCGCAAAATGACAGACAGCCCCGGCATTGCGCGACCGTCTTGGACGATCTGCTCGCAAGTGAAGATCTCATCCTCAGAACCTTGCTCTGCTTCCTTGAATCGTGCCAGCACCGCAGGCAGCATGCCGTTCTCGAGGTTGCGGACTTGGACTCCCATTTGGAGCAATTCCTCTTCTGGATTGGCATGGCCGGCACTTGTCTGCTCCCGCATGGTCAGGAGGTTGCGAAGACGCTCCTCGTTGAGCTGCGCTTCTCCTCCGGCGCAGCTCGAAAAAAACTCTTTAAGCCAGGCCACAACGATGTCCGGAACATCATCTGTACTGCTTGGGGCGCAGCAAGCAACAATTTCCTGTGCTGACCTTGCAAGCCTCCACAAGGCACTGATGACGTGGTCGTCTGTCTCTGCTCCGCTCAGCTGCAGCGTCTGCTGGCAGAAACGCTGCACCCATGCTTTCAACAATCGATGGACCTGTCCAGATTGAACATCTTACTAAGCTGGGTAGCGCAGGTGATCGTACGTGGCGTAAGGGCCTCATTACCAGTCATGCTGACACGATCGGGCCTGTTGCCCATTCCCGAAAGGACACCCGAGGGCACACTCGCCAGCTTATTTTCACTCATCAAACCCCTAGTGCAGATCCGAATTCATTCACATAAACCGATTCACGAAGGCAGCAGCCCTACCATCCCGCACCCTTTGGCCTCGGACTCAGCATCTTCCGACAGCTGCAGAACCGTCGGACGGGCGGCCACGAGCAATTCCACTGCATTAGGTGCTCGCAGCACTTGTGCAAGCGCATGAACCACACGTGTCCTAGGTGCCGGGCGTGGTGGTGAAGCAGCTGATGACTAAGCCCCGCTACCGCTTCGCTGCAACTTGCGTCTAAATCGCAGGGCCTGCTGCAAGTACGGTAGCTGCAGCAGCGCCAGGAAGTGGCCGCTCTATGCTTCGCGGAAGAAACGACACTATTCGTTCTCCCATCTTTTATCTACTCCTCTCGGACTACAACATGTTGTGCGCAGCCGCGGCTGCTGCTGCTGCAGCTCTTAAACCTTCTACTGCTGCGACTGCTGCAACCAGCAGCGACTACGACGACGGCGAAGCTGACTCTTTATACGTCAAGCGCCATTTCCAGCAGCACCAGTGCCGCTGGTGCTGGCAGCATTTTCTGACTTTAGTGAACCAGGGAACCTGACAGATCATTTTGTAGTGGGGCATTTTGTACACCCAGAACGTTGTTGTGACTACGTTTTCTCTGACTGCCGCCCACTTCCACAGCCCAAGCTTCAAAGGACAGCTGGTGCTGGTAGCCATGATGGCTCTGGCCTGGTCCGGCGCTTCCATACGGATGGCCAGAATTAACTCGCCAGCGCTTCTGCCATTTCGGAAGAGCTCGATGCCCTGCTGCGGTGTGGATGCTACCGTGTTGGGATCCAAGAAGATCTCCTTACTTGCAGCTGCAGATTTAAGTCAAGGGGCAAGATGGGCAAGGGGCCATTGTAGAGGTAAAGGCTGTCACAGCGGCCAAGTGGCACCAGTACCGATCAGAGAGTCTCCACGCAAGGTGCCTTGGAGCTCCCTCTTGTCTAACACCTCCATCGAGATCGAGAATCGGGACGCTCGCCAGAAGTCGGCCCTCACCGGAAACTCCAGCTTGCCACCCCAATCAAACCAGCTTCCGTCTTCTGGAGCCTCAACGAAGGAAGTGCCCAGTGGTCCCGTCGTCGCCGTCCCCCACTGGAGCTTGCAGTTCACATATGGCCTCACTCTGCGACAGCCCAGAATCCGGCTTGTTACGTCGAAAAGACGATATTCGGAGTTGGACAAGCCACAAGCCCTCTGAATTTCAACGATCACTGTCCCATCCATGGCTTGTGCTCTGGAACAAATTAGGCAGGGCTCACGGATGCTAGTGCAGTCATACTGTAAAAGCAGTCGGTACTGATGCGATTGCAGGCCAAACAACGCATCTCATCTTGTGGCAATCTTCGGCAGGAATGCTTCTGTGCATCTTATGTAGTCTTATGTGCTCATTTCACGTCTAAGTGCATCTCAGCGCTTGAGATCCAGAAGCTAATCAAAGTCCTTTCTCAAGCTGCGCATCCAGAATATCATCCTGACGTAGAAGCAATTCAACAGCTCAGCCTCGCTGTCGAGCTTCAGGGTCTTGAGCTGAGTCAGCATGACCATCAATTGCTGAGCGGCCCTGCAGAAGAGATCATGCAAGGCAGTGGAAAGTCAAAAGACGGGCCAACCCTCCTCTTTGATTGATCTTGCATGAACATGATTGATCTTGCATGAACAACTGCCAAGGGTAACGTGTCAACCGAAAGGGGCCAGGGCTAAGCCCTTTGTTGTCCTTCCTCCCAAGAATACTTCCGGTAAGGCACCTATAACCTAGAACTTGCATTGCCGATCACAGGAGAGGAATGAACCCGAAGCATCCGACTGCGGGAGCAGCTAGCTTGGAGAGGGCTCAGATTCCAAAGGCCAACTTGGAAGCATTGCGCAGTAGCTGAATCCCACGAGCTGCTAGCCGCTCTTGGTATACTCTTCCAAATCTAGGATCCTTGTGCTCAACTTGGGCGCCCACTCCGACTCGCTGTCCTGCAGTCACACATCTAGGAACTCGGTGTTCTGGCTCTTACTTGTGGCCCCATGTTGTACCCCGATGATCCAACGCAGTTCTAGATCCGAAGCCTCTTCTCAAATCTGGGTCCATGCAGGCAGGGAAATGTCTAAGGACTGCCATAGCTACATCCACTTCGTTATAGCCTGCTCTACGACTGTCAAGCTTCTGGTACCCTTCATTATGACTGCTCTTCTCCGCGTAGTGGTCCGGCCGGCCAGTCTCTGCCGCATAAAGCTTCGCTTCCAAGTCGGTATGCTTCACCTGCGTTTCCATGCTGGACAGCCCGGCAGTTTGGAGTTTGAGCTGTGGCAGAACTTCTCGCCTCAAGTTGTGTACGCTCCTCCTGCTGTATCTCCAGCCTTTCTGCCCAAGGGCCCAAGCTTTGAATCTCGTCTTTGATCCAGGAGCGAGGCGCTCTGAATTGGAAGCTGAGGTTCGGTCTTGCGCTGCAGCGCGGCCTGGGTGGCCTCATGCTACGTGGCGGCAGAAAACAATCTGCTGACGAACTTGCCCAAGCGAGACCACACAGGGGCCCAGCGAGACCCTTTCCAACGGACTTGCGAAGGTCCAGTGCCTCCAAACAAAACTGCGCAAGTGCACCTTTCGGATGTGCTTGATGATTGCGCAACTGTTCTTGGCATGGAGTGCTTTATTCCCGTTCAGGGCTCAGGCCCTCTAGATGCTATTCACACGACCCCGCAAATCAACCACGAGAACATGTCGAAACCATGCTTCCGGTTCTGAACCCCGCAGATTCAGAGTCCAAGACTGGTGATGCAGCAACTAGATCAAGCAACATCGACTCATTTAACCATTTGGGACGATGCTGCGCAGCCGGCAGAGACACTCGACGCTGCGACAGCAAAGACATAAAATCGAAAGGGAGCAAAAAGAACTCTTTATCCAGTGCTCCGAATCCCTCTCCCAAGAAGCCTTGCCTCTCGCTGTGTCGCAGGCAGACACCCCGCGCAGTAGCGAGCACTGCGCTCGGGCACCAAACAGCCACAAACCACGCACACCTAAGCGCAGGGCCGGAGGATGTATCTCTGTGTCTGGGCACGGAGATGGTCGGTTTGTATGCTACTGCACATTATTGGTATCCGATCGCATCATGGTGCAGCAGCAGCAGGATTTCACAGCTGACAGTGCGCTGACGGATTCCTTTCTCGTTTCGACTCTCTGAGGTATTGGCCTGTTCAGCCACCAATCGCGGACCACGATCAGGGCCTGGATTGACTTCGGGTTGAGGGATAATTCGCACCTTCGCGTTTCCGAAGGGCGCTCCAAGGCTTTCTCAGCATGTGCCCATGATGGTATGACGACTCTTACATCATGCCGCATGCCTGCTAGCTTGTATGGGGGGCTGTTACGTGTGAATGCTTCTGTGTGATGAACCCTGTCAAAGGTGCAGCTGCTCAGCTGCTGCTGGTCTTTCTGTCCCTCTCGTCTTCACGCGCTACCGACGCTGCTCGCCAGGCGTAATGGAAGTCTCCGAGTGAACTGCAGGTTTGCACCCGATGACTGTACAAGCGAAATCGAAAAGCACAAGCCTTTAGTCGTAACTGCAGTCAGCTTTCCATGACGGGGGTTCCTTCACCACAATAAGCGCTCAGGCTCAGGGCTCGATGAAGGCTGCCCTGGCTGTGGTGGAGGCTCTCGATGATACCAGAGAAGCCCAGAGAGAGTCACGACGAAAGCGGCACCATAAGTCCAGCTGATGTCCTTGTGCTGCACCTGTCTGGAAACACTCGAACAAACATGCCCGGGCGGTGGGAACTGTTGCCCTACACGCTCTCTGAGGGTATAAGTTGGTATGCATGAAAGTAACGGAACAAGCACAGCACATCTGTCGAGCCGCTACACTACAGGCTCTGATGCACCAGCCTGCCAAGAGAAGAGAATGCTGTACACGTCGCAGGTTAGCAGGGACATGTTGAACACTGCGGCATCGGCAATCTGGAGAAAGATGCTCACCAGCATATAAACTCCAAACAAGCAGAGCTGAAAGCCAATCAGACATGCGATATCTTTCCAAGTCCAGGTGATCTCCACAAAGTTGCGGCCCTCAATCGTGATGGCCTGGATGCACGAGATGATGCTCCCACACACGCCAAGCATTCCGAGTGCTTCATAACGGGTGCAGCCATGCTTAAGCAGATGTTCCTCTTGGATGTTGGAACTTGCATAACAGCAGCAGCCCAAAAGCACAAGGAGATCTCCCAACCAGGCGAGGGGGGTAGACTGCGTCTTCGAGCTGTCTGCAAAGACGGTCAAGCTCAGACCGCAGAGACAAACGAAGCAGGCAGCGAGGTGGTACTTGGAGTACCTCGTTCCAAGAAGCAGGCGCGAGAGCAACATAACCACGGCCCCTGTGAACCCATCTAGGAGCATCACCGATGCCACGGAGGTATAACGGTAGGCAAGGACGACCAAATAGTTCCCTTCCACATCTGCTAAAGCCCAGAGAGCATAGCGCCACCATGGCAGCCTCAAGCCTTCTTGGCGGATCTGTGGGTAGGCAAGTAGGATGAGAGGTGCGAGCAACAAGTAGTTTAGGCTGGACTGGATGGTCGGTATACTTATCCCATCTGATGCCAAAGTGGACGTGAAGATCCCTGTCAGTGTATTCATGACTGAAATCACCTGGCCCAGGAGGAGCGATGTCAGGGACACAGACGTGCAAAGGCCCCGCGAGCCCCACACTTCGCGTGTCACCTCCCTGTCGTGTCTGGCAGGGTTGTCTTGGCTAATTGTCATAGCCTTGAAGCTGAAGTCTTCTAGGCGATTGGAGGGCGAAGTGGCGCAAAGGCTTCCGAAGGCCTGGACGGCCAGCTTCATACAACAAGGTGTGAGATGCTTTACGACCATGCGTGTGAATGCTAGTGGGCTGCGGAGATCTTGCTGGTGGCCCATGTTGGCAGCTGCTGTAGTGTAGACCTAAGGCCACAGCTACTGTACGATGTTCATGACAGAATGTGAGACGAAGTGCTCGAGCCGCATGTCGCGAAAGGCTGCTTGACATGTGGCGTACGGCATACAGCATGAAGGATTTGCATCGGCAGTCTGGGTTGTGGTCCCAGCGAGGTGGAAGCCTGCCCCTTGAGCCTGCGAGCACTTAGGTATGTGGCCCGTGGCTGTTACTGCGGTGATAATCTGCGGCGCATGCACTTCAACAACTGCAGCCGCACGACAAAATGCCAATACCTAGCACTTCTGTCAGCACCTGTCGCTGGCCCACGATAGTCCCACATTGCGCCGATAGCACTACAGCACGAAGCAACCGTGGATTTCGGCAAGAAAGCAAGGACTGCAGGCAACGAAAGGGCGAACACGCACATGTATCGGAGAGCAGCCGACACGTAGGACGTAGGCTTTCTCGCAGCCCAGAGAATGAGCGAGAGATGGAGGACAAGGAGGGAGAGGAGGGAAGGAGAAGGGGAAGGCGAGGATGGGGAGGAAGGAAGGCGAGCGGAGGTGGCAAGTTGCCAGAACAATCACTCACATCCCGCATCATCCCGCAACAGTGGCACGTGCTTGACATGAGAAACCACGTCTGTGCCCACGAAAGCCTTGAATCTTTATTGCGGCTGGATCGAACACCTTGCAACACAGGGCCACAGTTCATTGTCGCCTCACCCTAACCTAGTCCATGCCACTTGTTCCGAAACCAGAATGACAGCTCGCCTGGTTTGCGCTCGTGCCCACGGGTGTTCAGCTCCTGCCGTCTTCAGCACTGACTCGTCCTGTGCCTCTGCTACTATGTTTGATCCAGTCCAAACTTCATACTACTGCAAAGCCGTCAGCCGATTGCAGATCTAGACCGTATACTGCGCCAGTACAAGGTTGCGCGGGCAAGGTTTGCATCAGGACGGAGATGTGATAACCACCACGGACACACACTACGTGGCAGTGCCGCAACTCACCCTAGCTTGGTCGACTTGTTGACCGACCCTCCCTTTCGTCCTGCTTTGCTGCAGCCAGTGATCTTCGAACGTGACCAAACCGCTGCTCCTGGCGCTCCTTCTCCACATGGCCTGGCTTGTCATACGATTCTACGGCCATCGTCGAAATTAAGGCTTGCCTGCAAAAATAAATAGCTGCGTGGAGGAAAGTAGGGCCTCAATCTGGCATCACCTAGCTCTCAGGGCCGGGCATCTGCTCAACTGCTCCTGCAGCTTCCAAACTTTCGCATGCTGCCTGGCCGGAGCCGGAGCATGCATGCTGTTTCTTTAACGGGCCGCTGCACTCTGCGTGAGAAATGAAAGCTTTCACCAGAAACTACTCTAACAATACTACAAGTATTGGAACGGTACCAGGCAAATGGCTCTGCAAAGTGATCGCAAGCACAGTCAAGACAGGTCCATGCCCGTTCAAGTTTCAATCCTGTTCAACTCGGCGGCGTCCGAAGAGCATCGATGATTTGCATCATTATGCCCTGCACATGGTAAGCCTTGCGTGTCACCACGTTTGACGGGTCATCGTCTTCTGTCCAGGTGCCCTGATGACTTACTGTACGCAGTATGAAAAACACCTATGATGTGTCGCGTGGCCCACAAAAGTGGCGGCAGAGCTCAGCTAGGAAGTCCCGGCGGTACTTGGGGCCATCCCGGGCCTCGGCTCGGCTGCTCTCAAACGCCTAGCCATGAGCTACCGTTCCCAACCCCCCGACCCCGAGGCCTCCGAAGCGTCATCCCATCCTGTCGGCTTTCGGGCCTAAGGCCAACAGCTGCCAATTCAGCATCTGCTTCACAACTCTTCAAGTCTGGGACACTGGCAGCCGCTTGACCGCAGCCTGGGTGGAAATCCGTGATTTTTGGGTCGGTTCATGCGACTTTGTTCCTTGAAGTCCGAAAGCTCAAGCTATCCTAGGTCCTAGGAGGCTTGGCAGGCCGCCATAGCTTAAGAGCCATGCGAGTTGTCGCTTTGGCAGATGCCTGGATCCGTGGAGGTGGCCCGGTACCGTGCTACACCGGCTTGTCAGGAGGCCAGCAAGGTATACCCTCAAGGCTATACGCGATGAGACATCGCTTCCCGTTGCCTGTGGGGTATCAGCTGCACTGCGCGGTAAGGTGCAGGCGGGTCTCTTTCTTCCAAGCTCCTCGCCAGAAGAAAGAAACATAATTGTTTCGCTTGCTAGACACCTGGCCCTCGCAAATTCATGTTGAAACTCCCGATTTGACGTGCTCCTGGAAGTGTTGGATGTGAAGCAATGAAATGATCGTGATGAGGTGCGCTCCAACAAATGCGAATAACAAACCTTCGCCAGTCCTGCGTCCAAATGTGGCCTGGTTTTTTGTGAACCTCTGGAAAGGTTCGGCAAGGGCGGTTGCGACACAACCAAAAAAGACCAGACTCTCTCCAAAAGCTAAGTCGAACCCAAGGCCGCCACGAGAGGGTCTAACGGCGCTAGCCAGTGGTGAAGACCGCGCCTAAAAGGGCTGAGATGGGCTGAGGCTGCTGTATCTTCGGAGGGCTTTCGCGGCTTCACTGGGCATAGAAGCGCCATCTTCGTTCTTTCCCCCCTCGCCGACGCCAAGTTGAAAGACCCTCCCGCGCACCCTTGCAGTTCCTGAGCCGAGGCATCCAGACAAAAACTGCAGCAACCCCTTCATGTCTGCAGGCGGTGGATTAAAAATGAGCACTCCGGAACTTTGTAGTGATGTCCGACTCGGATCTTCGACTGCAAACTCTGCAGCCAAGACCTCACCGGTGTTCAGAAAAGCAGCTTGGCCGTGGAGGTTGGAGGTCTGAAGGGTGTCTAAGCAAGGATACCACATCAAAATGCAGCACTGAGGCCGCTCCTGTCGCAACTTCCGGACCAGAAAAAGGCTCCATGCCATGTGCAGGTCGTAAGGGTCGCATGGCGGATCGATCATCACGAGCGCCTTGCCCGTTGGGATGTCTGTGTGCAGGAGCCACCAGTAAGAATCCGCACAAATAGCCTCTTTCCGACATGTTGGGTTGATGTGTCTGATATTGCTCGCTAGGTCGGAAAACATTTCCTCGGAGATCTCGAAAACGGTCGCCGTGTCTTGCGGCCGGAGCCATGCCAAAGCCAAGACTGTGGAACCTGGATAGAAGCGAAGGCCGGCACGAGTACGGCGAGTACCCTTGTTGTGCCTCTTCACTGCAAGTATATACTCGCGCGCTGCAGGGGGCTGTATTGGAGTCTCTCCAAGCCGATGCAGCATCTGAGTGATTCCGTATTCAGAGTTTTGACTGTTTTGGCTGCAGCGACTATCCAGCAGGTAGCTGCCCCTCCCGGCATGCGTATCAACGAAATGGACAGGTTCAGCACTGGAGGTGAAGTGTTGCAGCAAAGAAACGAGGACGGTGTGCTTGAAGCAATCCAGGGAACTGCCAGCTTGCACCGTGTGGTCATACTTGGACACTGAGAAGCTCCTGCAACCGTTTTCCAGCATCTCTTGCACAAGGTCCAAAACCAACTGCCACTGGCCCGTTCTGGCACATGCAGATATAGCCGAGCTATACACTACAGCATTTCGTTGCACATCCTGCATGCTCATGAACCGCAACACGGCCAAAGCATGCTGCCAGTATCCTGCTTTCCCTGCTGCAGCAATTGCAGCTGTGCAAACGACAGAGTCCATCTCCACTTTTTGTGATGTTGCTGATGCAAACATGCGAAGAGCCTCGCGCCACTGCGTTTCTTGGTGGCATGCTTGAATTGCCGAGCTGCAGGCGAATCTGTCCACAGCCATTCCGGCCTTCGGCATGTCAGCAAGAAGGCCAATTGCAAGGTGCCAGTTGCTGGAGGATGCTGCTGCGCGGATGGCTGTGGCAAAGCTGATACTATCAGTCTGCAGACTGAGCTTCGGCAGTTGCGCAAAAACTTCCAGAGCTCGCAGCCACTGCTCAGCTCCGTGGAGAACGCCCATCAAGCTGTTCCATGTGATGGTGCTGCTGCGAACCTGCAGTAGCTGCATCTCTGACACGAGATGCAGCGCAAGGATCCAAAGCTGTGCCTGTGCCGCCGCACCCATCAGCGCCGTGTAGGTCACTGAAGTCGGACAGAGCTTCTCTCCGGCTCTGAGGGAGTCATAGAGGGCAAGCGCCAGGTCCCAGCGAGAACCAGCGACGCACGAATTCAGCACTGAATTATAGGCGGGCATCGTCCAACCTGAACATGATGAACGCGGGATCTGATCAGGTTTACTTCGGAAGATGGACCCGTGCAGAAATGAAACCATGCTTCTTCGCATGTATGCCTGGCATGAGCTCCAAGATCTGCAGGGCAGACGACCAGCCACTTCTCGTCTCGCACCTGCAGACGAGAGGGGGCAGGGGCGGGGGCAGAAGGCTTCGAAAGTACCAATGCCAATTTGGTCGAGGGGCGCGCTGACGCAAGCGCTGATGCTGAAGGCATTGGCCTGGAGCCGTGCCTGGGGCATGGAGAGCAGCAGCGCCAAGCTGTGTTGCCACTGCTCCCCACGTGCCAGGGCCGAGAAGCAGTTGGTGTAGACGATCTCACTCGCCTTAACTGAATGCAAAGCGACGCAAACGCATAACAGGCATATCCCATCGGCATGGGTCGTGGCAGGGACAGTTCTACGAATCCTAATTTCCTCTTCTCCACAGTACCATCAAAACAGGGGTGACGCCTGAGGGGGCCCGAAATCTGGACAACAGGTTATAAAGCCTGCCTGGAGCTGTAAGTTCGGCAAGGTGTGCAAGAGGTCCAGCGCTGCTGACCACTGGCTGCCTGCACCGCATGCTGAGATCGCCGAGCTCACCTGCCAGGCTGAAGTGAAGCAAGGCTTTTACAGTGGACCTCCTACGATTGTTGATTTGCTTCTTGCCGTGTTCGCCAAAATTTGCAGAAGCCCTCACCAGGATAACGTCCGGCTGCACGGAACCCAGGCAGGAGGCAAAGAGAGTCACTGCAGCCTCCCACATTTCAGCACGGCTGCAAGCTGCCAAGGCCGTGCTGTAGCTCCTGACATCCGCTGCTATGCCTTGTCGCTCTATGCTGCCAAGAAGATGAAGCGCCAGCTGCCAGTGGCAGTGCTTCTGGCATCCGCTGATTACGGTGTTGAAGTGAATGGCGTTGGCTTGTATTGCGGCTTCTTGGATACAGCGGAGCTCGCGCCATGCTGCCACGACATCGGTCTCGCAGATTCGGCTCAACTGGGCAGTGACCTGCCTGGGCGTTGGAAGCCGATCTGTGCTGAACGCCGGTGTCGCTGGTGACTGCATGGGTGAAAACGCCCTCCCGAGACTGTCCAGCCTCCTGAGCCTGTTCCGGCATTCCCAGCAATCAAGCAGTCGAGCGTAGTGTGTGGGTGTAGTGGTGCCACGTCAAGCTTGCCCCTAAATGTCGTGATCTACAGTGAATCTGCAGATTGCCACTAAGTTCAAACGATTGGATGAACGTGCTCCCATTCCACTTGTAAGAACCCCATAAAAGTTAAGGGCATGTTACAGTGACTGCGGCATGCAAAATTCGTCAGGTCAGACCCTGAAAGCGACGATGCTAAGATGCCATTCGGCGTACCGGACCACCCCAAGCTACAGCATGGATGTAAAGGGGAAAGTATATATGTGGTGCCAGAACCAATTCGGCAAGTCTGAAGCATGCCACGACTCTCAAGAGCTGTTTTCTTTGCCTTGCTCTTGCCGCAGCGCTTGGCACTGATCAGGTTGCATGTTCACGGATCAATTCTGAGGGTGGAAGTGCCAGCCAAAAAGCGACCCTCCGCACGACACGTCAACTGGCACTGCCACAAATGCCACGCCACTTCGCGACTGATGTGACGAGTTGCTTGAGCGCCAGCCTCTCTGCGTGCCTGAGGGTGCATTGCAATTTTCTTTTCTTACCCTGTGGAAGTCTTTATGCTGACCCGAAACTCCACCTCAACATGTACCGGGATGACAACTGGCACTGCAGGCATGACATTTCTCGTAAGGCCCTTGACTTGGGCCTGGATCTGTCATGTTGCACGAAAACGGGCCGTAGCGGCCCCACTTCATCGGAGTCGCCGCCATATCCGAGGACGAGGCCTTTGATCTTTCTCCATGTTCTCCCCTCTCGCATCACCAAGGAAGAAGCCAACCATCCGGCCAAGCTCTCTGCCGAGGGCGTCTTGTCATCGGAAAGCTGGCGGGAGACGTACCTCGACGCATGCGCCGCTGTGCTGGACCAACTTGACCAGCTGCACCCTTGTGGCCGTTCCGCCATGGCGACATTGTCCAGGGCGAGGCGGGTGAAGACAACGCCTGCGTGTCAGCTAGACCGGTGGACGTGCCATGTCTTACTATGCAACACTTGGACAGCTCAGGCCAACAAGTTTTTAAAACGAACGAGCACGCCGCAGCACAGTGCAGGCCTAGGCTGAACTGCCTTTCCAGCACAGGCTCCCAGAGTTGCGACGTTGCTTCTGGAGACCGGGCACCGTAGTCGCATAGGCTCCGCAAAGATATCAAGCAGGGCCGGAATATTGCCGTGGCCACTCCCAGCTGAAGCTCGGAAGAGGCCGCGCCATGGGCAGCCAGCACCTCGTGTGCCTCTAACACATGCGACAAGCTGCTGGGCTCTTCCTGAGCTCGAACGTTCCGTCGCTGTGATTCGTGCATCAAGTCCTTTTTGCACTGGCTTCTCAGTTGTGCAAGGAGAGGCATCAGAGCCTTCGAGTGCTCCGCGCCTTCGGAGGCACCGCTTGCGGCCAGCAGTGCCAAAGTACTGATGGATAACGCCATCCTGGCTAGCAGCTCGCACGCCAGGGTCCATTGCGATGAAAGCTCGGATGCATCCAGCATCGAATTCCACGCAATCTCGTCAGGCTGCACTTGCCAGGAGCTCATGTCGTCAAGCAAACGGACTGCCGGTTTCCATTCCTGTTGAGCGGCTGCTGCAGTGATTGCTGCACTGCTGGAGACTACGGTTGGCTGGATAGTTAAGCGGTGCAGCTCTCGAAAAACTGACACTGCTGAAAGCCAGGCATGCCCCTTCTCACATGCAGTGATTGCACTGTTGACCAGATTCCTCGACGGCTGCACGGTTAAGCAGCCCAAGCTGTGAAGGGCTCCCAGGGCCTGTTGCCACTGCTGTCCTTTGCCTAACGCGCTGGTCAAAGCTAGATAGGTGATAGCATCCGCTTGCAGTCGACCCGTCTTCATACCGTTCATGAGGTCAACAAGTGGCCGAACTTGGACTGCTCGTTCGCATGCCAATGCTGCCGCGTTGTACGCGGCCACGCTGACCCTGACGAGCCGATGATGCATATCTTGCAGACAAGACACGGCATGCTCCCACTTGAAGGCCACAGCGCATGCGCTCATGACCGCAGTGTATGCTGCCATGTCCGGCTCTGGAAGGGCGAGAGAGCGGCTGAGGCTGAGGCTCATCCTGTGAAGAAGATGCAATGCTTGCTCCCAAAGCCCGGCCCGAGCAAAGGAATCCAGCAGTGCCCCACACGCAGCGACATCTGGTCGCGGGCCCCAGTAGTACATCCCGGTAAATGCTTGGAGTGCTGCTTGCCAGCGGCCCGCCCTGCCACATGCGCTCAGCAAGGAAGAGCAGGCTTCCAACTTTGGAAAGTCCACAATGAAGCTCTGCCCTCTCCTGTGGGAGACTGGGAATTGCTATCTTGTGACGTCCCTTCTCCGACTCGGAATTCAGAGTTGAAGGACCCGTGCGAGTTACAAATGTCAACCCCACATCAAAGTAACAGTTCACAGATGCTGGCGTTACGTGACAGATCGTAGTGGTGAGGCGCTTAACATCCAGGGCTAAAGAGTTAGCGCGATGCATGGAGGAGCTTTTCTTCCACTGCCAAGCTGACTAAGTCGCACCACATGGCAAACTCTAGAACTCTAGAATCGCGTGAGGGGCCGAGTTGATTGTTCGGGTGTACGGATTGTTTGTCGTGCTGGAGACAAGTTGTGATGGGCTGAGGGTCTCCCAGAAGGACCCGTGGTTGGGAATCCGGTTGGGACTGCTCTAGTTTTCAATGGGGGCTGGACATAGAGACAGATAGTATCTGACGGCCAAAATTTCTGGATACTCGCAGATAGCTCACGGTGGAAGGCGAGTACCTGACGAGTGCAGGTTGCTGACGCGCGGAGGGTGGGTATCTGGTGGCGGCTGACGGGCAGAGTTTGCTGACACGCCGAGGGCGGGCAGCTGATGAGCGGAGGTTGGTGACGAGGACCCCAGCAGAGGTCGGGGGATGAAGAAGGGTGGGGGCGGGGGTGGCTAGAAGATGGTATCTAACGGGAGGTTGCTGACGCGTGGAGGGCGGGGAGCTGATGGGTGGAGGTTGCTGACGGGCGGTATAGCTCAGGGTGGAAGACGAGTAACCTGATGGAGGGGTACCTGACGGAAGGTCGCGCGCGGATTCCTTCAACTTTTCGCCGATTATTCCGTCAACCACTGCCCGCGGATTCTGTCAAACCGGAAACGTGGATGCCTTCAACCTCAAAACCTGCTTCCTTCAACCTCAGAACGCAGATTCATTCCACCATGTCCAAGGGAATGATTCCTTCAACCCTAAGAACTGCTTCGTTCAACCCATACACAACCTGATTCTTTCAACCCCCAGCACGCAGATCCACTCAACCCCCAGCACGCAGATTCACTTAACCAGGCCTGATTCTTTCAACCCCAGCACGGAGATTCACGCAACCATGGCCCCGGGAATGATTCCTTCAACCCAAACAACTGCTTCGTTGAACCCATACGGAAAGAGTCGCTCCAACTACAGACACGCGTGCTACCCCAACCACGAGTACTCACTGAACCCTAACCACCCGCACGCATTGCGACTAGCAGAAGCACGTGGAAGCCTTTTTCTACCTTCCTTGCTCACACCGCAAACTCCGCATACCGCAGTGGCACGGCATACTTGGCTCGCCACCTGGCTTTATTGAATGTGAGACTGGCAACAGAGCGGGCGAGATGCGTTGACAACACTGTAGGGTTGACGGAAACGGGGGGGGGGAGTTGACGGAATCAGCACATTATGCGTTGATGGAATCGGGCGATGGGGGTTGACAGAATCGGCAATATCCGGGTTGAGGGAAGCAGGCGATGGGGGTTGAAAGAACCGCACAATCTGAGTTGAGGGAAGCGGGGAACATGGTTGAAGGAAGCGCGGTTGAGAGAATCTTGGTTGACGGAACCGCGCGAAGTTGATGAAGAAGGCTTGCACCGGCGGAGGTTGCTAACGCGCGGAGAGCGGGTGGAGATGGGTGGCGGGTAGCTGACGGGGGGGTAGCTGACGGGCGGAGGTTTCGCACGGGCGGAGACTTCTGACCTGAAACCAATACTTGACGGAGATACATAGTCTCTGACGGGCGGAAACCTCTAACCTCTAACCCGTAGGTACCTCACGGAGATAGATAGTATCTGAGCCTCTGACCAGTAGGTGTCCGAAGGGAGTGAGAGTAAGGGGTTATGTGAGGTACATTATGCTGAAAACGCAAAGCTGTGAGAACGTGGGACCCCCAGAGACCCCGCTTCGGGACCGTTGACAGGTCCGCCAAGTTCCAAGGAGCTCCAGTTGGGTCAGAAGGGAAAGGACTGTGTATCTGACTCTGTTTGTTAGAGTTCTGGCTCCATCTCCACTTCCTCCTTGTAAGGACGAGTTTAGGGTTTCTTATGAAGGTCTCGTGCAGATTTCAGGTAACTTTCCACCAATTCCGGAATGGACGGGGCGTTGGGGATGTCTTGTCCTCAGCAGGTACAGCGCCAAATGCCACTGACTGGCATCTGCATCATCGCCGGTGCCTGCACCTTTGCGGACGTGGGCATGCACATCTTGCACCGAGAAATGCAGAAAAGGTGGGCCAGGAAGGCCAGACGGCTTCTGACCGCGAATCCGTCAGTGCCGGGCTTCTTTGAATCTCTACGGTTGCTTCTTGCGAAGGGTCGCAGCCCTGGGCCTGAGTCCTCGGCATGCTGCGATGGAAGCATTGAACGATATGGCACCCGGCTCCAGCTCTTGGGACTTGAAGTCCTGATCGTGTCACAAGTGCCAAGCGATGCTAGGAGCTTCGGTCACCTCCAGAAGCCGTAAGGCTGCTTGCCATTCACTGCTGCGCCCGAGGGCTGTGATGACCTGTGCCAACATACTCTGCATCGAGATCGGAAGACCTGCACTTCTCTGAGGCCAAGGCAGTGTTGAATGAAATGCGGTCCGGCTGCGGGCCACTTTCCACAGCCTGCAGGGCGGGCTGTGTGGCTCATGGCAAGCAGCAAGCACGCGTATTATGTGGTACTATTACTAGTAGCAGCAACTTCGTCGTGATAGCAGTGAAACATTGTTGCCAGCATGTGTTCGAAGATGTAGCCACAAAGTGCGAAGCCTGCAATCACATGTGGTGTAGCCTGTGGCTCTGCCCTGGGCCTGGAAAAGCATTGAGGCTGCCAGCTGCCAGTTGCTTCCGCGCTCCAGGGCGCTCATCGCTGCGTTGCCTGCGTTGAGGGCTGAGCCCTTTCCAGCCCTTTCCGGCCTGGACTTCTGCAAGTCTGCAACACTTAAAGTCTAAACTCGCAAACCTCCAGGCCAAGCGCTTGACTCCTGGCAGCTCTGCAAAGGTGCCCCAAAAGGCCTGTGAAGGTGTTCGCCTGCAGTCCTGGAACTCAGAACAGGCGACAGCGCCGGTTGATCGAAACACCATCAATTCTGAGATATTCTGAGACACAAAGAAAGCCAAGCCCCAAAACCTGATGTGCACCATAAATATACCAAGGCATTATGACACAGTCATGGCCGTAGAATGTGGGAGACTATTTCCCAACGACTGTGACTCCGCATTCTATTCGCACCCTCGTAACTTCCATGATAGGGTGCTTGCAAGATATGTCAAGATGACTTCAGTCACTTGTACTGGGCCATCATGCTATGTAGTGCTTCGAGGATCAAGAGACCGAATAAAGAAGCGTAGTTGTCTCAACATGTCTGGAGGAAGCACTCCCAGTCATTCTCAAGCCCACCTCAACCCTGGAAGGTGGAGGAAGGGTGCCCATTGTTATTTTTTAAGTGCACTGACCTTTCTCCGCTTTACCGCAGCAAAGCAGGTTCTGAGCCGGCCTCCCAAAAGGGGCTTGCACTGAGCTTCGGGGTTCTAGTTTCGGATCGGGCATGGTCAGTTTCGGTCTCACGCCATGGTCAGTTCCAGGCCCAGGCCTGCAAGAATCGGACTGAAACTGCCTGCCTCGCCCCGGCTTTCCCACTCTGAAACCCCCGGCAGCCTGATCCGAAAGTGTTCCGGACCATGTTCGGAACTACGCCCCGAAACCCCTGAAACTCACAACGGAACCCAAGCAGATCCAGGAGGGCCAAGAGACCGAAAGCCTGAATGAAGCCTCCCGTTCCGCCCACGACTCCGTTGAAAGTCCTTGTTGACCTCCCCGAGCGAGAATCTGCAGGGCCGAGCTCCATTGAAGCCCTGGCGTGCGGAATTCAAAACCAAAACGAGGTTTCTGTGATGTTTTGGTCATCCTCGTCCCGATTGTGATTATGACTATTTCTATGTCGTATCGCATATCGCTGTCGTCGACATCGGCATCACCAACACAGTAGTGCAACCACCACCCACATAGCCTGCCAGTATCTGCCGGATCTGAGGGCTAGGGCGATGGTCTGCTTTGGACTGTAGTCGCAGGCTTCGAGACTGTAGTCAAGCTCGCGTCGGAATGACTCAAGACTCATGACAAGAAGAAACGAACGACGGCGGCATGCAGAGTGGCCATCACTTCCGCTGTAGAATCCCATGTTGCTCTTGTCAGCTTCAAGGGTTCGATGGGGTAAGGGGCCTCGCCTCAACTCGAAAGCTGCCACGGCATCTGCAAACACGTGCCCCCCCAAGCCCTAAGCTTCTCCCCCAGCCCTGTGGCCTCGGCTGCTGGAGGTGGCGGCTGTGCAGAGGGTCACCATGTCTGGCTGCAGCTGCAAGGAAGGCAGGGAAGCAAAGAGCTCCAAGCTTCCTGCCGCCTGCGAGCCCTGCCGGGAATCTTTGTCTGCAACCCCCTCTTTCCCTCCTTCCCCTGAAGCTATCATCCAACTGGCCCAAGCGATCTGCAGCTCAAAAACCATAAAAGCCGCCATCAAAGACGCTTTCATTAATTCTTTGCTCCTGACGGTCCCAAGCCTTGTCCAAGGCATGCAGCAGCGCATTGTATCTCAAAGCTGGGCAGATGACAATGCGAAGCAAGACTGTTGGTATCTTTCGGGTTTGGAGCTTTGCTGCTCAGCTGCGTGACGATACCCGGCTGCAACTCTTGGCTGTGCAAGGCTTGGAGCTTCGCCACCGCGGCCTGGACAGTCTGAAGGCACCCTGATTCGCGATTGTGAGTTCATGCTTTGCTGCTACAGTTGTCACTTTTGCACTCTGCCTGCCAGCGTGCGGCCTTGCCGAGTGCTGCAATCTCCGATGTTCCCCGGCGCAGCTCCAAGATCGACATTGCACCGCTGTACCAGTGGTAACCGAGCTGGGGCACTCAGACTCTCCGAACCTCCAAGTAAAGAATCTGACTGGCAGGCGAAAGCATGCCCTGCCCTTCAATGGCAACACTTACCAATGATGTCAATGACTTCCCGGTGCTAATGGGGGAGTCAGGTAGATAGATGAACACCGAGGCAGCACTGGGGTTCGCGCTCCAGGAAGGGGTGCGAGACCACACGCTCCACCGAGTTGCTTCGCCTGGAGATGAAGGTCTGGAAATTTCCAAAACTCACGAAATACGAGAACTGCTCGCCGGTACATTGGTATACATTGGTGTTTCGGAGTGCCTGGCCTGCGGCCGATCTGCTCTGCTTGCTGGCGAGCGGGGCGTGGGACGAAAGCCCGGGGTCGGGGCAGCTGACGGAGGCCTTCGGCCAGCCTCAGGACTGGGAGTCCTACTGTCTTCTACAGCTCTAACAAGCAGAGGAAAGCTTTGTCGGTTCCGACTAGGAGTTTGTAAGGGGAGGCAGCGATTACCGTTTCTGGGGACAAGCGGAGCAGATGGCATGCTGCTCTTTCGGTGTCGAACTCGAAGCTCTAGCAACATCAGTAGACCTAGTCAGCATGTGTCCCAACACTGCTGCTTTCCTGCAATCCCACCCTCATCCCAACTGCAAGCCCAAGAGCCTGCGGCTTTTCTGCTCCTTGTCAGTGTCTCCGGAGAACGTCTTGGACTCAACAATGGGAGGCGGCAACAGAGGTTTCAACGCCTGGACGATGCCGAAGAAAGTCTCTTATTTGCCAGAGTACCGCATGCTCCAACAGTGTGCCTTCGATATTCTGGACTCATCTTGCCGAGTAAGCACCGCTTTTCGTTCTCTTTCCTGCCTCGGAGTCCCGCAACTCGACCTGGTGTCTGCGAGCTTCGAAAGTCGCCAGGAGAGCCAGTCCGCACCTTCGGATAGAATTAGCAAGTGGATAGCAGTGGTAGTGGAGTCGCACTTGAAGCTGCCGGCTGCCTCGATCCAAAATGAAGGTGGTGAACCAACACCTCATGAGCCACAGCGGAAGGAAAATGGCTAGTGCGGCTAGTGGCGTCACCTCTCGGAGACTGTGCAGTCGCGAGATTTTGCATCCAGGTGGCAGGGACATCTCCCAGAGGCCCGAGGGCCGCCAGGCAAACAGAAACCAACATCCGCCGAGCACCGGAGAGGGCCTCAAACAGGAAGCCAGGACTGGAGCCCCCCCCCCCCCCCCGAATTCGCTGTCAGAGCTGGCCTGCATCTCAAGCAGGACATTCTGCATTGTATCTTTCGAAGATACCTCGACGCAAAGCTGTTGCCGAGGCCCTGCCGCCGGATCCTGGATCCTTCCAAGCAATTTCAAGAGTTGCAGATACCTGCAGAGGAGAGGAATCGAGGCGACCTTCCGTCCAGCATCAGCGCAGGACCTGGCGGATGGTCTCACGCAGGACGCACGCTCGGGAGAAACGGTCTTCCACATGGCTGCCAATCTTACTTGCCAGTTTTCGCAGTTCTCAAACAAGTCTCCTGCGGCGGTGCGACAACAAACGCTCTAGCAACTCTTGCGCCGGCTTCGCTGCCATCAGTGTCCAAGAGCAGCCGCAGGCCAGCCTGGCTGCAACATGCACCAGGAACAGCACGTGCAACCGCAACCTTGATGGGTTTTGGTCGTTGCCAGTGCTGCGCATTATTGCCACCATAAACATAGCCGGTACCGCAGTGCTCACGATCGCTGTCCAGTAGGTTTAGCTTGGCATGTTGTGACAAGCCACAGCTTTTTTACAGCGCTGCCAGAAGGGCCCGGAACTCCCCTTGAGCTTGAACAAAAAGCCCAGAACCAGTGCAGGGCGGACAGGTTTGTCGTGGATAGCGTGTGCTTCATCTTGCCTCCATGCAATCAAGTCGCTGCTCAGTCCACGAACTTGTTTGAACAAAGGCCCGAACACTTCCGAGGCTTCCAGCAGCTCTGCCACCTCGCGAAGGAACGCAGGTACATGCAGCCCATGAGCTTCGAAGTGTCGTGGACCTGCCCGGGAACACGCTCGGGTCCGGGCCCCTGGTCCTCCAGGGTATTGAGGAAGCACTTCAAGTGTCAGCCTTGCGTGTTTCTGTGAAGACATGCCTGCATTCTTCGTGTCATGACCTCCGCCCTTGCATTGTCATCCAAAAACTAAAATAGAAGTGCTTGATCCAAGCATCAGACAAGCCCGCTGTGGGGTTGCAAAGCATGGAGGGGCAAAGGATGACACGAGCAAAGGCGGCGCCCCGGGATCCTGCAATCGGATGCATGGGCCGCAGCAAGAAGTTGCTGGAAAGCTGGCATCGGTCATGGCAACTTCTTCAGTACCGAGTCCTGCTGCAGGTGCACCACTGCCGGATTCAAAAGACAAGTGAACGTCAAAGGGTCGCCATAAAGTGGACCTCAGCACAACCACTGCACCCCTCACAGCATCGCCGGCAGAGTGCCTTCTCGGACCGGCGCACATGTACTTTCCCACGCGCGGTAAGCGTCAGGGCTCGGTTGCAAGCTGTACAACAGAATCGCAACCTCATGGACCAATTTCTTTGCCATTGATCGAAGAGCTTCATAGGTACAGTACAGTTTAAGCTCCCAGGCTCAAGATTGAGATCCTCGGCAAACACACCAGAACATGCGCCGGTTATGGCCATCAAGGCCCAGATCTGATGCAAACTCGCACGTGCAGTCAGGAGGCTAACTCCAGCTCGCTCTGGACGACGAACTTGGCGCGAAGGATGTGTGGCCTTGGGGGTCTTTCTCACGTTGAAACGAAGCTGCAACTGTCAACACGACCATGACGACACGTCTCCAAATGAAAGCCAGGCCGACAAGCGTAGGGTTCCGATGCATGCCGATGCAGTGCCTTTACTTTTCCACTTTTCGAGAGTACGCAGGCCAACCTGTTCTCCCTTTTCTGTCTGTCCTAGCAACGATCTGGTGAAACGTTTAGCTCACCGTGTACGCCTCGCACTGCTGAGCAACAAAGACTCTAGCTTGTTGCAGGGGCTCGCCAACAATCGTGTCTTCCAGACACGGCTGAGGCTGCTTGAAGCTGCTCGAAGCATGCCGTGGGAGCCCTCCGGCAACTTTGCTTCTCGCGGTAACCCTCGGAACCCTCAGTGTGGCTTCGTAGCCGAGGCCCTTTAACTTAAGCTGTTCAGTCCGTGCCGTTCTTCGCGATGCCTGTCTTTCGCTTTTTGTCCTTGCTGGCCTCGGGGCCGCAGATGGACACAGGTCACGAGCGAAGGAAACACCAAAGCCGAGCACCGGGCATCTACCATCCTCAGTTCACACTACCATGCGACTCATGCTCCATGCGGCCACACTGCGACTTGGTCTTCGGGGCCGAGAAACTGCTGCCTCTTGTGGGACTTTTTGCGGTCGTACCCCGAAACCGTGCTGATTCGCTTGCGCTTCGGCTGTCGCCTCAGGCATCGCAGGAGCTACGAAGTTGCAGCCGAGCAGTAGAACCTGGTAGAAGTGCTGAATCTGCCAAGGTTGCGAAGGTACTACCAAATTACTACCGTTCTCGTCAGCTGTTCTTCCACGGGAATGACTTCTCGCAAGTATGGCGTTGTTGTTCTGGTGTTTCGATTGTCTGGTTGCCGGCAGGCTGCCATTCCGCCATCCGTCGCTCCTCTCAGCATCCGTCAAGTCGTGAAGTTATGAAACCAAATGGACCAAACTGGTGACCAAACGTCGCAGCGGCCAGTCCTTCTTCGGCCTCGCCTTCAGGCGGAGCATCCAGTCAGGAACTTCGCAGCCCGATTGGCGCATCACGCCGACGATACCTGCTTAGGAAAGACCAAGTTTAGATGTTGCGGTGATTCCCGTTGTTTGGTGTCTTCCGCGTCCAAAGTGTCACAGCGACGAGATACTTCGAAGCGACTCGAAGTCTTCGATGGTGAACATCGTTATAGCCTTGCCATTCCTCCCAGGGAGAAGCTCATCATTCTTTTAGATGGCATGTCGGCTTTGGCTGCTTTCTTTTGTGCCTGCCCGCGCGACCAGTGCGCCCAATCCTGGCAGCACGGAGAATCGTTGACGCAAGCTTTGCTGTTGGACTTCGACTACTGAAGCTTCCAAGCAAGGCCTCGGAAGATCTTGTTTTATGTGCTTGGCTTTCAGCTTTCACTCCGGCTGCCTGTGGATGTAGGTGGCTGCCGACTGGGGGAAATCGTAGTTGATCACCTGGGCCGCCAGGATGCTTTGGCCACGTCCAGCAAAAGTACAGTTCAACATTATCTGGATTCGTCGTGCCTCGAGAGTCAGAAGCTTACGTCTCAGATCCGCCCAGCTGTCCTCCCGTAAGTCGTATGTGCCGGGGCTTCGGACCATGCAAGGCTTGTGTACACCACTCAATAATGCAAACGTGTGCATGTGATTGTGTGTGTGTGCGTGCATGCAGATATATATATATATATCAGTTACTACGATCGCAGACGTTCGGTGCCCTCACTGAACAGACGATCGGCGATCGCACCTTTTTCATGCGACCGCAACGTGGGAGTCGGCCACAGTCGGATCATCAAAATTTCACTTGATCTTCACAAGTCCGATCGGACCCCCGATCGCCGAGGGGTGCGCCATGGCATTCGCCACAGACCGCAACATCATCCGATCGGACACATCAGACAAGCGATATTCCCCGCGAACAAAATTAAAAGTCTTCGATCGGATCATCGGGCTCCGGCGACGGCTCCTCGATCGGATCGTCGTCGAGGGGGGCCGCGCCGAGCAAGTCGATCAACTGCCGCTCGGCAGCACGAAAAGCTGCATCAGGAGTAGCTTTGGCTTTCGTCCGAGCGGGAGTAGCGCGAGAAGCCTGGTACGCCGCGATCTGGGCGGGAGTCGGCGGCGCTTTGGTCGGCGGACTCGAGCTCCTCGTAGGCACCATGATCTCGGTGCCGGGAGGGAGCTGCGTACCGGGCGGGAGCTGATCCAGCCGCCGCGGGGGCTGCCCCGGAATGACATAGTGAGCCGGTCCGCTGATGCGAACGTCATCGGGCACGGCGTCGAGCGATCTGGGGGGCTGCCCTGGAACTAAATACTGAGCAGGCTCGGCGAACAAAGGAGAACGCCCTTTCGGAGCCGCTCGGCCTTGGCGCGGCAGACCAGCCTTGGGATCCACATAGTAGACCGGCTGATCCATGCCTCTGTTTCGAGCAGCTTTGGCCGGGGGCGCTTTGGGCACCGGCCGCTGAACAGAGGGCACGCCCATCACTTGATCCCAGCTGAGGGGAGGATCTGCCCCGTGATCGTAGCCGGCCGGCTGGTGACGATCGCGATCACGATGAGCCGGCGGCGTGACCCAGGGGGTCTTTCGGCAGAAATGACAGATATCCAGGCGACGATCGCAAGCCGTGCACAAAGGAGTGCGCTGGTTGGGGGCCCACTCTTCGCGGGGGACCCGAACGGCTGCGTAACATTCGTCTTGGCCGTCCCCGTCGCAGAAGCAGCCGGTGAACAGGCCGCAATCCACGCAGGGACGGCAGAGCTGATCTGTGTCGCCAAAAGCGAGCGCTTGAAGGCCAACGTCGTTGCGAGGATCCCGCATACCGAAAAGAACAGATAGGGCGGAGAGGGTGGGATTTTTCGGTATGGCCCGATCGGCTATCGCCAAAATGGCCACGGAAAAGATAGATCAAGTCTGTTCCAACGATCGCGAAACTGATCTCCTAATTCCTACCCACCAGACCGATAATTAGGAGACCAGTTACTACGATCGCAGACGTTCGGTGCCCTCACTGAACAGACGATCGGCGATCGCACCTTTTTCATGCGACCGCAACGTGGGAGTCGGCCACAGTCGGATCATCAAAATTTCACTTGATCTTCACAAGTCCGATCGGACCCCCGATCGCCGAGGGGTGCGCCATGGCATTCACCACAGACCGCAACATCATCCGATCGGACACATCAGACAAGCGATATTCCCAGGCCCTCAAACTCCTTTCGGAAAGTCCGAGAGGACAGTGATCCAACCACACATCAGACCTGTAGCGACATCACCACGAGAGGGATTATCCGCCGGGTTCGAATCGGTCGGTACCCGATCGATATAAACAGAGCACCTAAGCTCCAGAACAAGCTCCCAGAAAATTCCTACGAGCTCGCAGACGTCCTCTTTTGCAGAGTAGCCTTTGATCAAAGCTGCCTCTACAGGCTCGGAATCGATAAAGAGGAGGACCAGCTTTCCACGGATCTCTTCCCTGAAAGTCTGTATCGCAGCGACCGCGGCTAAAAGTTCGATCATGCAAATTTGGGTTTTCCGGGGGAACCACCTCGACATGATCTGCCATGACACCCCCGAGGCGAATTGCCTAGGCTGATCGTCCCTAGTGAACATCACTCCTCCAATCATCTCAGAAGAGGGATCCTTGGGGTTCGAGCTCGGCGCCGATCCATCCGTGAAGATCACCACGTCGGACTTCCGCGGCCCCGAACTGGGGATAGGCCTCGGAGGCCCATGCATCACGAGCGTCCGCCACTTGTAGAGGGAGTAGAGGAGAGCAGGCGATAGGCTCGTACTGACCGTCTTCCGGGAGTATTGCCTCTCCGACAGAGATCTCAGGAAGGCTCGGCCGATCTTCCCCCAGAGCTGCGAAGCGCCGAACATCAGCTTTCCTCTGAGCTTCCCGGCTTGGCCGGGAGACAGCTCTTCGTGTTCCAGGATCGACGAGATCTCGTCGAAGAGCTCCTGCTTCCTGGACTTCTTGATCTTGAGCAAGTACTGATCGAGGTCATAGCCCAGGATCGTGGGATCCGAGCAGAGCTGAAGCTTCTGCTGATCGAACCGGGCCCCGAGCCACCAATGGACCTTCTCGGCCAGCGCGAACGCACTATCTGCCGTGGCCTCCGGCTCGAAGCCGTACTTGTCGTCATAGAAGTTGAAGCCGGCCACGATGAACACGCGCCTTAGAATGTCGGTAATCGCAGCCGAGCGGCGGTTGTAGTTATAGACGGCCGAGACCAAGCCGAAGGAGTGGCCGACCATCACGAAGAACGCCACCTTTCCCGTGGCCGGATCCTTCAGAGCGACCACACTCCACTTGCGATGGGCCGGAGAGATCGGCACCTGCCGATAGGCTCGCCGCTCGTCCAGGACCCAACCACGTAGCGGGGACTTCGGCAGCCGCGAGCGCAGCCACTTGATCACCGCCACGTTCGCGTCCGTCGAGGGGAGTTCGAGTTTCTCGGTGACGATCGTCGCCATGTTGATCCCATTTGAGGTAGCACTGTCAACTCCCCTGACTTTGTTCTTTTGAACCACTTCAAAGCGCTGAGTAGGGATCCAACGATCATCGCCGACGAACTCCGAGACTTCGGCCTCGTCGAAGAAGGGACCGATCGCCGACCCTTCTCGAACATCTTCCATGGTCCCTTCCCAGACCTTGGGAGAGTGCTCGGTGATCGGAGATTTCCGAATCGCGCCTAACACCTTCGATCGAAATTCCCAGGCCCTCGAGCGAAGGGCATCAAGCGAGAGATGCTCCGCATGAGGTTTGCGATCGGGCTTCCAGCGGTGGGAGGAGGCAATATCGCCGACGATCGGCATGCCCGCCATGATCTGATCCACCAGGTCAGTGTCACTGCATTTGGCCTCATTCATGAGCTCCCGCCAAAGGGCGACGTGGAAGAACTGACCCATTTCCAGTGGACGATCGTCGGGGCCGCCGCGAAGAAGACGGCGCAAATGCTGATCTGGTATCTGCTTGAGCAAGAAATCAGAGGACGGGAGCAA